TGTTGGCATTTGCTTGTCATGCTAATGATCCACAAAACGATCAATTCGTACATCAAGTACAAAGAGGGTAAAAAAAGGACCGAAAACTAATAAGCTGTCCCCTTAGATAACCTTGGCGCACTCCACTGTCACCAATAATAAAGCCAAATGCTTAGCCCCTATGTTGTTTATAGTGGATGAAAAATGCTACAGTGCGTAAGTTTAAATAGGTTTTGCCGTGAATGCCGTAATGAGTGCCTCTAGCGGCCCAAATTAGCTGTTGAGCTCTGGGCTAGATATTACTATAAACGAAAAATAAAGAATGTCATTATTCTTGTCATTTATTTGCCGTTTAGGCAAGACATTATTGGCTCATTATACCAGATCAAATACTGCTACAAAGTCTTTCAAAGGCAATGAATATATCTCAGCATATTCATCCGCAGCGGAGCAGAGAAGGTACCTGTCTTAGTTAAAAATCTTTGAACCGCTCGCAAGCAGGCAAATATTTTATGTTTTATTAGATATAATAAAATATCAGAATTATAAGAACAAATGATGGTATTGAATGAAATACCCACTTTGCAAATTAACGTTTGCGAACTTTGGTTTTACTTTCAATGGACAAACTCTGCAAGACATCTTAAAAGCTTATAGGAAAGCCTGTAGTGACTTATGGTTATATGTACTTTTACACAACCGAAAAAAATGGGAGTTATTCTTAGTTTATTTACTTATAATAAAAGTAAAAAAAATAACGTCAACAAAATGACTGTCGGATTAGTCATTTGAACGGATTAAAGGCGTATACAAGAATCAAACTGTATATAAGCTTAGCAAACTCAACAAAATGCTCAAGCTTCAACAAAATGAAATAAACTCTTCAGTCGTGAGCTAATGTGCCCAATGTTCATGTATGAGCCGCAAGGCTCTCCATGACCTACAGTGGTTCTTTTGTAGGTTATTAAATACACTTCACTTCTAAATGCACTTTTCTGTATAAATATATCTATCTTTGTCTTTTTGCAAAGTTTTTCGAGTTGATTATATATATATATAAAGCCGCTCTAGAAGGCCAACACCTATCAAATAGTGTTTCCTGATGTATTCTTAGTTTTTCCTAATAATTCCTAAACATGTTGTTATATAATCGGTAACGGCTTAAAGAATGGTCCACGTATAGGTTATCGACTCTAAAAAAATCTTTTCATGCTTAAAATTGCACTGTACTATATTTGGAGATCTGGCTATTCTAATCAGGCTAAAAGTTCACTATATTATGGGGCTCTACAATAAACTAGAACGATTATAGTGACAAGGCTCAAGATTTTGTAAAGGTTCTGAATGGCTGTTATAAAAATCTTTGTTCTCAAATGTTATAATAAAGTTATAACCTATAAAGTTGCCGGTTCACAAGAAAGAACGATATTTTTTTGAGGAATGCGAGAAACGTGCGACAGTAAGCTAGTTCTCATGATTTCCTATAGATAATGAATCACGGACAGAAGTCTGACCTTGAGCACTATCTGGAACGTACATTGATAACAAACAATTTTGAAAAGCACAAGAAATCATGAGCAATTTGTTTCATCGAGGAAGGGGAACGTATATTACAATATAAACACCATTAGTAGGCGATAACATGGACGGCGTGTCGTACGAAGCAAACAGTTCTGCACTTAACCTGGTCTTTCCGATATCGGATGGTCCTCGTTCCTGTGGTGATTTGGTGGACTTTTGCTACTATGAAAACGAAATATCTTAGTTCTACGTTTGAGTGCAGTCCAATAGCTGTACGTACATGCTGTTAACATGACGTTATTCGGATGATTCGTTTTGACGTTGCGGCCTGGTATACTTTTCAAAGCAAAAAAGGGAAACCATATGGTCGGGTAAGGAGCTCCGACACATAAATCCATCCGTAATAACAGGTTCTTCAGTGTCATCTAATGCTTTTGCCCAGTTTTCTCACTTTCTTTCATATATGACTCGTATACTTTTCGCTGTTGGTTAGCTTACGACCTTGACATGTTGTCTTTATATGGCTTCTGGACGTGAAGGGGTAGAAAAATTCAAACACATATGCATAGAATAGGACAAAAGTTTTTTTTTGTTATTAGTTCGAGCATCTTTGTTTTATATCTGTACAATATGTACATATGCATCTGATACATATGTGTTCTGTATATATATATATATATGTCGCCATATATGACGTTCCTGGTGACGACAAAGCCAAGTAACCGAAACGCCCGAGATGAGCAAGCTGCTCGAACCGTTAGTTGCCAGCCGACAGTAGCCGTTGAATTCCTCGAATGAGCCTACAAGAGGTGTTAAAAGAACGAATGAAGCAAAATGAACTGATTTTCCCGGAATGGAGATACTCAAATTAGTATGTTAGTTGCTGTAAATTCTGAAAGGGAAAGTTTCAAAACAACAAAATTGTTTAACCGGCTCTCATCGAAATAAAACCGGCTTATTCGAGTGGTTTCTCTACGGCTTTCGAAAGCGCGATAAGGCCTTGCGGCGACTTTTACGAAACATGTATGCGCTAAAACACGAATCCGGCCCGAGCATCAGGTTGAATATTATTGTAGGCAACATTAGGACAACTGCAGAGTTGGCCGGTTAACAAGCTTTATCATCTCAGCAAGAGTGAATTCCTACGCGGAGCTTATCTAGCTGATCTTTAATCATATGCTTTCCAAAGCACATTTGACAAATGGCGGGCTTCGTCTGTTAGGACTGCACGGGAAAAGGGCATGTGATGCGCTCCTCCCAGCAATGCAATCCCTGTGTGTTAAACCAAACTAGTCCAGGGTCACGTATTTTCCGTCTTGTGCATCTACCATCGGCTGTGGGTATCACGAATGGCCCATACCAATAGAGCAACACCAGTGTCTGTCAGGCCCCCTTACCTATTCAATTCACACTGTTTTATGCCTAAAATTACCCAGATCCTTTGAAAATATATTTATATATTTAAGCCGTGAGTGACGTAATGGAAATCACAAAGGGCAGAAAAAAAAGTAAATAGTGAGTAAAGTAGTGATCTTCACTGAACCTTTACCCTCAAAGAGCTTCACCGGCACTTAAAATAAATAACAGCAACGAACCTTGGTGAAAAATGTGCAGCTAAAAAACCGAATAATACTCATTGGTTTACTATATGATGCTGCAGTCTCTTGAGTAGAAAAGAAGATGATGAGAACATCAGCAATAAATATGTCGATACCTGGGAGCGCATGCGTTTCACTATTTACGTTTGCAACAGCAGATGCTCTCTTAGTACTTGGGGGTCATTCTTCTTCTCATAAAAACTGAATTTAATTCTGATCCATTAGAAGAGCTTTGTATAACTAGGATTCGATTTACAAGTCGGTACTATTCTAGTAAATCCTGTTGCTCATAGACTTTGTAGTATTTCTTCGATGACTTAAATTTTATCTACTTTATGAAAGTCTAGACAAGGGTCTTCATAGTATTGCCGCGGATTGCTTACCTACAGCAGCGCAAAGCATTTGTAACTCTAAATAACAGAAATACTGTTGTTATTCTCTAGTCGTAGCTCAAATCACCGAACATATCTGGTTTTATTATGAACAAAGGGCAACACATTACATACGTACGAGGAGACCTAATTGTGAAACATGAGCACCACTTGAGGGCTTCAACCAGATATTTGCTACATCTTTTGTCACGCTTGCTACCGGCCAGGCCATCGATCAGATTTGCGTCCGTCCTGTCCTTCGAAATATAGGTTTTGCGCCTAGTCACAGTTGCTAAGGTTATCGACGAATATTACTGATCGTTTTTCCTTTTCGCATCTCAACGTGTCATCGAAGCCTCTGTAATGGCTTGCCTGATAGAATGTATGAAAATTCATTCGTACATGGATCCTAGCAGGCTACCACCTTGAAGTTGAGTCGACATTTCAATCAAATTTTTTTCGGAGAACCGTCAAAATAGCGAAATGTATTTTTGTGGATTGAAAAGATGTAAAAATACCTGCAGTATACAAACACACCGTCGTATTCTGATAACATGGGCAAATAAATACCGCGTCTTTATTGTGGAACGTTTTTCAAACCCATACTAAGCAAAATGTATATTCACATGTCCACTACTGGAATCTTACACCCTTCTAGGTAGAGCCTCTGTTTTACAACGTAATTTGTTCTGCTAGACCTTCAACTTATCTCTGCGCCTCGCAACCTTAATTCGCGCTTAGAATATCTCCAATATCAGGCTGTTTCTTTCTTTTTGGCTATCATTACATGGTTATTATTCATCAACAATAATTCTATCAAGCATTTACTGTACAGTCAACGTAAATCTTAATCACGATTCATGTTTACCTGGTTTTATAAGTGTTAACTTCAATTAAACCGGGTGAATTTTTGTCTGACAGAACCATTTTCTCTAGCTTTACTGTGTGTATATCAAGCATTCTATTTAAATCAGGTTTTAAGTGCGTTACGGTCATGCCTAAGAAGCTTTCTATTTAGCAAAACTAGGTCGGGGGGTGTTTCTGCTGTTGCTTCGAGCGCACAGCCAAGAACCTCCACGGTGAACGCAATAATCGAGGATCGGCGTTCTATAGTACCTGTCTATGCGTATTTTCTACAGTGCCTAGTGCATAAGCTATAATAACATTTTGTAGTGTTAGTATTCTGTTACCATCACGTTTAGACATAGTTTAGCATCCAGGTAATCAGAGGCCAGAGGTTAAAATGACCACAGGTGTCAATGAGGTATTAACGGAATGCCTCGTGCGCGAGATATCTAGTAATGGTAATTGGTAGATTAGCTTATACAGTCTTTTATTGCCTTCAAGTTCGACCTTGAAAGAGAATGCACCATTTAAAAGAAACGGATAATTTTGACATTTTATAAAATAAACAAACGCATTTTTGGTTAAAAATAGAACGAAGATTCCTAGATCAGAAAAACCATTTACGAAAATAAAAGCTTTTTTCATTAGAATTCCATATAATAACAAAATGGAACAATTGGTTTTATCTTTTATTTTTTATGATTCAAGCTTTCTTTTAAACTTTAAGCTATATTTTCTTAGGATGTTTTTTTTTAGGATGTTGTTTTTCCAGCACGCTTTGAAATGTTTTGCCTATTTTTTGTAAATTTCAGTGCGTTGCTCTTTTTATTGTACCGGGCTTTTTTCAATGGGAAAGGCACTCTCATTGAAAATGTCCCATGTCGAAATTGCACTCCTTTTGATATTAGTGACAACAGACTAACTGGGTAAAGCAAAAAGTGTTCAGTTGCTGATTATTTAACACTTAACAACAGAGAAGTAGAAACCAAGAAATGTGAACAATAAAAAGGTCCCGTATCCATCTGTTACCTACCTATCTGCGCTTGCGCCATTTGCTTGAGAAGTGCATCGACTGCAAGGTTACCTATGGAATCTAAGACTGATTGAAGCATGAAGTGAAGAATTAACGCGAAATCTCTGCCGCAAGTGGTAGACTCCCAACTTATGAGTGGGCTTTAATGTCTAGCGGAAACTTCAAATTATGTGAGTTACAAAAGATAATATAAGATTTTTGAATTACGACACAGTTTGTGTGAAACTGAGCAATTTTTAAAAACATCTTAATTTCATAATCATTACGCAGTTGTTATGTGACTATCACGACACTACGCTATACCTACTTAAAAGCTTTAATACAGCGCGAAAATTTTCTTCCCGTCTGCGTAAAACTGTTAAAGGCATAAGATAAAGGTACATAGTGCCATTTTTGTTAGCGATATCAGCAGTCGTTAATGTTTACTGAATAGTCAAGCCTAATTACACAAAAAAGTCTGTTCAATTTGAAGTTCACACATGAAAAGCTATTTGACTGGTAAAATTTCCATAATTCGAGCATAGCTGGCCCACGCATATGTTGAGGTATTACGTCGAGAAGATGAATTGATATAAATACACGCTTGGTATCATAGAGACAGAGATCGTTATCGGGGTGATCGTATTTCCCAACAGGTTCTTGAGGAGAACTTATTGTTTGTTTCACAAAAGCATTTATTACTAACTTTATTTTTGTTTAGAACTCAAACACATAGTTCGTTATGAGGATAAACAGTCTTGAATATTGAATCACTAAAGAATGACATGCTAGCTGTTTAAAAAGCTGGGTTAACAGTCGTAACTCGCTGCAAAAAGGGTTCTCTATGGAACGAGTTACTCATATTGGATTATTCGGTGTATTCTTCGGCTATAAGATCACAAAAAATGGGTTAGTGTTATCGAAAAAAATCTAAGTTTTTGGTTCAAAAATATGCGCCTTGCTAACGAACATGTGACATTTCACGAAAAAATTAATCGAGCATCGCCATACGTCTCAGTAGAGCTTTACTTTGCCCTAACAGAGATTACGGTCCGGAGGTGATCAGCAATCCAACAGATATGTCTAGCGACAACAAAAATCAAGCCCTAAACTCTCTGATTTGAAAAATTTCGAGCTTTTGTTTGTTTGCAAAAAAAAACACCCAAAAAAGTCAATACGGGACTTGGCTTGCCCAGTTTCTTCCTGTCGGTACACCAGTGATCCATGTTTTTCAATATTGCCCTGCACGCAGATTCATTATGAAATAAGCGAGCAAAGGAAACTGGTACATATCAGGTTTACATATTTATTTTCCCTTGGGTTTCTACTTTGAAACCATAATCGTCATGATATGACTTGTAACACAACTATATACATATACATGAAATACCTAAATCCTGTATACGGTCGTGTAAGAATCTAGGAGATTCACCTTATTCCTTAAATATATATATATATATATATATATATATATATATATATATATATATATATATATATATGTATATATACATAAATGCGTGTGTAAAACACTTGCATAGATAGCTGCCGAGTTAACAATACGTGACGTACGGATAGAATTATAAGAACAGAGTAATCCAGAGTGACTGAGTCGCAGTGCTTTGCCATGGGCTTGGAGTCATATATGTTCTCCTCGAACGCTGAATTCTGAATCCGCCTAAGCAGAAGTGGATGTAATGATGTAGGTAGTTTAGTTCGCGGACACCTGATTGGTTGAAATGTTATTGTTGACGTCGTTCAACACCGTTCTAAAAATAAAGAGTGTAACAACACATACTTATGGCACAGGGAAATCCACCATTTTACGGATAACTATGTATATTTATTAAATTATACCCATAATTAAAAAGAGCACATTGAGTTTTCTTTGATTATTTGTGTCTTATTACCTTTGGGTTATTACTGGTAAAGAAAAAAATATGAAAAACAGATAAACTGAACAGGAGCCAACATTATAAGCTCACCGATCGATTTCCAACATGTCTTCCAAAACCTCCCTGGTTATGATCAGCTAGCGGGCTTGGTACTTTTAAGAATGGTGTATCGACCTTATGGCCTTGCAGTTCATTGAGTTTTTTGTTCAACCATTGAATCACACTGTCCTTGTGAGCCACTTGTTTCTAGAATTTCGAAAGAATGGTTAAAATGTAGGAAAAACTTATCGCTAACTGAATGAATATAACATTACGTCACGGCATATATCCATGCTGTCTCCTTTTTTATATAGATACTAAACAGATACTAAACATAGTTGGCTCGCTTTACTAAGGGTTTGTTATGAGCCAAAAATGTCTAATAACGGGTACTATTAGTAATTATTATTAGAATTTATTGAGTTAGATGCTACTTACTCTGAGAGATACATAACTAAGATTTGGAGTGTGAGAAATTAAGTTTACAGTTATATACATATATATAATACAATAATAAAAATTCACTAACTTCAAGATGCTGAACTCTGCTCTCGTTCTCCTTGTTGTTGAGGTCGACGCCTGCGTTGATCCGATCTTTCAGTGCTTTGAGCTCCCTATCTTTGGACTCGATAACCTCCTCCTGCTTCATGATCACGTCGGACCGAACCTTCAACTGCAAAAAAAAAGAAAGCAGCAGGAAAAAAGAAAACATTTTTACTCATGTACATTCTGGATAGTCCTATATTTTTCTGCTGCTTAGTTTAGAACGACGAAAAATAGCAAGTAATAATAATGTTTTGGAGAGCATTTTTTCTTTTTTGTGGCAGGAGAATGTGTTCGGCTTGCTCTCATAGTTAGCTTTACGCCTTCAGAACCTAATGTACAAATATCTTAATAAAAATAATTATGCCATTTTTCACTACATAGTTTATATTGATTATTTCAACCAAGTTGCACGGCTTAGAGAAACCGCATTAGTTCAGAAAGCCTGCCTTAGAATGATATGTCTTTATTTCGGTTTGGAGCTTCTGAATAATATCGTTTGCCTTGAGAATGTCATCCGACATCGTCTTTATTCCGGCTTCTCGCCTCTCAACCTGGCCTTGTTTATGTTCCAGACTTTCTTCAAGACACCTGAAATATATTCCACAACAGCTCACTATTGTAATAAACAGTTTCCGGCATTAGAAGTGACAAAATTTATTTTAAAACCTAACAAAACCCCAGCAGCCTTGTATACTTATATAATAGACAAATATTCTAAAAAATCATAGTGTAGCCTAACCAATAGCATAACAATACTACTTTAGGGAAGGAAACTAAAATAAAGATCGAAGTCGAAAAACAGTAAAGTACCTACGTTTAGTTAATGGCCTGATGTATCTAGTGTAATAGAATTTCTCTATTGATAAATTTCGCATTAATTTACATGTGCTCAACCAGATTCACACCAAAGACCTTCTGGTTCCAAATCCCTGCCCCTACTGCCCGTTTCATTCTGCGGGCCTTGCTCATAGAGGGAGTAAAAACAAAGATACATTCCGTACATGGATACTAAACTGAGCTAAAGCTGCCCCAGATAAGATGACCCCTGAGAATGGTTTAAACATTTAAAGGACTTTTTTCTTCCTTTAGCTGCAGTTTTTACTTTGAATACCTTTTCTCCATTTTGGCTTTGCAGAGATCCGTCTTCATGGCTTCGAGATCAACCTTCAACTGCGCGAGTTTCATGCGCAGCTCGCTATTTTCCTCAGTCGAATCATTTCGCATCATCAAATCCAGCCGTTCCTGTAGCATTCTGCATGTTTCTTTTTCCTGAGTAAGTCGAACCTATAGCAAGATGATAATAAAAAAAGGACCTTGAAACTATTGATGTGAAACGGTGCACATATTTTTTTTAACGAGATGAGTAAAAAACGAATTCTACATCGAGACACGGCTCACAGAATATGTGTTCATCACATTTATCAACATGAGAAAATACTATGCCATTGGAAGAGCTACCCCATACAACGGCGCAAGCACAAAATAGTTATTTCCAACCTAACCACCAAGACATGTCCCCGGGGTGCTTCCTAGTGCAGCCCAATTTAAGAATGCCTAAACTGATATATAGTATAGTCTTGTTGAGCGTACTAAATAGTTATCGTTATCGTGTTCTACAGCGAATCTAAGGTTTGTCGTTTAACCCTGAAGAAAATCTTACTATTTGCTAAATGATCATATCGATATCATAGGCAAGGGGTGATGTGACGAATGAAAGAAAACTAGCTGATGACTGAATTAGGAATTCATTAGAGATTCAGCACAACGTACCTGTGCTTGGTGGGCCTCGGCTTGAGCCTCTCTGATGTGTGTTTCCATAGTAGCTTGCTGTATTTGACCACTCTGAAGCTCATTCTCGAGACAGCGCACGCGTTCCTTGAGGGTCGCTTCTATATCGGACTTTTCTAAACACATTAGCTGCACCCGTTCGCTCATTTCCTACGAGTACAATTGGAAAATTCGTAAAACAAATTAGATATTTCATGAGAACTGATCATATAACTCCCAACAAAATCCATCGCTGAATTTTCATGGTATATCGATACTCATTGCTACATTTGGTTTACGTACCCGCTGAATACCATCTTTATCTCTACGCAATTCCGTCTCAAAGCGGTCCCGTAGTTGTTGCATATCTCTTTCAAAGTCAACCTTCATTTTCTCAATATGTGAACGTTGACTTTCCAATTGGCGTTCGTAAAGGCTCTGTTTTTCCACTAACTTTGCTTCAGCGGCTTTTAACGATGCTTCTAAACGTTCTTTTTCATTCTGAAATAGTACGTGTGTAGATAACGAGAAAATACGACATAGGCCTTACAGAATTCAATGTTTGTTAATTTGGGCATGTTTGAATCGGAGGAGACTACCCATCATTCAAATACGTTTGCAACTATCTATGCTACACACAGCTCGTACTAAATTAGGCTCGCCTAACATTACTTCGTAACGAGGTGAGCTTTACCTTAAGTCGAGCCAGTCTAGAAACCATGCTCTTTCGCACTTGCGCTTCATCAGCTTGGGAAAGTTGAACGCTGAGGTGCACGAGTTTCTTAAACCCATTTGTTTCAGTAATATGTAACTGCCCAGTCCGCGGAGTCCGCTCTACTTGCAGTTCACATTGATACCTGAAAGTGGCATAGTGGTTATTAGTAAAATTACACAGGCAATTTCATGGTTAGTTCGCTGTGCTTAGTGTGGGCCTATGTTGTTCCGTTTATAACTGCCAAGGACATTGGTATCGTGTTTTCAAAATTTTTACGAACCAATTGCACAAGTGCATACCTAGATACGTAAACTTTCTGCGTTCTGATGTTACACTGCAGCAATTGTAATAATGTTGTTACTCGGATCATTATTACCCATTGGCCGTCGGTGTCTCTGTGCGGTAGTGGATAGTGAAATAACTGGATGAACTGGGTAGTGAGCGAATCCCGAAAGGCACAGTAAAAAAAAACATCAAGAATCAATGCGCTCTTTCAGATGGTTACAGGAACTATGTGTTTCTTACTGCTTTCGATCGAGATTGAATTCATCGATTAGTTCTAAAGCAGATATATCTAATGACCTTTTTCCAGTAATCGCATAATGAGGAATGTTTTGCCGACTTAACTTCAAAACACATGATGGTCTAAGTTCGGATTCGAACTTAGACACACTTCGTTTCGTGTCTTCGAAAATCATTCGAGGAATCGTTCATCTGAAGTAATGCCTTACGATTTAAGTACCGTATGTGAAATCCAGAAATGCATTTAATGATCTACCAAAAAGAATACCTAGGTGTAGCGACGGTATCCTCGCCAGCGCACATCTGCAAAAGTTCTACCAGCCGCTGTGGAAAGCTTGCGAAGTCGATCAACAGATGTTGCTGAGTTTTTAACCTGTAACATATAGATATCTTATTCAGTTCATGTATAATATATATTTCTAGTATAACTATATTTGTATTTTTTGACAACCAATTATATCAAATAATTTTTCATTATTCTAGCTGTCCCCATTCTTGAAAATGCTCATTATTCTATTAATTCATCAATTAATAATTATTTAATCGAAATTATGTACAGAATAAAAAATGTACAGAACTAAAAAAGCGGAATACCCAGTAACGAACCAAACGTTTTAAGAGAAAAAATATTCTAACTATTCGGAACGCATTGCATATATTGCTATTCTTTAGCTATCAGTCATTCTGTCTTTGCTTCACACAAAAAGGGGCTCACCTCTGAAAGACATCGTCAGTAATTTGAACTGAATAAAAGATGTACGGATCACTCTCATCGAACAGCTGGATGTGAACGCCGTCACAGGCTCCAAAGAACGATGCAATTCCTGTCCCCGTCGAGCTCCGACGCACTTGAAGACGTAACCGGGTATTTCTGCAAGCAAAAATTAAAAACACTTATCATTGCCACTTTTTCTTATTTAATGAGTCGTCACACTGGTAAAAAGTTCATCGTTAATTCCACAATAATGAGATTAGCGATAGCTTACGATTTCATACGAACGATTATAGGTATAAGACTTAAACAAGAATGTTCGCAAGAAAGATCGGCTTAAACATTTTAGGTGGATTAAGCGATAGATTCATAACCTCCTAATAAATATGACTTGTTTATTTTTTTAAAAGATTCATGTGTAAATTATTTTAAACACTACCTGTTTCATATCGAGACCTTTGCCTTCAAGACTCTCCTCTTTATTATCTAGTGTGAAGCTTCCACTAACGTTTCTAATCCACAAAGTATCCACTTTTCGTTGTGGTTTGTGTCGAGTGAGTACTTGTTTCCATAATACTTCGACACTTTTTGAAGAAGGGGGCAAACGTTTTAAACGCAGCTTAGTGCAAAGCGCATTCTATGTATCATTTTGGTCACGAAATACTCAACCAGTTTCTACGGATTAAACATATTGCTACACAAAAAATATCTGACATGTGACGAGAACAAGCAACTCGTAATATCATTATTGTTGATAACGATCCGTTAGACACATATACACGCTAAACCATAAAGTAATATCATAACCGTGAAATATGGCGCGTTAATTGGCGAACCGTTGATAACGGTAGCTGCTTCCATTGTCACGGTTATGCATTACTAATAAATCGAAACAGAGTTCCCATGAATCGTTAAACCGGCTTTCTGCCGCTTTCTATTTATCCCAATAAAGTCTATGACAATACGCTCTTTTTATATGAACGAATTTATAGCCAGTACTTCAACCACTTGAAATCGTATATTCACTACGAATGATTGTCAAATAGAAATACACTACGTCTCATGGAATATTGCCATGGACACAAGTGTCGTTTGATGAATGATAATAATTTCACAGGCGGCAGTAACGGAACGATAGGCCGGAGCACCACGTTCATAATGAGCGAAGACCGTCATGAGTCCCGCCTAACGGTCCCCGAAGGGAACGTAAATCCCCCTTACATATGAAGACCTTCGACGGTGGGCGCATAGGCATCATGGAAGAAAAGGATGCCGTTCGCTCTCAGGGCTGCCTTGAAAGATGGTGGATGGTGAAAGTCAACAAGCAACTTCTCCGTTAATGCGAATAAAGGGGTCTCATATTAAATGTGGAGTTGTTCGGCTTTATTACCGCATCACAGCCGACCATTAGGAATGAGGTCAAAAAGGCATCGGGGGACGTAAACAGAAGAAAACCAAATCAATCACAAGAATTAATCTAAATACGCAGCCCTTTCACACGCATTACATAACATTTGGAAACGAAATCTGAAAACAACGCAATTTTTTATATACCAACAACGATTTATACACTGTCAGTCATCTACGAGGGTTATGTAACAGCTTACAAAGTACTATGCATCATAAGCTAAATCTTTAGGTTACAAGCAACGACAGCACGAAAATTCCAATCAATTAAGGATTCAACTTGTCGTGAATACAGATATAAATTATGGTCTATGTAAAATTTATTTATTAAAGAAATGCATGCAGATATTTTATAATATAAAGAGTAAAGTAACAGCGCTGTTCGTAAGGTAGATGAAATTCGACGCTTTCTGGACCTGCCCTGTACATAACTCAGTCATCAAAACAAATAGTCGTAAGAACAGTCTTGCTGCTAAAAGTTATCTCCAGCAGCAAAACTATAAGATTATTTAACAAGAGAAATCATAAATGCACTAAATTTTTACGAGTAAGTTTGTTTTGCTAGACATCAGTAGCATTTGACTACTCCGTATGTAATGGAGCATAATTAAAGGAAAAATCGGTTTGCAAGTGCGTTATAAACTCGAAATTAATTCGGCAATAAACGCTTATCCTCTCTGACGAAATTCATTTTAGGTTCAATGATTCAATTTAATGAGATCCGCCACTTCTTAGTTATCTTACTATTATGTTATTGTCTAACGTTATGAGTTTATTATACTGAAGCGTGTATCGCGTTTAATCCTCTGTATTATAACATATATATATATATATATATATATATATATATATATATATATATATATACGACTGATACGTCAAGAACGGCAAACTTTAGCTATTCCGCTAAAAACAACTAAATTGTATATACCGCGCGACTTATTGCTAGCAATGTATTTTTCACTACACTAATGTCCTTATGTCGTTCCATGCTTTTTTGCCCATCCTCACGCTGCAGTGAGATACTCGAGTCTCCAGTCTCACCTGTGGATCTCGTCCTGAACTTTTATAAGCAAAGTTGAGTCAAACATGAACGTATCCTCATGGCTTGACAACATGTCGTACAACATTTTGCTGAAACGATCCAGAACCGGCGAATAGTCAAGCTTTAAGCCACCTTCCAGTCGATCACAGAGACATATACAGTCTCATTTGATGAAATGAACATAAAAACAAGTCATAGGAGCACTATTAACTAAATGACACCATTCTAACGGATCGAGCACAGGCAGCGCCAAAGTCTGTTTGTTCGAACGGCCCGGACGCGTCGCAGAGCGAAGGATGGATAGTGGCGCCAACAATTTCAAACTGAGGGCTCTGAAAAACCGGCTGAAGGCAGCGACATGCGGTAGTTAATGGATAAGGCTGTATTCCTTTCTTCAATCGTACCTTTTATAGATGAGGTATTTTCGTGATCATTGACAAGCTGGGTGCGCAGTTGACCTTACCGCTATCTTTCTGCTGATAATAAGGTTTTATCCAAATAAATATTCTAGCGACTACTTTCGTTCTAAGAAGTTGACCTTTCAGCTATAAGCGCAGGCTACATTAAAGGTGTGTTTGTACCATAGGAAACGTACGGTACTCTATGTGATTATGTTTAATGATGTTCTTTGGATTTGGTTAATCTTACGTAACTACGATAGCTAGATTCTCTGTGCATATGGAAATTATAACGCAGGAGACGAACTTAAAAAATGAAACTTTTACAAAAAATGGTATATTATTTTGCTTAATTTGTGTCTGGGAAATCCTTTCGAATAAATGCAACGGCCTAGGGCCAAAATATTGAATGGCGTTCAGTTATCATCTTCACTAACATGTTTTTATTAAATTGTTAAATGTTTTCTATTAATATTTTTAAGCACATTCGGTTTATCACGTATTGCCCTCCATCATAAATAGCACTAAAATTTTGATGGATTTCTATTAGAATAAATTGAATAAAGAAACCGATTGACAAATAAAAATTCGCGTATTTGATTTTTTTATACGAACCAGACGAAACCAATCAATAACGAAACATGGTTAAAATTTTTGCAGAAACTTCGTTTCTGCGCGTGTTGCTTGGAAGCGAACTTACAAAAATTCGCGCCACTTACCCCCCTCTCTTTTTCATTAATCGGAGTCCACATGCTTTGCCTGGCCTCTCTCTAGTCGCAATAACAGACCGTTCTACCTGTCTACCATTCGCTTTTCTGTCTTTACTAATTTAAATAATTTCCTTTTTAACCAAACACAATTGTCCGCATATTATACTTCCTAAATAATGCACGAATCCAGTACTGAGAAAAGATTACGTGTTCATCAACTGAAAATCGTGTCTACCAGCCAAAAACTAGTAGCGTCGCCGGCAACGCAACCGGACTATCTGTTGGGCAGGGATCATCGTTTGCGATCGTGCCGCCAGCTGCGTGTCCACACAAATCGACACAGGCGCGCCCCTGTAGATGCAGCTGTAGACACAGACCAACGCATGCAAGCGATGCGAATGTCAGCCGAATGAGAGACCCAGATGATCCGCGGCCCATAACAAAGATGGCGCCCACCAGCTTGTTGCCATAGGAGAACAAACCAGCGGCCCCACACAGAGAAAGACCACCGATTCAATGGCCACAAGCCCGCAGAGAGAATACGAGGTAAGAAAATCACAAGCGACGAACGAACTAATCACAGCAACGGAATCATACCGCCGTGACACAACAAGAGATTGAAGAACCCTCACAACGAACAGCGGCAATAATAGTGTTTGCTGTGCGAGTGATGTCATTCGGTCTTTTTCTTTGCTTATGGAATGAGATACGGTGCGACTGAAGCTGACTGCTAGTTAATGTGTGCTAGTAAATCTCGTGTGGTAGTTTGGCATCGATCCTGTTATTATACGTGTATTAGCGACTTTAGAACTCGAACTCTGATCTCATCAGTGTGACACACAGTGCATCGTCCTATAACGACAGGACAACTGTGTCATCAGCCCTACATTTCTATGGCAACTACGACCAACGGCAACGGTTCTAGTTCCATTTGTGCAGGGTACTAGCGAGAATACTCTACTACGGTAAAAACAGTTGTATAGTGAAGAAACAACTAGCAGTGTCCCGTGTGTTCTCGTGCTAGACTCGCTACTAGACTCATGCTTGGGATTCGCTGCAATCAAGCAGAATAGTAGGTGAGTATCGACAATGTAACTAGTATTTAGTATTGGTATTTTATTAGAACAACAACTAGAAGCGGCTTTCGTGGGCTAGCCCCGCCATAGTAAGCAGGTCCCGTTTGCTTTTCAGTCTGAAACACGAACTAAATTTAGACATTAGAGGGTACAGGGGGAGTCCGCGAAAGAACTAGCAGTGGGCTAAAAGGTTTAGAACTGGCGGGGGGAGGGGTAAGTCGAATGCGCAAACTAATAACGGAATACATAGCCACCACGTAGCTGCTGCCACCACATGAACTGCTGCAAAACCCACATAGACGAGTGTTCAGAATGAAGATACATCACTTAACCGGAAATGTACATAGCTCCAATGAGTGTACAATAAAATGGGATGGAAGTTCGGCGGACTCTGTTTGTGAACGAACCCTTAGCAGTGTTAGTACTATTCTCGTACGCGCAAAACGAAAACTTCTCGTTTCTTCTACTTAAAATGTATTTAAAGAAATAATAATAAAGTTTGTATGTAAGCTTTTTGTAGATTAAGTAGGCTAACTGCATTAATGTTGTTAACTGTTTGTAAGTAATCGAATGAACGTAGTATATTTTGAAGTTGACTATCTTAATCCATATTGATGCTTCTAATACCTAAGGTAATTCATATAACGTAAATAGACCGAGTGTAAAAGTTAAAAAAAATCGAATTACAAGAGTAAACGGCGAATAGAGCGTAGTTGTGAACCATAGCACAAGCCGATTGTTTTGAGGATACACGAGGTCCATCCAAATGTTAGTTTAAGCTACACTGTTAGCAGTTGTACTCAGTTCATCAATTATGTCACCCTGAGGTTTCCAGCAATACCCCATATTATAGGGCAATGCTTCAGAGCTTGCGATTCTGTCGAGTTCCCATTAGGCAAAATGAAATGTAGCTTTTGTGCCTACGCTTAATTATGTGCACGCATTTGTGCTTCGAAATCCACTGTTTCATATTCTTGAAAACTTTTTGGGACAAACAAAATGACACGAAAGGGAAAACTCCTCGTTATGGAATACTGACTCCTTATATCGCAGACTGATAAATTCAGAAGGCAAGATGCATAAAAGTTTTCTTCGTAAAGTTTTTTTTTTTTTTTTTTTATTAGGACGTAACGCAGGATTTGAAAAACGTCTGGGAAACCAATCACAATGCCATCAATTGGAAAACATTTGTAGCGCGTCGTATCCTCTTGCTTGTATGAAATACACTGCGGTGTAGCGTACTAGATGGATTTCGTTGAAGTTTTTTTATACCATCGATGATTCTGGTTTTTTGTAAGCATCGTTGGTGTCATGGGTGCTATTTCAATCACTGCTTTATGTCTGCAGTCAACTGCGCTAATTATACCCCGTTTATTATGGCTACTTCTGCTGACAACCCTTGTTGCGTTCGTGTTACTGTTGCATGCCATTTTTCTCTGTTTGTAGATATGGGTTAGGCGGTGCAGATACTTCTACAATGTCGTTCTAGCGGTGTTGTGGCCCGGCCAGATCCGCTGAGTTTGTCAGCAGATGCCAAATTAGAAAGCTTGGAAACGGGCTGCGGTCTATCGTACGTTTTCGCTGATCGGCTTGCTTGGACTACAACATCCTCGGTCGGTCAGACAGCGGCTAGCCGATCTGTGTTCATCGGCATTTTCGAGACAGTGGGACCTATCGCCCATTGCAACAATTAACAATAATGGGAAGCGACTGCTGTAAGCCCTCGAAAGAGGATACGGTTGATCAGCAGAGTTGTCATCATACGACCGACAGCGCTTATCAAAGGCAGCTAGGTAAGTATTTCTTACCTGATACGGCTTTTTACTTATGAACATGTGCTTTTCCTCATTACGACAACCTACTCTTAGATGATAAGAGACGTCATCTCTTGAGGAAATCTGTTAACCTTTTTCGTTGTGTGAGTGTATGTGTACGTTTTTATCAGTTCAGTATGACGTATGTTTTTTCCACGTGAACAGACAGACAACGCCTTGCATCGAAAATTTATTCAAGAACTATGACAATTTTATTGTGCATATCCTACATGAATGAAATATTTATTTAGATTTTATTATTTAGACTTAATAGGCGCATTCGGATTATATGTGGTAAGAGGTAATTCCATGTAAATATATTTCGAATCACTTCATTTCTTTGGACAACTTAATAATAAAAGGTTTAACTGAGACATCAAAGATGAAAAAATTATACAATGAGTCTCGGTTAAGATACAAGCTGTCTATCGTAAGATTCAGATGATTTTGGTTCTTGGGTCACATTAAATCTCTATCTATAGTGAAGTCCGTTGTTCATGGTTGGTTATTTATCTTTGTGACAAATCCACTTTGCTGTAGCAGCGTTGCTTGAATACTTGCATTAACTGCAACCATTTATAAGTGTGTATTCAAAACTTCGAAGCGAACATGTCCCGCGAAAAAATTTGTGCTTGTCTTATAGAATGGGCTAAGCTCAGATGTTCCGCACGTTCTCCACATTGCCAGTACTTTGCCTAAACACGTTTTTTGGTCCACCATAATGAACACCTTACTTATTAAGAAAAGTTCACGTCAGCTTTGTAATAAGTAATGCCCGTTTGGCAAAGCGACCTTCGGCAGAGCATGTTTAAATCTTCATGTTTGTTGGAGTGCGGTATTTTGCATTTCTTTATATTAGTTTCTTTATATTAACATTTCTTTATATTTCGGTTTATATTAGTATTTTTCAGTATCCGGGTTGATGCACCGATTACCTAGTGTCAGAGGCATCTACGAATGAATGTTTTTTAGTTGTTTTGGCGTTAGACATTGGCAGGTGCTTCGTTAACAGTACTCGACTCTTGTAGTCTTTATTCGAACCGTTTAACGTGATTCAGGCCGATCTCAACAAATGTGTGCTTCATGCTAAGCATCTAGATTTTTAAAGTTTCGTCCAGTTCTGTAAAGAGTCGGCGAATAAATCCTGTTCAGCTAATTGAGATAATTTGTGCCGCGTCGTTGAGGCCATCGGCAGGAAAGCAATTAATTTTCCTACGCGATCAAGAAAGCGTCGATGATTACCTTTGTGTGGTCAATTTGGTCCTTTTTTAAAACAGATTCCTGTTCTGCATCTCGCCAATTTCATATATCTCGAGTCTTTTCTAGCTGAGACAAATATGCGCCAGTCTACTACCTAGTGACATTATCGATGAAAGTGTGGTAATCTACACACAGTGACGATTTGACCCTGCCTGCTGCCGAGGTGAGGATAGCTTTTTCATCTGGCAGGTAAAAAAGAAAGAAGCTGTCTCTCCTTTTTTTGCAAGATAATAACAAAAAACGATGCAATATATCTTCCCAGGTGAGATTTCGCTAATAAGGTTTTACTTTGAGTTGTTTGCAATGCTATAAGTGAACTGGGTTTTTTTGTATTTTTATTTATAGTAAGGTCTACCGTAAGATAAGTGTTTATATTTATGCTTATGAAGGCAAGTTAGTCTTTTTTTTATAAATTTTCATTTCAGGTATTTTTTTTCCCGTAATAGCTTTGGCTCTGGTCTTCGACTAGATGATTTTCAAGAAATCACATTAGCGGATATTTGATATAACTTAATAATAGCTTTGCAAGTAAACAGCGAAAAAATCTGAAGACGCATTTTGTGGAATCTGCCTTTTTCTGCGGCCAATTGTAACTTTCGCTGACCGCGTCCACTCATCGCTTGACACAGTATAGACTTAGGGTACAATTAAGTCCTAAATGTTTTATTCCCATATAATATCTAATGATTCCTAATGATGATCTATCATTCTCGCTATGCTAATAATGGCCGAATTAACTGTCATTGATACAAAAAAGGTCATTGCAGGCACTACAATCTAACGGATGTATTAACTCCGAGTTAAGACAGGCCATTTCGGATATTCAATGAATGTTGTCCGTCATCTGAATTAAAATAGCATATCAGTACTCTACAAATGCGACCTCAATATCAATAATTGCATAGTGGAAATCAAATACAGCATTGTCCATACCTATAGCTTTCCATAGTGCTAACGAGGCGGCACTAATTTGTCCTTAGAACTCGCTTAGCGCGCGCAACTGTCTCTAAACAAAACTAGTTGTCCAGCAGTTTTTTTGTTGTGGCTACCATGGATGTTTTGGCAATCTTTTTGTTGCATTCCCATTGCAGAGTATTTCCTTCCGTATAGCCTTCAATTTTAGGGTGTCTAATTTAAGTTAGCCGCTGTCCAATTCCGATTCCCCCTACAGTACCTCTCGCCTTAAAGTTTTTCCTACTGCTACCGTTAGTAGCTGCAGTAAGAAAAAAAAAGAACAGGCTAATAGCCGCCCATACTCCTATACAGAATCAATGGCAAGCAGCGGTTCGTTCCATGGAGAACATTTGTTGGACGATGCTTAGATGTCCTTGCATTAAAGCGGAGTTGTATGGTACTTGAAGCGCAATTTCGTACACTAAAATATGTATATTACTATAGAGGCTAATAATTTTGATGAATGCTTGTGATTGTATTTGAGGATTCGATAAGGTCATTTATGCCTTGGGACGTTCCTCGTCTATTAAAAAGTCTAGACAGGACTACGGTAGTTCAGAGCAATAGACTGTATGGTATATAAAAGATACTTGCCTTCCAAGTGTCGACAAAATGTTACTGCGTCATTTGCTTTGTCCGACATATTCCTTCTGTAGGTGCTTCTATGTATTATTATATAGAAAGAAATATTCATACTGAGAGGTGTACAGATAAGAGTCTTTTTCTCATAAGCCAAGCACATGATATTTTTTCCAATAAGTTCAATGTTATATTTTCTACATTACATTAATGTATCTCTGTCGATTCTGTATCTCTAAGAGATGATTTTAGTGGTAGGTAATTCACGTAGTTTATGAATAATTAGACAATTGTTAAGGGTTTTTATTGAATAGCCTTCATCGCGTGAAGCCGTAAATGAAAAGAACAGAATATATCTATATTCAGATTCTCAACGCTTACAAAACAAGCTTACTAGACTGCTCAAGTAGCCATACTTGTCGTCCCCTAACAGACTGTAGTTCTAGATAAAGTCTATCGCAGATGATTAGTCATCTGTTATAAAGCTATTGGTACGACACACATTAATAAATTATTAATGGTCTGTAAATAACTGACTGCAAACTTCTTTCTTTCTCTCCCGCTCCTTTTCTGTTTGTATTTTGCTATATTTCTGTGTGATCGGACGGTTTAGGTGAGTCTGTTTTGGTGGAGAAGTTGGTTCGGGATGCGTTGTCGGTAATCCGCACCCTGGTAGACCACGATCAGGAGCCGCCTCTCTTTCTAGCACAGCTGGCGACGATAGCTGATCGTGACTGGGTCCTTGTGGTTAGATCATTGTGTCGTGCTATCCCGCTTGAGGATGCCCTTGGTCCGGCTGTCATTTCGCTAGTACTCGACGACTGCCCCCTTCCCAGTAAAGAGGCACTGATGGGTGAGTTCGTGACAACGAAACAGTGAAGCAGTATGTGAAACCACATTTAAAAAAATAACATTTTAGTGTAAACGAAAAAAAAACAGCGTGTATGGTTGGATAGTCCTGTATGTGTTATTCGTCATAAAAATAGTTGTTCTAAAAGTTTGGTTTGAAGAGATAAGCACAAGAAGAACGTTTGATTTTTTAAATGCACCAAAGAGAAGTCCGTTCGAATCTATAGGGTCTGATATTATTATGAGTATATTGTAGTGTAACTAAAATGTTGGGTAAATAGCGAATATAACAGGTAACGATTATGCCCTGCGGAAAAGTAGTGTAATAGTATTTAATTTTTCTTAGGTAAGTTATACGAGAAGTTACAGTTTGGATACTGACCTCTGAGACTCGTTGGTCAACAAGTAGATACGGGGAACGTGTAAATGTGATGTCAGTTACGCTAAATCGGTTGCTGTTTGGTGGGCTCTCTTTCTTCTATGACTATATTACGAAATCGGTAATAATCTGAACAGTGCTACATCTATAGTAGTTTTCATTAATCGTGGTAAATAGTGATAGACGAATTTAAAAAAATTGATGCCGTCGGTTACGTGAACACAAATTTGTCCATAGGCCGACCTCTTGTTGCGCTTATGCAAACTTTGTCTGTCCAAAATAGAAGAAGTCATGCTGTTGCCATGCTGAACGCGTTATATGCCAGTACCTACCTCGGTAAAATACTTGGTATAGATAGTTAATGCTTAATAGCAATGTTGATTGTTACCTTCAGATTTCGATGCCTCAAGCTATAATGAATGAACTGTGTTTTGATTAGGTTATTTTCTTTGGGGCCTTCAAGCATGTTCATATCATCCGACAACGTCTCTGCCTATGTGAGAATTATCTCTAACACCTGCACCTCTTCTTAGTTTGAGACGCTACAGTTTAAACTTTAGATTTCAAACTGGACTCCTCTACACGCTGTAATCGCGGGGACTGGTGAGCATTATAGACTTGTTCAGGGATCTAAGCTTTGGAGTCTTCTTTTTAGCAAGCCTTTATCAAGTTACTTCTATATATACTTGTAGTTACCTATTATTTATGACTTAACTAAAGGCGCTGCTGCATACCACGTCTAATACCTGCCTGGGATATCTCAAGCAAGCGTTTCGGTTTCTGATAACATGATAACAAGCTAGCGATCCTTAAAACTCAGTCAAAGTTTTGGTACAAGCAGCATTTAACAATTTCAAAAATAGACAGTTTACGCGAAATTCACGTTTCAGCCTATACGATATTCTGATTTAAATGAGGCAAATATGTCTGAGTAAAGGTAACCATTCGAATCCAAACTAGAGTTGTAGAAATGCAACAAATCAGCATGAGAAAAGGTAGATAACTATTACTGAACCTAACGACAGAATAATTTAATCATAAATTGAAGTTAAACACCGCATTGTATTTTATTTCTAGGCTTTCTTAATTTGTTTGTTGTGTACACAATTTTGTGTAGGTTTGGTATACCTTCTGACGACGGTTCCTAGCAATGAACCTGCTTACGAGCGTAACCTGTGCGTAGCCTTGGCATGCGTTGCTGACAAGCTTGCAGGACCTTCTGCGGTAACTTTGCTCAACAAAACGACTCTGACTTTCCTGACAGATCGGCTCGACTATAGAAAAAGTCCGACGACTCAGGTGCATAGCGTTTATTAAATGTTGTTGTTCTGACGGATATTAAAAAATCGGTTTTGTATCACTAAAACTTTTGTATTGTACCTTAGCTTCGTTGAAGGCGGATAGTTTGACACCATAGAGACGAACGGTTCTTTTAGTTTCAAAAATAGTGCTTCAGTTTGGCACGTTATTAGTAATAATATACCGATACGTTTTAATTATTTTTTTAGTGGTTAGTATGAAAGTCTCACGTAAAGTTAAAATACGGAATGTTGCGCTAGATAATCTAATGATATAGCTCTTAATCAATTAGTCTGTTGCTAGGAATATTTTGTGATTGTTACATAGATGCGATACGCAGACTAAATGTTTCTTTGTTCAATAGTCGTCGTTTTCGGTTTTTCACAGCTAAGTTAGGAATTATCAATTACCTTCTTGTAAAAACCTTTTACGTCTTAATTTATTATATAGTACTGACTACGGTCTTTGTTGGCTTGTTAGTTAAGCCGTAAGAGAAATAAAGGAAAGCCTAAAACTTTTCCTCCTAAGGACAAAGCATTTCAGAATTAACACTTTCACACTGGGCTGATCTCCCGTGTTAATATATAATAGGACAACAATATATTAAGTTGTCGGTATTTTTTTTAGCTAGATGGCTTCAAAGTCATCTGCCTCAGATGATATAAGTCTCATCCTAATAATGGATCGACGTTGGTGCCATTTGAAGGCAAAGATCTGGCAATAGCAGACGTGCTAAGATTGTTAGAGTTCCTGTACTGTATAGAACGCCTTGAAGATAAATGAAATTTTCGAAAAAATTCGCTGTGTTTCTTAATTTTGTTACGTTAACGGTACAAATGCCGTCCAGACGCATAAAGAATGTGTGCAATTTGTGTCTAAGGTGCGCGATCGAAACAAATGGCTTGAAGACGGTTCTGCCGCTTTCATTCTGAAAATGTTGATGTAAAAGATGCTCCGCGTAATGAGTGAATAATTACGGAAAAAGATTGATCAAATTATTGCGAAAATTGACTAAGATCGATACGTGAGTAGCCATCATATCACCAAGGAACTAAACATTTACTACCACACAGTTTTAAAATGAAAGCTACTATAAAGAGGCTCGATGTTTATGCGTTACACGAATTAAGGCGAAAAAAAGCGCATCATATACGACAATAATGCGCTCTACAACTTTTTAGTAAATACCAGACGGACACCAAAGAAGTGTTTGATGGAATTAGAAGAGAATAGTGCATTATGAGTTTCTACTACCCGAAAAAATGTGGATTTTGAACTATATCAACAACTGGCAGGCCTACAACGAGCTACTGAAAAAAATCAATTGAAACTAGTGAACAGAAAGAGTGTCGTTTTACATTACATACAATTTTAGGTGTTAGACAAAAACTGGGAAGACTTGGGTAGGAAATTTGAATGTACCTGTCATGTTCAATTAAATTATGATGTTTACATAAAAAAAAAAAAACAGCAGAAAGTCAGTGATCAAAATGCCACATACGCAGTTTGTTAATATTATTTCAAAACTGGAAAAACATTTGATTTAAATTTGCTTTTAAAATGGTCAACAATTTCTTCAACAATTATATATCGTTAATGCTAGCTTGGCTATTGCTACAATTTCAGCAGTTACATACTTTAGTAACAATATTGTATAAATTATTCGGTTTTTTATCGCTAATTTGCATTGATCAAAGATAAACGAAAGTTTGCGTTGACAGTGTGCATATACTCATATATGATATAAATCGATAAACAACTCAGTGTCTTTGGCATTCTGCTTCCATGCCGGGCACTGCTCCAGAAATAATAATCAGTAACTGGAAAATGACGATAATTAGAAAAAATTGTAAGTAAAGCGAAATAGGTTGTTTTATGACTGTACGTATTAGGAAGAATCAAAAGTACCTTATTAAGTCTCAACTCAGAGTTTTGCTGATATATCCTATTTAATTAGATAGTGGTTCGTAAACTGTAGAATTGATATAATCTAGAAGGCTCGTCCCGCGCTAATGATGCAAAAAGTAACAGGTCAACCAGCTAGTTATCACAGTTGTTTCGCTGCTGACATGTTTGTTTTGTAGTAAAGTTTGATGTTATATACGCGTTCCTAGAAAGTCATTCGAAAGCGCCTTTGAAACGTATATCGCATTACTTAGATAAATAAATTACTACTAATAATGGTTACAACCGGGGTATAAGAGCCACCGATGTTAGAATAACACTGTAGTGGTAAGGGGGTAATTTAGTTCCTTGAATCTCAGACTGGATTGTGAGTGCGACCTTCTCATGACCTAAATAAGTAAAGCGTAAAAGACTAGCCATATTGTCGATAACTAACCATTAGTCATGTTAGCAGCATTAACACGTTACCATCAAGTCTACCAAATCATCTTCAACGACCTGCCTCGACGAGCTCTCTTATTTGATCTCGAGTGAGATTTCTGGTTTGTTTAATGATGGCGGCGTGTATCACGCTAAGGTGAAATCCCGATGAATCACTGCAACGAACAAGCTATATGAAACCAAAAAAATTGTCGTTTTTTTTTTTTTATCAAACTACTGTACTAGCATGTATTCGGTTATACATGTGGACTGTAGTTACTGAGATGTTACCTTTTGTGTATGCTACAAGTGGAAATACATGCGTCATTGTAATTAAGCAAAATAAGGGCGGTGGGCTATCAGTTTGTCCCATAAGCAAACTGGTTAATTACCACCGAGGGCTATAAATAGAACTGCTGTTTGACGTGTTGCCATAGGATATTCGCTATCTGGGGTATTAAAGGACCGCGCTGTAAGGGAGGTGGGTTGCGATATAAGCCGAGCCTATATTTTTCTGTCCCGTGGTAAAGAGTAGGTGGAGTGGGGAACGGCGTCGATACCCGTGGGCCAGCAAACCGAAGTGGTTCGCAGTTGCCATAGGCCATCAAGAGCCTTATAGTATTAGTACGTCGCTCAATAGTAACAAATCTCTGCTGGGGTAAATTAAACAGCGCGCGCTATCAGCACCTGTCAGTATTTGAGCCCACGCCGCCTTGCGTCGTTAACCTTGAGCTTCTGAAACCATAGGGCCATAAACCATTCAAACGCAGTTGTCCCATACAACTGACCACGCCGAAGTTAATGTCAAATAACTAATATAATAATAAATAAAAGATTATGCCACTGTCAGCAGACGGCAGCAAATATTAATTCAAAAAAACTTATTGTTGTCGATGCTAATGGTTTTCGTTGATTTTGCGTCACTTGTTGTTAGCTGCATTATTAACTACTGTCAAATACCAGGCTAATGTAGGGTTGGCATACCACGACGTATAGGTGTAAGACTGAAACAAAGAAACTATATTTGTTAGTTAAATATCTCCTCTACAATGCTTCGATATCTAGTGTTTTTTACATTTTAAATATTACTGAACATAGAACAATTTTTCCTTCATACCATTTGTAGTAATAATTATGTATTACTCATTTCTTTGCCACTAAAGTTCCAAACCAAGTATCTTTTTATCACATGAGGTCTTGTTCATGTTATCTAGTATACGAATATAAATAATTAGAAACAACCGTAATGACAGTACAAAATAACTCATATTAAAAAAAATGTGCGAATTACCTGTAAATGTTGATGGTTAAAGTTTGTACGTTCAATTCTCTATAGGTGATTCTGTTTGCCCTAATTGCGCTTGAGAAATTTGCGCAAACATCGGAAAACAAAGTGACGATAGAACGGTTCATGGCTGAACGGGGTCTTGAGTGCAATAACTATGAACGACATTCTAGCGGTGAACGGGAAAACCATCCCCTGGAAGTGCTTGAAGGTTGGTCGGATGAAGCCGATCTTGTTCGGCGGCAAGTGGGCTTTTGTGCGCAGTGGGCCCTAGACAACGTTTTTGTACTTCCCGGCAGAGAGTACTCATATCTGAAGGTGGGTCGTTGGGCTTATGGTCAACATATGTTCAATACCTTAAATGATCGTCGTAGGTAAAATCATAATAATTCCGATAATATTGTAAATAGTAATCAAGGCTTTCTGTTTCTACGTACGATAACGTCTCTGTACGGGTTATAATCGAACATAGCAAATTAACATTTCCCTAAGGTTGTTCACATGATTTGTTTAGGTGGACATGCGTGGAATTAATGCGATGTTAAATGGGAACGACGTATCGGAATATTTGAAAATATCCCCGAATGGATTAGAAGCACGAGGCGATGCCAGCTCATTCGAATCTGTAAGATCCACCTTCGAGGTACGTAGTGCAACCATATACACCCTATGTTGAATGGCCAAGAGCCGTTGTCAGAGTATAAGAAATATATAGCTCATTACTAACTTCAACAAAATAGAGACTCGTTTATCTAAATTATTCGAGTGTTTTGTTTTTACTTGGATAACACAGTTGGGCCTTATTGAAATAGTGTGACATAGCTTAGCAGGAAACAGATGGTCGATTAATAATAATATATTCAAGTTACTAACTGTATCAGGCGTGTAAATAATGTTATTTATTTTTTTCGATAGATTTCTAGCGGTTGTTGGTACTACGAGGTGCAACTAGTGACTGCTGGCATTATGCAAATTGGCTGGGCTACGAGAGATTCGAAATTTTTCAATCATGAGGGATTCGGAATTGGTGACGACCAGTATTCAATCGCCTACGATGGATGTAGGCAACTTGTGTGGCATAACGCACAAAGTATAGCGATTGGACACAACGCCTGGAAACCTAATGATATTCTTGGTAAGGCAATTATGACAAATTTTAATTAAGATAAAATATATGACTATAGAACACAGCGCTTGAGCTTCAAGCCATTACTTGGCTTTACTATGCAAAATATTGATTGAATTGAGCTTGAATAAGAAAAGTTCCGTGTAAAATAGGAGGTAAGCTATTTATGTATGCAAGTTTTTGTGAGGCTTAAACTTCGACAATGTAAACAAAAGAACATCGGTGACATTAAGAAAATGACGTTAAACGACCAGAAATCTTCATCTGTCCGATTAAATCATTGGAAAGCACACTGCAATGAGCAACGTTCAATATATTCTATTTACAATAAGAGATTTTTTTTTTATTATATCAGGTAACTGAATAACTGGTATTTTACCGTGTTGCCGAACAGATATTTTCTTGTTTAAGGCCTGAAAGCCTTTATCGGCGATACCTTGATCGCGGTGTATAATGCTTATGGCACGTATATATAAAAGCAATGAATACTAGGATGATGTTGGTTTTGCTTCTTTACTCAGGCTGTCTCCTGGACATCGATCGACAAGAGTGCGTCTTTTCATTGAACGGCTCACCGTTAACAGCATCTGTGTGTGCGGCGATTTTTAACTCGACAAAACAATCTGGTTTCTTCGCTGCCGCATCGTTTATGACATATCAACAATGTCGATTCAATTTCGGGCTCACAGATTTTGTTTACCCACCCAGAGACAAAGACTTCAAAAATTTCAACGACTATGGAGAACTCAGCCCGGAACTAGCTATGATCATACCACGGCATGTTAAACTGAAACGCGGCTCCATTGGTAAGGCGGAACGTTTACGTAAGGTATTTATTATTATGAAATAACAGTTATGTTTTGAACACGCTATTTTAATATTGTTCGATCATTACCACCAAAAATAGTTTTTGTGTTTTTCTGCGAACAAGTGATAGCAATTCCCTCATCTGTTTATTAATATTTCATTTAATCGACGTTGTGCTGCCTGAAAGTTCTTTAGATACATTTTTATTACACGACACATTAAATGGACCTAATGGTCTCTATAACAGCTCTAGTAGAGCAATATTACCATTGAAATCAACATGCCTGCGCATCTTTCTTATATCCGAATGTTTGCTAGCCATCTCGTGATACGTTGCAATAAACTATATTATCATGTTCTTCCTACTGAGGAGCAGCCCAAACGCCGTGCGCACCAAAACCAAGCTCGAGCTATCCTCTTATGTCGTTTGTCTAAACCATCATAACTAAAAAGAGGCCGATCTTGTCGCATTTGACAGCATGAAGACCCAGTTGAACACCTACATTTCCTATATAAGTAATCATATTATACGCATACGCGGTTTACAGGTGGAACAAACGTTTGTTCATTATGTGTCGACCTTGAAGCCACCATAACACTCGAGCCCTGCGGCCATTCAGGCTTCTGCGAAAAGTGCGCCTACATGTTGGAGAACTGCCCGTTGTGTCGGGCAGATATTGCTGAGCGCAAAGCAATACTACCTGCTGCTCTATCCGCTGCAGCAACAACGTCCGCCCCAATTACCGCTGTTAGTTCTCTGGTGCCCGCTAACTAACGCAGATATTTTCGTATGATAATCAGACCAATACGTAACATGCTACAGTGCACCGCGTTGTGATAGTAATCTGTTAAGTGACAGCGCAGTCTGATTGTGTACATGTATTAGCGCAGCAGCATCAATAATGTTACAAGAGAAAAAATAATGTTAGAATAGTATGTGTTCCGCTGTTTGCTTCCGCTACTCCCCTGCCCGTCGCGAACCTCCGCTTTATTAAAGAACATACAATAATATTCACAGAGATCGTAAACGGGATCGATTGATGCGGGCGCAAACTCATGTCTCTTGTATACAAGCTCAGCCTTATATATATTTCTTCAGTGTAGCCAGACGCGTGCTCTATGGGTCAACAATGGACAAAAAACGAACCCATTAACTCAACCAGTCTTGTTGATCACCGCGTGGTCAATGGAGTGGAGTGGCAGCTGGAACGAATGGCCCTGAAAAAGGGAAGTATACCCCGGTGTGAGTAACACGACATGCAAAGGGGAAACCTTCTCGCTGAATGTTCGACCGAAAAAAAAGAGCCTACGCCTAGAAGAGTCTAGGCGTTTGTGTACTTTCAGAGACTTGTCGAATCTGCGTGCTACTTAGGTTTTACCCAAGCGACCAGTGAGGCGGTGGCTGGCGTAGGCTTGTTCATTCGTTACGATTCCTGTTCGATCGTGCAATCAGCCTATATTTATTCGATCGTGTAGGCCCGGTAACATGTTATACAGAACAGTCTAATTATTGCTACTAACTACAATTCAAACAGTTAATAGTAATGCTGATAAGAACGCAGACACAATATGCGTTCGAATGGTTCAGGATAGATAAAAAAAAAACACGTTAAGTAGGTCATATCTCAAGCGGATCATCGTATCTCTATTTGTAAATGTTTAATGGAGATCAAATGTAATAGAGGCATCGTGTTTTTGTGATGTATTTATTTTTATTGAACACCTCGTTCTCAATTATGGCTTTTTTAACATCATCGTAAAATAAGTTCGAAAACTGTTTCATTATCCTTAAGCGGCTCGTGGTAATTATAATGACTGACTGCAATTAAAGCGAATTACCCCTTATGAAATGTAATAACCAAGATAAGATGGCGTCAGCTATTCTCTAGGTTAGGCGAAAATATTTATCATGTATATTTTGACTTTTTGAAACATGTGACATGTGTACATGAGCAGAGAAAAGCAGCACGACACGGTATCACTGGAGTGCAGTGGATATGGAACGAGATTAACTAAAATATGCTTTTAAGCACTATTAAATAGCTGGCCACACCTTGAAGATATTGCCAACAAGCGCAGTCCTAGGAACAAACTCGGGATCTATTTCTTCGGTTATTTGTTCCTCACCGGCTAATTGGCTTAATCATTCCTTGCCTAAGCTTTTCAGCCAGGATCTTCAAAACATAGCCGGTTATTGGGTTTGTTTAATACAAATCAGTGGAAGAATTTAATGAGAAAGAGTAAAAGGCAATTGTAAATGTGAGCTAAGCGGCTTTATAGTAATAGACACGACGAATACAACGGTATGATTTCACATTTTTTTGCTGTTTTAAATATTGTTTTGAGATTTCAAAAAAAAAAAACTATTTTTGAGATCGTCATCGGTGACTTATCTGTGTTGAACCAAAAAAGAAAAGCATTATAGATGAAAAAAATCGTATCACAAAATACTAATTTATATGCAATGGGGTAACTGGAAAATGAGTAACACGCACTCACGTAAGCGAACTTATAAGTGATCTTTCAGGGTAACCAATGAAGTTTGATTGTGAAGAAAGTGAATGGAAAAAAAGTGCGTCTTTTATTGAGATGACTTTACACTATACAATAATGCATTCTTAGATACCTAAGTTTAATATAACAAAATAAAAAATACATTATATATCAGAGAGATAAGTTAAAAAAAAATGTTAGTGTCAGACGAGCGTGCAAGAGCTTGGCCGAATTGTTTTCGTTAAAGGCTTTATATTACTCAGCTTCTAAAGAGCAGTTTCAACTTATATCTTTCGTTTTCCTATAAAGTCTTTTATTTCGTATATTTGTATGTTAATGCATAGAAAAAAAAGGTCCTATTCGGCGATTTGCCATAAAACTACGTATTTTTGTACAGATTTTTTCGATACTAAACATGTCTCTAGTGTTCTGTTATTCCATCGTAACCGAGTAGTTCTGTACTGCCACATTAAAGTAAATAATCAATCCTAAATCATCGTTCTGCTCGTTTAAAGCTCTTTATACGTCTACAGACCTATCACCTTCAACACTTACAAAAATAATTCGAAATTGAAAAATAGGAATATATATAATAAGTAGTGAGAGGCTTTTATCTAGCTAATAAAATGAACCCCCCAAAAAACTTGAACTTCTAATTCACTCATATTTGTGTATACCCAATTGACTATGGTCTAGCTCGTAGTCATAGCCTTCTAGCTTGTTTTGTCCCTGCCTTTAATTCCAGTGAACGTTAATCCAAACCTCAGTTCTGGCGAATATGTAGATCGAAGTGGTTCAATACTGCGGGTTTATCAATGGAACTGTTACAAGCAACTATTTTGACATCATTCCCTTTTATCGTTACGCTAACGCCCTCATAGGGCAATGTTTTTCCTGAGAATTGCCTTCGATTCGTTAACTGAATTTAGTGATAAATATACAGTAACATAATTAGCAAGTAGCATTCATAGGAAGCTTGTTGAAGATTTTGTGTACAAAACACTTTGCTAATGATTCCGCAATTGCGTTTGTAGTTAACTAGAAAATTTTATTACTAAGAAAGTCAGACGTGAACCTTATACGTGACGCCGCTCAAGTAAAGTCGCTTTTTATATATATACACTTTTATAACAATAAAACAATATATATATTTCGAAACGTATGAATTGGATAGTTAGCTTCGTTCGACAATGCGCCTGCATCTGCGTCTGGATGTATGTATAGGCTTATACCCCTGCAAAGGCACGCTCTTTTTACAGAACTTGTTCTCCATTGTTGAACAAATATCGTAGCTAAGAAATCTGTCGGTCTGGTCCCTTTTTATCTCATGCTCGAAAAAAAAAGTGAGTAAGCAAGAGAGCTCAGAAGTAGCAATTAGAAATACTGTGTATGCAGTAGCACCATTCACGCGTTTGTTGCATCAGTAGAAAGGGGACGAGGTACCTAAATTGAGAAAATTGCTGTGAACAGAAATGAAATCAAAACGTCTTGTAATATAATTGATTTGTACAATACAGATGTACATAGATAATTAAAACATGTGGACCGAAATTAGTTGGGCGAAAGGACAATGTTCATACGAGAGCACAACTATGAAAATAATGAATTGTAATACTAAAGGATGCAATAGGCTAAATAAAAAAAACAACGAATCTAACGTTGCGCGTTTTGATTCTAAAATGTCGTAAACTGTGGACCACTCAATATATTGTATTTGGTAAACAGGAACTAAACTCTAGAAAAGTTACTATTTACAAATCATATGCGAGCCTTGCCACGTGCCTGGTTTGTGTTCATTATTTCAACTAATCTGAATCGTTCACCTCGGCTGAAGAAACCTATAAGTCGAGTACACATTAACAATTATCCTGTTGTAGTTATCCTAATCCACATGACCTGTTACCCTTCTGTGGTTATTTCTGTAATCTAGTCCTATGTGTTTACCAAAAACTCAGCCAATCCTAGACTTCTGTTCATGACATATTGGTTCGGTGCAGTTGAAATGTGATTACGGGTACGAAGTGTTAACTGACTCAGCGGGCCCGTGAGTACGGTCGGCCGACCTTTAGGGACGTACGTGGCCACTGATAAGGTCCGTTAACCTATGGGTTCTGTTCTTGAGGCGTGACCGAAGTTTAAGCTTTCATTTATGAAGAATAATAACCGATATAAAACTGGGATCAACACAACTTTCGGGATGTCACTAAAACTTGAACGTTTTTCTTTGTTTGCAGTCTTCTTCTATATGAAGATATGCAATATGGATACATATATAATTCGGTTGACATGCTTCGTTTGGTGTATTGATTAGCGGGATATCAACAAGGGTTAAGTTTTTCTTACTTTTCTTTCATTATAATAAATAGTTAATGCTAAATTAATCGAATCGAAGCTCTAATAAATATTTTGATTTGATTACATTGTTTGCTATGTATCAATTATATGTATATCAAGAAATTGACTCTTGAAGCGTCACCGAGACGTAAAGATTTTATTTTTTTGTTGATAAATGGTGACTTACGTTTTGGTGTATTCCGTATTTCTCTCAAAGTGAAGTAAGGGAATATTTTGGACCCATAAACTGATATTTAGGTGTATAAACATGTAAATTTCGGCTCAGCTGACAGAAAGCTTTCGATTGGTACCAAGATTTCATGTAAAAAATGTTCGCTAGTACATTCGGTTTTTGGCCTTTTTTTGGCAAACAACCAGTTTAGCTATAGAAGGGTTTACTACACTTCTACTCAGTCTTCAGGATCTACCGAATGATGTAAATAATTGAGCTGAAGCTTTGCATAGAGATGTTCTCGATATTTCACTTTTAAAAGGTCACTCAGAGGTTACTTGAAACATATTTTCATAGCCGACAAAGCGAACCCCCTCAATGAGCTTATTACTATTTACGCCAAAATATTTTAGGCATGAAAATGTGTATAAGTTCCCATTCAGCTCGTCAAGATCTATCGACTGGCGTTAAGACTTCTGTAGAATGTAGTAAAATCCTTATATAGAATTGGCACGTTAAATTTCTGCCCCTTCGGAGGGGCATTTTCAACCTGCAAATAGATTTAGGCAAAAAACATTTATTCGATTTTTATTCAGTTCGCCGAAAGCTTTCGATTAGTATTAAGAGCGACCTCATACTTAGACATCCTTCTTCAGCTGCAATTTTTTCGGTAGAATTTTCAACAACAAAAATATATGTATACATATGTAGTCAACAAAACAAAAAACAAAATTTATAGCAGTAGTAACAACGGTCAAAGATTGCAAAAAGAACCATCGATTTGCTCAAATTAACGTAATCTTCTATGATCTATGAATGAAAATCTATTAAAAACCACCCCCGGGAAAAGTATGCAATAACTGGCTTGATCTTACGCGCAGGTTTATTCCAGATCAAAGTCCTGCTAAAAATCAACACGATCCGGCCAATTTAGAAAATCGATTTGCGCCAGATAAAGACACAAAGTTTTATGTGTGTAGATTTGCTAGATAGATGGAACTTCAACTTGATGGAGACTTGCTTTCTGATGAAGAGTTCTATGACAATACAACGAACTATAACGAACGGTGTAACAATTTGGTATTCGTACACTATTTGCTCGTTTTAAATTAGTACTCCAGACCACAACATGGTCACCAAGCTTGATAATTCGTAAACTGTGAGCCTTTCAAATCATTCGTTTTCTAATGTCACATCGGAATTAAAGCCACGTGCATACAGCGTCATTTTTATCACTCCAATTCAATGAATAATCTGCTGCCGACAGCAATGGGCTAAGAAGGCCGCTCACGGCCGTCTTGTCTGTCCTAACTCTGTCACTGGGTATGACTCGTTGAGACCATTCAAGTATTGGAGAACAAGCGCTGCCTTTCTAAGGGCATCTGCTCCGAGAAGGCTTGTATCTGCAAAGAGCTGCAATAAAAAGTTGCAACAATAAGAACATGGAGTGTATCCTTTCAATCATGATTGTATTAGTGTGACTCACCTAGCTTGGTTAGGGCTTAGCCTCTCGTGAAATACACGAAAAATGTAATGTGGATAAAAAAAAACCCAACAACGCTCAAAAGTCACGGCACCAATAGCCGAAAGCCAATTTCAATAGGTGCAGCCCTAAGGGTAGCACTCAAAGAAAGAATAACGTTTTACTGCAGTGCTTTCGTTGACATCGATCTATTATCAGCATGTGCAAGGGGTTTTTAGAAATAAACAAAATGAAAGTACTTCATAGAACGACGTAAAATTAGAACGATGTAAAATTAAACAGCTCAATTTTCCAAATTTGGTCCATTTGGTGCTCCACTATGGCTATCTTAACAAGAATGGAATAAATGATTTTACTGCCAGCTGCAGTAGATGACGGGCTTCCTATCGCAAAAATCATGTTCGAGACATTCGTTGCTCGTGTACCCCATGATAACAATAGCACTCTATTACGGTGGGCGGTTTGCCAGAGCTTACGTGGCAGTATTAGTTTATACCTGTGTGGCATATACAGACATCGAAGACTCAAGAGGGGATACAACACTTGTCGCTTGTGTGACATACCTCGTCATCTTGTGAAGCATAATCCCGAGGACTGAAGTGCGCGAACAGTCGAAATCCTGGAAATTTGCTGGTCCCTTTGTCCGCATCGCCGTCCTCCACAGTAATCACCGGCATTAGCATGAAGCGGGCTTGCATTGTTTTAAACAACAAGTCATTTGATAATACACTTTGAAGAATGCTCTCGTTGCTAATAAGATAATATGTTTCATTCACGAGCAGGACTCCGCTCGAGTTTGTCAGCAGGGTTCGCGCGCTATTGTTGCAAAGTAGAGGCAAATAAAGCAAATGGAGGATTTCACCATATATTGAAATTACTTCCAATAAGGCTGTACAGCGCTAATCGCCTATGGATTTTCCATTACAGTTATGCCAGTAGTAGCAAAAAAATTATACACCTTTAAAATTAAACGTATATTGTGTAATACATGAAATTTACTTGTTTACCTTTACTCGAAAATTCACGTTTTCGATTGCTTGATTGTTCTAGGGATTAATCACCTCTATCAGGGTGCAAGTCCCACATGAGATTTCCAAATAAGGAAAATAACTAAGATAAAAATAAATAAGAACAATGTCTCGATCATTGCTTTAATAAAAAAAAAGATGTTTTTTGGTACAACTTTCGTTCCACGCATAATTGTCAGCTAAGAACGCATTTATGCTGAGGAAATCGCAGAAAGTCGTAACAAAATTTTTTGGCTCAACCAACACATCGGGGAATTAGGTTATGTCTCTACCCCAGGACATCCCATAGGGTGCATGCAGAATGCCTGTGGCAAATACTACAAATTGGAAACGTTGAAGTCAAATTAATCTATTCGGTTTAGAATACAGATGGCTACTGTGCGTTTTGGCTTAAATAAAATATTGATTTAATTTTCTTTTGCCCGAGGCCTGCAGCTGCCTCACTGACTAATTATAGTTATTTTGGGGGTTTGAAGCGACATTGTTAGTACTAACGTATGTTCAATTTATCATAGAGAAGAGTTTCTTTTGGCTCGCATCTAGCAGAATACATTCGTACTTTTTTCCCTTCTCCCCGTAATAGCGCAATGGATAGCGTGTTTTTCCTGCTAAAGTTAGAGACACATTTGTGGTTTATGTTCGAATCCAGACGTAAACATTTCGTCTGGTACTGCAGCTAGTCGCTTAAAGTAATGCCAAACTAAGTACCAAACGTAAATCAGGAAAACACAGTGTTCAAATCGAATTCGAGGTTTCTACCCTAAGCTTTTTTTAGATATAAAAGTTCAAGGCCTTTTGTTTCATTACATACATCAACTTTGTTTCATTACATACATCAACTGAACAGATACAGACTTTAATAAAGTAAGCACCCGTATTATGAACAACAATGATCTAAACCTAAAGGAAAATCACTAAAGTGTTGTAAACAATATATAAATTAACATCATAGAAATTATCTGGCGTAACTTAGATAACATATAGACTAATAATTGTCTAGGCATTTTACCTGTATCAATTTTTTAATAGATAGCCAACAAGTGTTCCTAGGGCATTTCTTAAAGCAAGAAAATTAATTCTATATTTAAAGTTATGTCGATTGTAGTTTGCGCGAAAACTTAGTTACCTTTCATCATGCAAAGCCTTTTTTGGCCACAGATCCAACTGAGGACCTTTTCTGGATAAAGGCATACCACGAGCGTCCTCCTCTATCATTCGTGATTGGAATTCATTTACTATCTGTCCGAAAGTCTTTCCTTGCATGAGTTTGGAAACACCTGGCGAACTTTGTGATTCACTATCATAAAACATTCCCGTAGCCGCTAATATGTTGTTGAATAGATCTTCCGTATAGATTTGATTGTTAATATCTCTCCAGTGAGCCGTGTCTGGAGCACCGTACTTTTTATAGTGTTCCTGCAGTACGCCCTCAGTGAGCTTTGCAAACACCGAGTAACGCTCTGCATGGGTACCGTTTCTTAGTAATTTCGGATTGAAGGCAAACGTCGATACCACAAACGTATTTTGGTCGAGGTCTTTTAACTCGGCATGTCTGGCAGAATTGTGGGGGACACTGCGACGATTCCGTTTGAAAACGGAGGGTGATTGGGCCGGTGCCTTTACGAGAAACATGCCTTTTTGGAGCGGCTCAACTGTTAACGGGCTCAAATCTTTGGGAGACACCTCGCCTTTTACTAGCAGAATGTCGTATTCTGACATCGCTTTGAAAATTCCATTTCTGTCTAGCTCGTTGCAATCGAGTAAGGCCGTACTATCGGCATTCAGGTTAGTTCCAGGACTTTTATTACGGTTCGGCACAACGCATGCCCTCCACGCTGTCACGTATTCATTAAACAAGGAACTACTGATTACAAGGACAGCTAATAGCAGTTGATGCCCAGTCATAATTAGAAGTAATTGTACAGTTTCGTTTCCATAAGCGAAAGGTTTGACAAGTCAATAGCTTCGTCACGAGGTAGCTTTTAAATGGCCCTAGTTCGCATTATTTCTGGCCTCGTACCAATGATATATGCAATGTACTGTTCTTGAGAGTGTGTCAAGCTGACAGGTGTCAACGCAGGCATCACAAAAAAAAGCATAATTTAGAGAAAGGTGGAGTTGCTTCTAAATGCTTTGTTTAGCCTTTGAGGGAATAGCACAAGTAGCAGAAGATGAATCGATTAAAATAGAAGGTGCTCATTTGGAGTTCAACATTTTAGTAAGACGTACTATATCCGCTCCTCTAGGACACCATTAATTTATGAACAAATCAGTAAATCGTATTTATAATTCGGATTTCGATGTGTACTTTTTCAGATGAACATGTCGTTCCGCATCTTGTACAGACGTGTGCTTGAAGTGTATACTTTACATTGAATAAACAATTTTCAAGATAGCGATAGTTTTCTGTAAACGACATTGCGTCAAATTTTCTGTTCTCCTAACAAATGTATGAATTGATACGCTTCTAGTAGCGTTATACAAACAGAAACCTATTTCACTTAGTCTTCCTGTGCGTTTGCCATAATCAGCCTACAACCTATGGATAAAACACTCTGATTTATTGTTGCTCTGCTCATTCGGAGGAATATCGGGTAGACCCTTTACCTTCTATTCGCCTCTTCGTCTGTGTAACTCACAAGTTGACCCTAGTAGTGCGTAAAGATAAAGTTTTTCATAGTTTGACCTATCTACATTTACGTGATTCAGGCGATCAGGATTTATCTACGGGGACGTGGTAAATATCAACAAAAGTAACTTCATAGATTCTAACCGAGTTTTGTAGTTAACATTTGTCTGATATGAATTTATTGCATGGTATTATGTTCGTGTCGTCGATTGTATGGAAATGAGACACTCGCATTACATGTCACGATGGTGTCGTGTTATTTGAACGGTTAAAGATTTACAAACTGGTTTTCTATCGTAGAAAGGATATGAGATGCATCTGCCACCGATTCCTACTGATGTTGCGTTTAACGGAGAAACGCACGAATACAAAATCGTTTCGTTTTATGGAAAAGCTTTCTGTCGATCGTCGCAAACTGTTCCTTTCTTTGATCGACGAACGCTGTCAAAACGTTTCGATGATGAGTTTCTGCGCGTCAGAAATACCAATGACCATTGCTGCAGATGGAAAAAACTGCGGAGAGAATTAACCCATAAAGGCAGGGCGTCGAGTTGTTCTACTACACAGCCGGAGCAATCCCGCCGACAAGTAATTAGATTCACGCGGAAAGTTGAAGGAAACTCCGCAATAGTGCCTACTTGCAAACCTCCCCTTCGATGTTGGGAAAGGAGGTCGAAAATTGATCTGTGCGAACTTGAAAGTAGTCCATATTAATTTGGACATTCAGTCGTTCTCATTATCTAGAAGCAAATAATATATACGGCTGCTAACGTGACGGCAAACACTTGTTTTTCTGTACGAATAAAATGGCCGGCTAAACGTATTCCTATGTGATTCAAGCCGTTTACACTACGCGCGCAGTGTTCCTCATAGAAAGTCGCGGTGTTCTGTATGTCTTAACTCATGAGAAACGGTGCGTACGCTAATGGAAAACAATCATATTCGATGGGTTGAAAGCGCTCGTTACTCGAAACTTTGCGTGACACTGTTCATATGTGACAAATGTGATACGTAATTTACGTGGTGTATATATCATTTTTGTGTAATCTTGAGCACATCGTCCGTGCTACTGCAGTTAAAATCTCATAGAACCGAAACCGACCACGAATCTGTGAAGAACAAATAAAGCACTTGTCTACCGCATTTGAAGGTCCAAGGTTTAGCGCGGAGACGGCTTAGTATCGGCAACAGCCCAAAGTTTCTTATCGAAAAAATTGCCGCTGTCGTATTACTTTTTTTATAATTTTTAATAAATAGCTAAATTTATATTCAAATATGGCTGAAATGTGGATTCTGACTTGGCACTAAGTTTTATATATATATTTATATATTTAAAATGGGTTTAAATAGCTAAAGTTTATTTCACAGAAAAACTTCAGTTTGTTTTACTAGCGTTTTAAAAGAGTTACTTTGAGTATTTTAAACTGATCTCTGCTTTTTTGTGAGCGTCAGCAGAAATGGGTGGCGTTAAACCAACAGAAACCTGTCTCATCGGGATAAAACTTAGACTGTGTTTTTGACAGCTTATGTTTCCACAGTTTGGTTGGAATTAGAAATCTCGGGTTGAAATCCTTTCACAGATATAATACCATAAGACATGTGTGATTCTATGAAGAAGGTACAATTTTACACGTTTCCTGTCGGTTTGATTGAGAACGGATAGAACCACATCCGTCAACAGGTGACGAAGGTGCTGCTGTTAATGTAAACACTGGCACGTGCTGCAGGAACAATAAACTTTATGGGGAATATTGGTAGTTCAGCAGAGTTTCAGCTTTTAGCCGCTTTGCAAATAAAATAGAGAACTCTCAACGTGATCAGTTTGTCAAAAAACACCGCACATAACACTTAGCAAGAGTTAAGAATATGTCTAACTCGTGTATTAGTTTATCCTAAATTTTTCTCTTTTTTTCGGAATAGAGATATAACTTACGGGTTTTTGGAGTAAAAACTGAGCGGAATGATTCCGCCACCAGCAGACTTGCATATTAAAACGTTTGATGTCAACTTATTGTACGCAGTTCTGGGAAAGTTTCTACCTACAAAAATTCCCAAATGTGGTCGAGAACATCTGAATTTGATTAGTGAACTTCAACATCAAATAATTACATATAATCAGATTTCGCAATCGTATCTTTATCTTTCGTTTATTAATACTCACAGTTCGTCTACCTGAATAATGCTACAAGGGAAATTAGCCGTTGATATCCATTCTGCAAATACTTTCTTACGTTAAGATATTGTAATGAACGTTTTATCAGCGACGATATGAGTTTCCGTCAGCTGATTCGCCAAGGCTCTCTAGCATCCTCTCGGAGATGGGATCACTCAATAGAGAGTTCCAAAGGTTCCCAGAAGTCAGCAGACATCAGGTAGGTTACCGGCATTTCAATCTCGATGCTCGAATGCTGTTACTAGATCTGAAAAAATCACTTTTGTGTGGAATTTCAATATGATAGGTGCTGTGTGGGAGAACACATGTAGTCAACAGTAGTTCTCGTTATTTGTTGAATCTATATTGTGTGCTATATAAAAGCTCAGAAGTCGTGCTTAAGGTCTCTCAAACGTCTTGACGGTTATTCCAAGAACCCTAAGGCCTACTATTAATGTGTCTACGATGAAACTAATCTCTGGATATTGGTTCCTATGGGAGTTAAATCATGTCCTTGTTGAAAATCGGCTTGTGTTTTCAAACGAGCGACCGTCGCCGAAGATATTCTGAAAATGCATTCGCCATAAATAAGAGTCTCAGGACATTTTTCGTTGAAGAAAGGTCTGCCTCTATATATCAACCTAGCTTCGCCGCCTGCGACTCAAAAGCGTCTTTTCCTGAACTCTTCTTTTTTGTAATGCGAAAAGCTTACGACGACCCCTTAACATTACACTGGTACGAAACGTGGACCTGAAGCTTTTAGCCTCTAGCGATAGCCTTACCCTCACGCCGGATAGATCACAAACACGCTACCATTAATCGTTTGTAAAAACAGCCATCTATTGCAAGAATAACATTTTGTAGGCTAGACTAGGAGTAGACGAAGAGCTCAAACTAGATGGAAACCGTGACCGGGCACATACTAGTTAAATTAGTCATCTCTTACCTGATAGGCCTGACACCGTTTGCGTATTAATAGGTGCTTTTTCAAGTATTTGCGTGTAAAAGACGTGTGTGTCAACATCATATTGAGAAATAAATGACATGTCTGACCCAGATATGTAAAGTATAAACCTCACTTTGAACATGTAACGATTGGGTGGGTTCTCCTACACTGATCCAATATTTTAATTGTTTCTGTTATACGTACGGTACACTTTATTAAATGCATATTTAAGCGTAATGAAACAGAACAGGATATGTTTCAGTGGTATGCCATCAGACCTAGTTCCATTTGGTATTATGTTGTCATTAGGAAGAAATCCGCAAAGCTATTCGAAAACAAACGCATACGTCAAAGGTTACGGTAAAGTAATAGCCCAGATATGACAAAAACAGATGAACAAGGAAATATCATGAAAACAACACTAATTTATCTTGAGTAACGTAAGCACTGAAGGTTGCAGTTCTACCACCAATATATGTAAACTGCTCAGGTAGGAGTACAAACGACACAAAGTGTATGACTGATGCCTAATGTCAGGGTTAGAGCACCCACTTTTTCAGTTAAAACATGATCTTAGAAGCCTAGAGTTATTGCATAAGACATTTCAACCTTAAGCTTCTATGAGGACGATGAACAAATGGGAGCTTTCGCTTTTTCGCCCGTCGATCATCAATCCCGACTGATCGTCTGTCCATCGTAGAGCAGAACAGGCAACATACAAAAATAATAACATTTAAAATTGATGAAATCATTAAATGATGTTTATTGTCGTTTAAATCGTGCGTTACGTTTTCCATCATTCATTTCCTATTTTATATTCAGCCATTTACAAATTATTGTTACCTTTTTTTCGTCGTTTGAATTTTTAGTTAACCTAAATTGGGTATGCCTGTCCATACGGTTCCCCTGAACGATTTCATCTTCAGTTCGCGCGCCAGCTGTTCACGATTCCTCTTTTTACAATGGTGAGCTGATCTGGTCATGCGAACAACTACGTTTTTACTTACTCATTAAACGTATAACGTAACAAACAGATAATAATCACGCACATATTTAGAAGATACACACTTTACGCAGCCGTGGAATTCGACAAAACATTTTAGTTGCAGGTAGAGTGATACACTGAATAGCTTGCACAGTACTTGAAGGAACGTAGTAGTAATTTTCGATACAGCCTATACAGTAGTTTTTACAGAATTATCCCTTTCGATCTCGTTACAGTTAACCTACAGAGAATATTTTTTTTTTTCTTATTTCGCTTCGTTTTCCATTTTATACCCTCATTTTCCACGCGGTGTGTTATACCATGTGCGCATTTGAAATAAGCACGCGTTGCTACGCATTACGGCTCCGTCGCGTACCCCAGACTCATGTTACCCGTTCGTTTTGTCCTACCTTTTGCTAGCCCCTTTTTCCCTTGTTGCGCCCTTCTGTATATCGATATTCTATCTATCTACAGGCCTCAATGCATGTTCACGTTTTTCATGGTATTGACAACATTTAGATGAGTCTAGTGCATCCTGAACCTTTGTCCTTCTCACAAAGCGAACAAAAGGCGGATCAACACAAATCATATGTTGAATATCGCGTATGTCCTACTCGATTCCCGAGAAGCATACTGCAGCAGTTTCTTTACGTATTACAAATTATTATTACTATTATATTATTATTAGAGCTACGGGATAATAATATACCAATATTTGTCTCTAATTACTTTTCTCGCCATTATGAAATCGATCTCACGCCACTAATGGTTGTTACGCCGATCCCGTTTCTCGATCCTCATATTTTCCGTATAGATTATCCACATAAACGCCCGAACGACTGCTATCGTTGGAGGCGTTCTATTCAAACTCACTCCCCAGACTCAAAAACTCTTAGCATACATAAGATAATCGTTTCCCTTATATATATATATATATATATATATATATATATATATATATATATATATATAGTCACGCATTTCTCTTTCTATTTTTAGTCGTCCCGTCTATTGTACTTTCTAATCTATTTTGTCTCTCGCACGTGTCTGTCAGACAGAACTTCTATTCATAATTGAGTCTTACGTTAATGGAACAAATGTACAATGTGTCATTATATGGTACGATTCATTGGAGAAAACAATTTGTAAAGGAGACAGATTTGTAGCCTGACGTGAATACGGTCTCTCCAGTCTGTCTGATTGTTGTCAACAACAGAAGAACAACACTACAGAACAGAGGGTCTATCTAGTTGTTCCTGTCGACGTTCTTTCCCAGCCTTACGCTTTATGCCTAATTACGCAACAATACCATACGTCAAATTCATTCAAGTCAATCCAGACCATTACCTATACGTAACAGTAATAATAATTTATCTCCACGTTCCACCGCCAGCGTTTGGTCCTGGCCAATGGTGCGGCCCACCGGCGCCATGTTGAGGAGCTCCTCCACTTATTGGATTATGGGGCGGTCCGCGACCGCCTTGCATAGGGCCGGCCCCGCGGCCTCGTGCTCGCGGCCACATCGGTCCTCCGGGACCAGGTGCTCCAGGTGGTTGGCCCCATTGGTTGCCAGGTGGTGGCGGTGGAGGGGGGGGTCCATGACTGCCTCGTAACCAATCATTCCCACCACTACCTCCCCCCATTAGGCCATTTCCGTCAGTGCTGCCCATTGGACCCCAATGTCCGTCGTTCATGCCTGGTGGCCCTGGAGTATGCGGCCACGATCCTTGATCAGGATGAGCTTGAGGTGCTCCATGTGGGCCAGGATGTCCTTGGGGTGGCCCTTGTGGTTGACCCATCCAGTTCATTTGTGGATGTGGTCCGCCATGATGTGGCGGACCACCTGGGAACTGTTGTTGACCCTGCTGTGGACCCCCCATAAAACCTTGCGGCATGCCCATATGCATATGACCCGGGGGTGGTGGCCCATAACTAGGATGGTGTTGACCAGGTGGTCCTGGTGGCATGTTCATGCCAGGCGGCGGTCCTGCTTCAGGCCAGCCCGGCAAAGCGTGTGAAGGCGGCCCCCCGTGGGGCGGCATTCCTGGATGACCAAACTGCTGCGGTGGTACTATCATCGGATGGCTATTTGTGTGGCCATTATTACTACTATTATTGTTATTGTTGCTATTGTTATTGCTATTGTTGCTTGACGCATTGGTATTGTTGTGGCTGTTGCTGGGGGCGGAAATGTTGTTCGGTGGGGCCTGTCCGTCAGTAGGCGGCTGTTCGTCACCCGTTTGTTGAAAGACGACCGGTGCTCTATTTTCCAACCACTGTTGCTGAAATCCTTTGTGAATAGGTTTCGAATGTGGTGTTTTCTTTTGAGGCTTGTCATCGTCCAGTCCAGGGATGGACCCCTCCTTGAGTCTTTGTAGCTGTTCGGCGTCAATGCCCATTCCGGGAATGTTCGGTTCGGGAGCGGATTGAGCTCGACCCCCACCGTCTTCATCGTCCTCGTCACCAGCCATTGCGTTGCCTCCTCTAGGCAAAGTATTCAGGTTGTATCGGTCACGCATTTTATCGCCTGGTCGGTTTCTCGTCCAAAATTTACTGTAAACATCGAGAGAAACGAGAAGTTTTCGAGCATTAAAATATGAATCGGTGTAACACTTTAGCAGTTTAATAATAACAAGCTATTTAATAGGAGCAAATACGTTAATTGTGAGTGGAATGCCTTTTAAAACCTTGTATGGTCGTTGGAACCCGTGCAGAGGATATGACCGACAGGATGCCACGCGAGTGACCATACACACGATTCATGGGCCTGTTCCATTCCGCCCAGTTCCTGAAATTGTGATAAATATGGGTTACGGTTAAAGCGAGTGTAGTTTGTTAGTAGTGTTCTAGAATACGATACAGATCCTTATTAACGAATACCTTATTAGAGGATCCTGAAAAAATTTCGCAAGTCCCCTAAAAACAACCTCTGTGTGTCGTCCATTGATAAAGTAGTTAGTAAGCGAGACTGAATTATGATAAAAGCGAATTTCAATTAAAGCTATAATGGAAAAAATGATTATCAGTTTATCGTTTTTCTGGCGCATTTTTCTTCATGTACCTTGTCACTGCCAACAGCCCAGAACATGACTGCGCCGTCAGAACCACCGCTAGCGAAAATCTCTTCGTGCACAGGATGCCAAGCAAGAGCTGTTGATGAGAAGATAGAAAAAGAACAATGTATAAGTTTGTTTGTCATAATTTTCAAGAACTCTTCGCTATAGTATGCTCGTATGAGAATACCAGTCATCCTTTATGATAGGATTATATCGCTAGAAGCTTTAAAGGTCTCGGCAGCAATAAATAAAAGTTTTAGAAACAGACACTGGATACAATCCAGTATATATATCCATCTTCTACATACTGCATGCTTCCCGTTTGTGTCCACGAAACGTTTGAAGTTCAACATTGAGTTTTCGGACATCGAAGAGTTTGATGAGGTGATCACGTGACGCTGTTAGTAACCAATGGCCGTTTCGGTTCCACCGGGCATCCATGACCTATAATAAGTCAAAGCGATGCAATGTGAAAAAATGCAACATATATATACAATTGTTCTCTTCTTTTATATACGCCTGCAATACCATACACGTAGTACATTACTAACTCAAGTTCCTTACATGTTGTGAAGTTAGAATATGAGCGTACTGTCATTGCTCTGAAAAGCTCCACTTAATTTAAACACGTGTACATATATTTTGTAAATGAATACATTCTTTTCTGCTTCTCACTTACAGTAGATTTATGCGCATGAAGCGTGGCTACACTACGGCCAACCTTCGGACACCAAAGTTTAACGGGCTGTTGGGAATCTTTCGAACCCGACACGATCAGGGCCTTCTGAGGGTGCCAGTCAACACATTTGACATCACTTCCATGACCTCTGAGAATTCTCTCTTCAAAACATCTCTGGAAATCCCACACTCGAACGGTACCATCATCCGAACATGAGCTGAACTTCGCATCTGTTGGACAAAAGCTGTGGAAAACGATATAAATAAAGAAAACCGAGTTACCAGTAATATACAAGGACATATGGCTTGTCTTAGCGTTAGAGCTTGGGCTAACTTAACTGAAAACAGTTGATTTTTCTTTTTGTTAATGAAAAATGTATTAGTAGCTTTGGTCATTTATGCTACAAGTAAAAAAAAAAAAAAAAAAAAAAAACTTGACAAAAGGCGGTCATCAAGCCATACGAAGACGAGCCCCACGCAAACGTACGACCAGCAGTAAACTATACGACTCTATACCTTCAAAGCCGAGGTACTAATCAAATTTCGCGAGCTGGTGGACTTAAACAAACTGAATTTGATATTGAGTCATATCCGATCAATTACTCGTAAATGGCATTAAGCATCGGCAAACTGGTGTACAAAGGATTATTATGTAGGGCCAACGTGCCAAATAAACAAACCATTTGCGGCCCTCAAGCTAATCTCAGTAACATGTACTTTCGAAATGGACGGTAAAGCCGATCTATTTAAGGGTGTGAAACAAAGATTGGTTTGTTCGGCACTGGTAGTAACAACCTCATGCTGTTGCGTGCATCCGTAAGCGCCAATAAAAAAACCCTCGGTCTAAAAGTGAGCATTTGAATAAAAATACGGTAAATGTAGGACCTGAAATAGGGTTTAAATAGCAAGCCTTAAAGCTTATAGAAGATAGAATATCTTCTATTTTTGAGATGGAAAGACTGCGTGAGCTTTTTATTGCGATAGTTATATCGTCCTGTTTAGCTGTGCAATTTGCGGATGGAAATCAATCGTGCACTGTTACTGCTATACACCAGTCAGAAACGTCAAGTTATGGAAAAGTTCGCCTCACCATCAGCGCTAAAGCCCACTAGTGCCGTGCGTCTGTATTCTGAGTTTGTTTCAGTGATCGCTATGCAATAAAATGGCCATGGATCCTATAGAAGTTGTACACCAATAACACAGTATTACCTGTACAATCGAGTAGCAATGCAAAGCGTACGTGTGGTGATGAATTGTATACGATCTCATTTTTACCCACTGTGGTTCCGCATTTTATTTGAACTTTTGCTAGTGAATATGCTGCTCTATTTCCTTTCTAATAAGGCTGTCAATTATCTGTGATCATTATATGTAATTAACACATCATACAATACCGCATTTCATGATATACAGTATCATGAAACGAAAGAAGGCGAGCGAGTGCAAATGCCCTAAATATCTGTAAAGGTACGATATGCTTCGTCTGGGATTTTCAACAACATTATTTTCTGTCTTAGTCATGTACAACTAAGCAATTAAACGGCACATACTTTCTAAACAGTGCCGCCAACAAATATGAATATACTTTAATACATAAAAGCATGTGCTTATGATTATTTTGTAATCGTAAAATAAACAGTAAAATTCGAAACATATAAAACAACTCAAAGCTTCATTCTCCAAACTTTAGCATTTTGTAAAAAAAAATGGTATTGTTACGCGAGAGATACAAGAAAAAAAATCCAAATAATTTGCCGATAAGCACATACATATATATGTGTGTATGTAGGTATAAAATGTAATAATTGTATCTGTGAAAGCTGACTAACTGCGACAGGAGGCCAACACTTAGTTTAAACGACACTCGGTATTACAGACAATATTATAATAGTCCTCAAAATATGTAGGGAGAGAAAGCACTGAATGGCAACTACTGAATCATCTGCTCAATTCAGAGTGTTTTGTTTTTTAAGATACAAATAAAAGAAGTAAAATATGTTTTATGAACGGATCCGTATACATCTCCTTCTATCTTTTCTTTAGTAGAACCATATCATATGAAGCGAGCTCAGTTGTTAAGCAGCATTCGCTCACCACAACTGTCCACAATGCAACAAGAGAATCGAACAGCATCGCTATCTCGGCCTTCTCTTTCCACAACTCTTTAGAGATTATGATAGCTATTTTAGAGAACTCGAACCGTGACACTACAGTCTGTTAACGTCTGAAACATGAAATACCCGACTTGTGATTTAAAGGCCCTTATAGCAGGTTAAATTTACTAGTTCGTTGTCTTATAACCGATTCGGTCCTAGAGATGATTCTCGCATGAGAACGCGGGCGTAATCATTAAAGGACATGATTTCTTTCTGAGTACTATAGCAATTCTATTGACATCGGTACGCCACAATCAAACTTATGGGCTCGCTTAATGTCAATAAATAAGATACATCATAGTATTCGGTTGTAAGTGACTAGAACCAAAATGGCGTCAAAATAATGTTACAGGCGTACCAAAGGTTGTTGTTGTTACAACGCTTCGTTAACCTTTAGAGGATGCGCCATAGTTGTATCAGTAGCTTTGGGGAAGCAGGATCGGAGTCACAAAGCGATGAAAAACTAAAAGAAGCTCAATTTAATACACTTCGAATATTATTTCGATCTAAGGCTTACATGGTCTTCGTACAGTCTTTTCACAAGCTAAACAATCGCCCAGACGTACATATTGCATTTAGCGGTCAAACATAACTACTGTCAAGGGATGTAATGTCTTTAGCCGGATAAGTCTCACAAGCCATACTGACTTCTAAGTGTTTTCCAAATGAACGGGGCAGTCGGAACATTAGCTACTCATTAGGGTAGTTTAAGTAAACTAACATTGTTCAAAAATATTAGAAGTAAAATGTTGATATCATTAATTCGGACATAGCGAGCCAATCAATAGATGTTCTGGGGTTTACGTGCGGCGTCGCCGTTAAATACTGTTTCAAACGGTTGGCCTGCTAGCCACCTAGAAGAAACGAACGAACCTAACCGGCTTGTGCCTACGCTCGGTTTCAAACCTAAGCCGCCTTACGTGTCCTTAAGCTTAATCGGCAAACACGCCTCCACCGTTATGGGTAAGTGCGAAAACGAGTAAATCCAATTTGGTATACCATGACTTCATCAAATAATATTAAACAGTACTACCATGCCACTGGCCAAGGGATGACTGGTTTTTAGTGCATGAGGGCTACACGAACGGGGTGATTACCTAGGTATGAAGCTGGATATGTTTTAGGTTTCCTAATTATTTATATTAAAACGTGTGAATGACCTTTTCTAATCTAATGTCAGTGCATTATGTATGGACATTAAGAGATTAGTCGAGTCACAATATAAGGAATGAACTGATGGGAACTTCCAATATGGTCGCAAGTTGAACGAACCGAGCAACCATTAAGCGAACGTACTAAAGGTGGTTATTGTTTCAAACTAAACTATTACAAAAAGCTAACTAAGGAATTTTCGTTACGGCTGGAAAATAACGTTAAGTGATATATTTTTATCGCACGTGTTGTTTAACCATGTGCCAATGGCGGGTTTCCCGGATTGAAACCTTTCAGAGCAACTTTTATAAAGGTTGATAGATTTTTCTAGGTTTGTTTCGAAACAGTGGAAACCAAATCAGAATACACAAAGGATTCAGACATTAGAGATATTACGCCAACAAAGCGTAATAATAGTACGAGGCATAGAGTCAATAACCCGCTTCAGAGAAATTCCCTATTCTCAGAGTACCAACACTTAAAATACAATGCAGGAAGTTTTAACTCTTCGGGAGAGGTGACGTTTTGCAGCCAGGAAAATACTACTGTTATTAAAGTGCAATGTATTAGTTGTTTAACCGCAAATCATTTTTCCTAAAGGTAATAGAATTCTTTCTCCATCTGTGTCAAATTCTACCATCAAAAGTTGGACATTCTCGGACCGACACTGTAGTCGATAACCGGAAGATGAGCAAAACAGGTCAACCTTCAATCTTCCCAAAAACGATCATTTTTTTTTCTTTTCGAATTACTCAGATACGTGCAACATTCACCTGAATTAAAAAAATATTTTCACCTATTCTGAATTAAAGGCACTTCTCTAACTTGCGAGGGTGAAAACTACAGGATCGGTCGTTATTGCAGTAACAGTTCGTTATTCGACGCCACGCAAAAAGTACACTTCTTTTAGTGAAAAAGTGCATTAACGCTTTATTGTTCCCAGTTCAGGATCCACAGCGTATGCCCTGTGCTAGCCGAGACGACAATAACGTGACAGACGCACCGTCGCTGCAATCACAGCTCCCTCAAGATAGTAACCACATATTACCGTGATTATAACTATTCACATGACTCGACCACAGGCGTTTTGTTCGATTTCCGTCTTTCTCTCACTCTCTCTCTCTCTCTCTCTCCCAAAATGTTTGTCAGATGTTTGCCTTTATTTTTCGGCTTTTATTTTATTATTATTATGATGATTATTATGGATAAATGGACAATAGCATAATAACTTATAGTTCTAACAGGAGAAACAGATTATCACAAGAAATGTAATACCCCATTCAGTATAACACGAATGCCCGGTCATCAAATTAGTACTGATATCAAAATAGCAGGAAACGCAACAACAACACTGACAGGAGCAGGAAAAGTCTGGCTCGAATGTCAATTGTAAAGTTATTTAATTAGACATTGTAAAGATGCCTTGATAATATTGGTTTTCTCGCTACTGCCAACGGTATTCAACATTTGATATTGTCAAGTCAACATATATTTAGCCAAAATTGAGCAAATTTGAGTATCTTTGTTTTTCTCATTCACTAACCGATGACGCATCATCTTCTCTTGATTAGCCACTGTAATCGCTAAAGACTTCATTCAGGTCGCGTTAGTAATTGCTAGTAGGTTGCTAGTAGGATCAGTGGGTGATGTTCATGATGTCATAAATACTATTAAGACTAAGATCTAATAATGGTGCCTTTATTTTTCGGCCGTTGATTGTAATGAAGCTGGCTAGGACTAGAAATACATCTATCGACCGTCGTAGCTTGCAAGCTAATAACGCATTAAGGAGATAGGACCAAAAGAGCGTTCCTGGACTCGAGCACAAACCGCCCACTAACTATGCCTTTATTTTTCGGCAGTTTATTATTAATATACGCACTTTTTGTCAATTAAGAAAGAAAAATATATTCTCGTAAAAAATAGTGAAGCGTATTTAGACTGTGTGAAAATAGTCGACTTGTCTTCACACAATTTCGACATCATAGTACAGATCTGCTGGTGAATACATATATTGTTGCATTTTTTGTATTTAATAAAACCACATACCTAATATATGGACTAATATCACAGTCGAAGACAGACATAACTGTTCTGTTCATCTGGTTTCCTGCGTTAAATCGAGCTTCATACTTAATGTAGCTCTTTCCTTTATTCGTAGAAAAAGTTTTTCTACGTTCGTTGCACAAGTTTTGTATAATGAAAATAATATGTAACAATGTTCTAGTACTGGAGTAGTATAAGAAGAAGTATTAGTTTCAATGTAAAAATCGATGAGAAAATGATGGATGCAGTGATATTTTTGGAAATGGATGATGCTAATTATAGACAATGGAAATAATTAATAGTAGCAGATTGCTGATGTTGTTGATGTTGACTATGGAGGTGGTTGTACCTGATGCCTCTGACGGCTTCCTTGTGTCCTTGGAACATGCGGACGTTATTCATGTTGCTCTGCCAATACTTGATATAACCGCCATGATCTCCTGTTACCATCCATTGGTCCCCTCGGCTCCAAGTCATACAACGGACAGGAAGGTCGTGCGCCTGAAATCGTAGCACAGCATAACAGCAAAGATACAAATCGCAGCGAAGCACAGCAAAACGTGACAGCAGGTGTATTGACATCCGCCGACGAATAATAGAGACCAATTAGAGTAATGTAGTGTCAATGATGCAACTTAATAAATATAAAAAGTACGTGTACGAAACGAAGGATTTCATTGTTTAATTACAGGCAAAAAAGCCCTCCTTCCGTAGCCTACGTCTATTAAAGCTTGGCGTCAATCTAACCAATTTTTTAGAACAAAAAGTTGAATTTTGTTCACCATTATGAGCTAGAGTTGATTCTTGTTTTTCAACCCAGCTTCCCTTTTCTCTCAACTAGAACCTTGTCCTACTTAAATTATGGACATAATTTCTTGCCAAAATTTGTTTGCGATGCTCCACTGCTTATAATATTGAAAAGTAACGCTAATACTTTTGAAGACAGGTTAACCAATTAATGCAACTTGCTTTTAAATGTTGTGGAGCAAAAAATACAAAAATCTACTAAACCTACATATAAAATACATTCCAACGCAATAGTTCGAAAGAAGCGCATTGTTTTGGGAACTACTATTAAAAGTTCTACTCTTACTAAATAATGAGATACGTCAACTAGCAAAAACCCTGTGAGGAGGAAGCAAAACTTTATCATACCTGTAAAATGGTCTCAAAATTAAAGGTTAGACCATTCCATAAAGTAAATTCTCCACTGGAAGCACCGGTAATTAATCGCCGGCCCTCTGGAGTCCACTAGAAATCATAACAAAAAAACAAAATTGTATGTGATAATAGCCTTGTCATTTAAGCTTAATACCAAAAACCTTGTTCAAGCTTCTTGAACCCCGCTATTTAATTTTTAATGCTGAGATATTCTGTACTCTTTGTTAATAAACAATATGTGATTGTAGTCAATAGAGAATCAAAAATATGAACAATTTTTACCTATAAAGCAAACATTTTTCAATAGATTTTATAGTTATCCTAACAGATCTTTACTACAATATGAAACTGGGTACACGGATGATTTTGTGCGATCCAGAAACGGCAGACGTACAGTGACACAGAAGACAGGACATTTCATTTTATTTGTCGCAGCGCGAACAAATTTTGTTGTGACGACGTTAACAGGTGAGTGAAGTAATCCAACCGGAGGAGGTAACTGTAGTTGGTACGATGGGTCAGGCTGTGGAGCTGGTGCGTCTCGATGATCTCGCTGCCATACCCGGGACTAAATAAAAGGCAAATCAAAAAGGTGCCGTGTTTACTGCCTGGCTTATTCGTCAATTAAAGTTTAAAGCTAGCAAAATCTCCTCTTATTACTCCATCTATGTTCTACTTATGCATTATAAGATACAATATGAACTGTAACAATTTACCATAATCCAGTCCGAAAGGCTGGCATTGTAGTCGACGGTTTTTCGCGCCACGGCTTTTCTCAACCGCTTGCCATCAAACTCAGCCGGCAGAGCAGACGCGGCGATTGCAGCATTTGCTCCGTGTGGTCCACCGAGCTGTTTTCCTATGCCACCACCATGGTGTTCTCTGAAAATGAGCAACATGCATTGAATAATATCATTAAAACTGACGAATAGTTGACGTCTATTAGTAAAATAATTAAAACTGTCTGTGTTCGTTTTTTCTTTTTCAATTTCCAGTTCATAAGTGGCATACGATATACGCCTGGGAAACGTGCAGTTTACAACGAATAAATAATATCGTACCTGTTTCCGTGATAACCACCATGGCTATTGCTGTGGTGATGCCCGCGATGACCATGGTGACCGTGTTGATTTCGTGGGACCCAGCTGGGCATAAACTGGTGACGGGGTTTGGCGTATATTTGAGTTTGAACTGACATTGTGCCAGCGCTTCTTCGCGAATACGCGCTGTCACAATTTTCTCCGCCCCACTCTTATCTTCCTGAATTCAATGACCCAAGCTCAATGCAAACTCACTGTCACCCTCATCATCTGTAATCATATCGAGCGGGATGTTAAAGTGCATATTAGTATGTCAATCAGCTGCAATGAAATCGGTTTACAGTCCTATCATACATGCATAGATCTATAACGAATAACCAGTAAAGGTATGATAAAGTATGATAAAAATAGTAATAAAAGACACTCAGAAGTGGCATGTTTACTACGTATAATTGATAAGTCTGTCTAATAATCTAAATGGTCAATTTAGTCTATATGGTAGGAATCTTCGTGATTGGATAAAACTTCAATTTTTCTCATTTAATAATTATTATAAGAACACACTTCAACCCTTCTCTTTTGTAGAGCGACGTGAAAGACACGAAATATAAAAAAAGTAAAAAGAGAAAGAAACAGAGCGCGTACTGTGCACCGACCATTTCGAAGTCAACCCAGGCAAAGTTTGCCCTCTTTTTTTGCCTGCAGGCATTGAGCTGAGGAGAAAAGCGATTATCATCAAAACGAGACGTCCGGAAAAATGCTTTGAGCAATAACAAGATTAGCTCTGAAGTCGAGTTAACACATACATATGTATGGTCAGTGATTCCCGATGCATCAATTTGGAATACACACAATATCCTATCATTACAAACCGTAACGCTTCGAAGTATAATGTCATCAAGGTGACCTTCTAAACGTTTACTGTAATACTAGACGTAATAGCTAGCACCTCGCATCGGACCCACTATTTTAGCTTCCTAGTTGTAGATGAGTTTAGTACAGTACAAATGTTTATTTTAAAAAACACCACACAAAAAATACAGTAGCGTTGCGTCTTTTGAGCGAGGAAATCAGATCATGCGCTTTCCTAAGAGGACTGTGATTCCATCGAATTTCCATTTAAATAACTTTAGTGCTTATAATACGCAACGATGAATATACTTTTACTGAATCTGCGTAATAGCGGCATAAAATGATCGTTTGACAATGACGTGAGAATTATTATGTTAGCCAGCTATCGTCTCTGTTCACATATCCTATCAGATAGGAATGCTCATGATCTGTAACGATTTTCTTTATTTCCTTCTGGAATTTATTGGAAGTGCTTCGGAACACTCGGAGTAATTGTAAGGCATTTTACATGATCGGTAGACTTCAGCTTTTGAGTTAGCTGAATCTTATAGAATGGAATATCACAGTTCCTGCGTAACACATCCCAGGTAGGACAGTAGGACAAACCCACCTACTGCGATCACTGAGAAACTGCAATCTTCGAATTTCCCGGCATGTCTTTCATTACTACACTAACGACTTGCTTTGTGCGGACCCTTTATGAGTGCCTAAAGCGGAAAACATGGACAAATTTGTATGAAATCTTCCATAAGACAAAGTAAAAGTATCCCCGAAAGTGCAGCATGTCTCCCATATAATGCACGACACAAAACATTTAAGTTATAGATTAAGAATAGATGACTCTATATAAATGATACCGGGATAGATATGGAGTAAGAGCAAAATGACAAATAGTTCGCGCACTTTTTTTGTATATATAGGCAGCGATATCCCCCATCGACGTATCTAATCAAAGCACTTGCCATTGGCTTAAATTACGAGTTCAATGCCGGCCGTAAGATGCTCCCAAGAAAGAAAATTCCCAAATAACCTTGAATTCCTTAATGGTAAGCAAAACGGTGTAGTTCCTTATGAACTCGGTAGATCCTTCCCTAAACTTGCTAGACAAAAAAAAACAGTGGATTTAAATATTGCGTTCATAAAGGCTAAAAACCCCAAAATTTTCGGGATCCAAAAGCCACAAAAAACTTACGATCGAAATTTATTTGGATAACCCAAGTGCAGATAATTACCTTTCTTCTTTTAAAATAAAGAAATATACGTAAGTTTAACAAAAGTTCCTTATAATTAGCATTCCCTCAATACCAGCCACGTTTTTTTTTGTAAGCACAAACATAACCGAACAATTCTAACACTGTTGGCGCGACAAGTTAAGCAATGCTTTTTTTACTGTATCAAATGTAAGGTACGACAGGGTACCACTAAAAACAAAATTTACAACGCCACCAAAACCTGTCTTTCCTTGTGAACTAAAATATTACTAAATTACTTATGTGCAGAATTTGAATTTTCCTGGAACCACGTAAGAACAAAAAAAAAGGTTTTTTGAAGCACTTCAAGAAAAAGTTAAAAAAACTAAAATCTTCTTCGTTAACATTAGATTTCAAAAACAGGAGACATATTGCATTTGAGTACGTTTTTCCAATATTCTATTCGTTTTTGTTTGAAATTTTTCATCTAAAAACTTTTTTTTTTTAAACACTAGATGAACTACAGGGGCCCTTCTGACAAAATTAAAAAACAGCAACAAATATTATGCAAGATTAAATGTCTGTTCTGTTTTGTTCGTGTTTATATAACCTAAGATTTGTTCTACTGCTACAAATACTCGCTGTACACAAGATGAACAAAGGGATTTTAACTCATCATTATTTCTCACAGAAAAAAATATAATTGTACTATTCTTTATTCAGCCGACAGTACATAATGATTATTTCGTTTCTTCATTTACTCAAAATTGTGATTATTATTTTATAAAGGTATACAAACACCTCCGAACGTCAAAAAACCCGCGTGTCTGTGAACGTTCGTGTTTTCGTTTGGCGGTCCACCTTCGCTATCGTGACAACGATAAACGCAGTTTCTTTTGCTGACTAACTGCTTTCTCATGACTTCATCATACACAATATAACACATGGACTTCATTTATCAACCCTAGGCGTAAATATACTTTAATGTATGCCTTTATATGGCGAGATCAAACCAGGCAGTTGTTGCGCATGCGTGTCTCAATTGTCATATCAAGTAATAAACTTCAAACAGCCCAAGGCTAGAATAACAGAATTACTTCTGTTCCACTGATCGGTGTACGCTAGCGAAAAGGTTACACCGAAAAAAACCTTTACCAATGTTCATAGCTTTATCTATACACAACCTTATCACTTGTTTTATTTGCTATCATATAATCTTTATTTAATACCCGCTTCAACGAAAATCTATTCTACGCTTAGTTGTAGTTTCTTTGTACAGATACGATATATTTTACGAAAACAAAAACAATACAGGGAATTGAGAAGAAAAGGATAATGGTAGGTTAGTTAAGAAACATTTCTTTATTTTGCAATAGAAGGCCAACAGTGCTAACTTATTCCGAGCATATTTTAATGAGTTAACTGGGAATTCTTAACATAATTCTCTAAGTATATAGGAAGCGGTAAAATAAGGTGTTTCTTTCTGACATATTCACTAAGCGTATTTGACCTAATCGAAATAATGCGTCATTATTACCATTATGCGGTAAAATCTTAGCTTATATAATTCAAAGACACGTCATCAGAAAATAAAGTAAACGGATGGCGTGGAAAAATACTGCAGTAGGTTTTCCTTGGAGCGATAGCCCTGTATGATCGTAATGCAGAAGGCACTAGTGGCTATAGAATGAAATGGTATTTAAGATTAACTTTAACTGAACTGCTCTCGAAACAGTTAATTCAATTAGGTCCTGGAATGCATAGCTCCAATAATATTGTTTGCCGTATCAGTAATTAAAGCTGCATGGTGGGAACATAGTTGGAAGCTCTTGATCATCCATCAATAATATAAAATTTATAAATTCTTAGTTGATTAGTCAGTGTGTTTTTAGCAACAAATTCTATAAAACTAGATGACAAGTAATTAAATTGTTGTTGTATTAGACAACTAGATGACAGGTAATGACTTATGGTCTAACATCTATTACTAATTGATATTCAGGTTCAGTCAAACCATACATTACACATGCTTACATCTCATGTTATTTGCTTGGTCTTACATTATTATTATTATTACTGTTATTGCCGCATTACATTATTGTAGGCCGATAACCACTCGCGTATCCGCGACCGTAGGTATGATTCAGTCGCTGTTCCTTAAACTACAATAAAGTACAAACTTCTGGGAAAATTCCATGAACTTAATTTTTTTCCTATCAATCAATGGGTTTTTGAATATTGAGCTTAAGTTCTGATTAAATGTAGATGATAATATCAAAAAAGTTTATTTTTTGGAAAAGTAAGATACATCGTATATGCGCAAAACATGCGAGGATGTTAGTGCCATAAGGTCTACGATGAAATCTCACTATATACTTTATTTCTTTGCTTGATTACGTATGTTCATTTTTATTTAATTGACGACTATGGTACGCGATTTTCAGAATATACATGAGTCGTCGGTCTAACAACCTTGGTTTAGGAGTCCGCAGGATCGACGCATCTCTCGTTACGTTGAAACGACATGATACTAGCTAACTAATTATATAGCCTTTACGAAACGCATACACTTTACCTATAGGCAATGGCCCTCTTCCCAAATATAAATCTACCGATACTCCGTTATCTGTAAAAACAACATCAGTAGGAAAACTCCAGCACAACTACAAAGTAATTCGCTAAATAATGTTACAAAAAGCAAGAACGATTATCGCTCTTCACATTGCCATCTAAAATTTGTGTTCCTAATATTTTGCAAGACTGCTTGGAGTACAGCAACTCCGCAATCTCGCCATACAACGCGCCTCACCGGCTTCGCAGGCAATTATCCCACTCCCCATTCTCTTTAGACGCTCAAAACTAATTGCGATTCATGGCCAAAGAGCGATCCAATCTGCCTGAGTGATCTTCAATTTTCCTAACAAATACTCACCTATAGTTTTTTACACAGACACACTGAACTGTGATTAGTACAGGGGTGATGATGGTAGCTGTGTAGTAGATTCCTATGGTTACTTCTGCAGGGATTTTAATGAACAGGGCAAGGCGTGCTTGTTGTAGAAAAGCAGAAATTTGTGCAGTGCCGGCGGCCTACTGCACGACCTATCGATCGTCCGGAGGCCGAAAACACCAGCAGGATCTCGGAGCAATTGGAGGTTGCGTACCAGCAATGTGTTTCGCTATGCTGACTGTCAGATTTACCTTCCGTTCAACTAGAGGAGCAAGGCTATCTACTGACGCCGATTCAATGCAAGGCAAATCAAGCTCTTGCCATGTATCCTTGACTCGTCCTGCAACGAGCCACAATGACAACGTAGTTCTAGGTTTCGTTTTGCTTGTCGACGCCAGCGTCAACCTCTTTTCGTCAGATTACTGTACGGCTGCTGCTCGATGTAAACTGCATCTGCACTACTACAACACGCTAATAATTAATAACATCGATGGCAAGAGCGACGGCAGTCAGCACAACAGCCAAACATTCAACTAACCAGCTAGCGTAAAAAGCCGTCCACCTTTCGTACTCCTTCTATCCGATAATGTAAAGCAAGTGCTCACGACACAAAAATAGCAGACGACATCATCACTGAGAGCGTATCATCAACACCCACACAAGAACGACAAGCATTAGTTCCAGTGGACTGAACAAGCAAACAAGCACACGACCGAACAATCACAGCGTGACTACTATCAAAGGCATGACGACGACGGCAACGACGATGCCGGCTGCAAATGGATGAATGCATTACGCGCCAAAAGTCGCGGGCGATTGTCATACCTATGGAAGGCGCGCGGCAAACTGGAACATGTCGGTCCTATGAGAAACATATCTCTGTTTTATAGTGGTTTTCTTTTAGCAGTAATCACTTTAGTTTGTGTTCCATGATTGCACTGCATCAGTGCAGCTTAGCTACAATTTTCCGTTTGTCTTTAGTAACTATAGCTGTGATCGAACAAAAAATAATGCTAATAATTGAAAATTATGATTATATTTGCTTATAAAGAAGCATAGAGCGTTACATTTAGATCGTCAAATCCCACTGATATCATAATAATGACATACCAAAGTGTAAATCTTCTTTCTGATAGGATCGTACGTAGAGCAAAGGTTGCGTGCCACAAACCGTATTATCACTACAAGAACGTATCTGTACCTGCGTGGAAAAACCTAAAAAAGCCATCATTCTTCATTCAACACAAAGTAATTCTCTTTCACGAATCTTCTGCTGCTCAGAATTGCTGTGTCATGTTTGGATTTACAAATCGCTAAATAAGAGTAGTTGGTTAATTGGCACCATCTGTGACGACATTTTTAGTTAGCTAATTTTGTCTTACAGAAGCGTTTATGGCTCTTGGCCATTTTTAGTTATCTCTGAATAATTAAACCGCGAAAAATCTTTATGAATGCATCCTTGTGTCATATTTCTGCAATGATCTTTGCCCGCTACGTCTTGTCATTAGTACTCAATCCCTTCCATGTACGTGGTCCAAGCTAGAACCAGCAGACGAATCGGTCTGACTTATCTTCTTAGGTTGACTATTTTAAGCAGTACCGTATCACGTCCGTTGTTTTCTGACGGTAGTTTCTGCTCGAAGAGTCAAATCGGTGTTTGAACCGAATGCACCGAGCCGGAGCGCTGTATGCACGCTGATGTCATCTAAGCGTCTGCTCCGGCCTTGCTCAATCTATCTCGCGGCGCTGGTCCTGTATTGTATCTGTCGTGCAGATAGGCGAACGACTAGCTACTAGCGACTTTATTCGAAGTTGTTCATTCCATCGAACAAGGGACGCGTTTCCCGCCGCCTGCTACTGTTGTTGCCCCGTTAGCAGAGCAGAGCAAAGTCAGACCGTAGTGGCAGCCATAGCAGAAAAGGTGGTGGTGCAGAGAGATTGTAAAACATTTCAGTTCAACACAGCAACAGATCGAAAGGAACGTTTGTGTTTGTGGGTAACGTGTTTTTAGCTGGTGGCGGGCTGGTGTCTGCGAACAACGACAGCGGGACATCGAGGCGGGGCAAAACTTATATAACTTCACTTTTTGCAAAAGATAGTTAGTAATGGAGAAGGACGAAACACAGAGCTGAATGCGACTATTGAGCCTTCGGTAGATACGCTAGTGGTAGGAGATCTTATGTGTCGATCGATACAAACCGTGTTGCACCGGTTTAATCCACTCTGGTCTACTGCTGCTGCTGCCCCTCGTTGTATTGGTTGGCTGCGCCGCAGTGTCAAATGGTGCTGCTCTCGCTATTGATGTTGGGGGCTCCAACAACGCCAATCAGGTTAGCCTTCAAATTACTCGAATCCGCAGCTGCACTCCCGCCATTCTGTCATTCTTCGAAAACCATCCGATGCCGCCCGTTGGTGTCGACTGCTGATTGGATCTGTGTGGGGTGCTCTTTTCTGTTGGGTGCGCTGAATGATACTAAAAGCCGTTTCAGCGGTTCTAACGACGTCTCAACGGCGCAAAAACGGCGGGCAGCAGAAGCGATACAACCACTGACTGTCTCTTGACTAGTGGCGAATTAGCAGCCGCTAACAGTCGTCATAATAGCCAGTGGTAGCGGCATTGAGTAGTGTTCTATCTGCACAAGCACTGTGCAGGGAATTTTGTCGTGCTCATTACAGGAGTGACAGTCTGTTTTAGAATAACGTAGAGCTCTGCGTCGCTGCGGATAAAGCTGGCGGGTACATAAACATTCGAAACGTGGAGGTGAAGAAAGAACAGGACCCATAGAAAAGCGAGGATGACCAGCCGGGATCAGAAATGGCCACAGCGTGCAACTATTGCAAAAATGGTCTCGTTGCGGGCGGCTCGAGTGTCATTGTTTTGTCGGCTGATTTGAGCAGGTCCGACTGGCCTGGTTAATAGTACAATAGTTGACTGTGGTTGCCCAATTGTCGTGAAGGGGTGTGCGTCTCAAACGTCCCTAAACGCCAGCGAAAGCATCTATAGATTCATCAACAACAGTTCTCCCGAGCAACAGTACTAGCATTTAATTCAACTGAGTGACAGTTGTCTCTCCAGTTAAGCAAGGATCTATAAGAGAAAATAAAGGGTCTCAAAAACTGCATACGAAAAAAAAAGAAGGAAGCATTATAGTCGAAATAAAATCAAAGAAAAAGCCCGCTTCGCTTGGCGGTGTTGGTGTCAGCGAGCGGCTCCACGAGCAGACGGAACCTTACAAAACGAATCCAGCGAGAAGTGGTCAAGAGAAGGAGTCGGCAGTCAAACGGTGAACGGTCGGCGCCACCACCTGGCCGCTTGCGGCTTCTTCGAACAGAACGTCTTGCAGTACGCTGCGTGATCGTGAGTTAGCGGTGGCCTGGCTAATCGGCCGAAAGGCCTGTGGACATACCCGATGACACGCATGTGCCTAGTTGTTGCCACATAGCAGGTACCTCGTGCTTGTGATAGATGTCTTGCCAGTTAGATTAGCTAGTACGGATTGTTGCCGAGAGTGCCTTGTACATAGGAGTGGCAAAAAAAAGGACTACGATTAACTGTATTAGCAGAAGCACTAGTGTTAATATCAAAAGGGTTAGATGAAAGTATTTAACCCACCATTAAAACGCGGGAACGTGCAGTTTTCAATAAGAAGCCACAACAAAAGTGGTCCACACCATTGAAACTCATTAAAGGCGGGTTGCGGGCCTGAACAGACACAGATCCCCAGTGATACTATTCAAACAAGCCAAGAGTAGCTACAAGATACCGCTGGCGCCGGGCAAAGCAGGTGCCTGAGGTCCAGCACGTGCACTTATTTCTACGCTGTTATTGGCTGACTGACAAAATTTCAACTGCATGGGTCCAGAAACAAAAGACGGATACCGCTAGAAGATATCCAGCCGCGAAGGCGAGCATGTGTTTGGCTATTATCAGTTGTGTAATTCGGCGCAGTGATGTTGTTCGTCAAAATGATGAATACTTCAATCAATGATGTGGATCGCCAATGCTAATCCAGCGCAAACGTTCAATAAGCTAATGATCAGCCAAGAAGAGAACGCTATAATAACACATTGGAATAATCAGGCCGTTTGGAAAGTCAGCCCTGCTACTGGAGGTGCCGGAGCAAGTTTATCGTCCATTATTGAGCGATAGGATCCGTCATCACCACGAGAGACACAACAAAATGCCTGTTCTAGAAAGTGTATCGGTGGCCGACGAATCTCAAGAAGAAGTGATTATTGATGTAAGTACTTGAGTTCAACTCATTGCATTTTGTTTGCACATGATTGTGTATATATTGAATAGATAGCGTTTCGAGGAATAGATGGTAGTGCAATTGTATGAAGTGACCCCTCTAGAGGATTTTAGAACATAATTCATTTTGGAGGGAAAGCAGACGGAAGTTCTGCCCGTTGCGTTTAATTGAAAATACTGGTAGCTATTTAAGTGTGCGTCTCACATGTCGTTCGGTGAAGACATTACGTTGCTATAATATGGCGGGCACGGCAAACATGAGAATGTGCTCTGTGAAAGAGTTTTTTTCTTGTGTGTTTGGTTCAACGTAGCGTCGTGTTGCTCGACTCGCGCCAGAGTAGTCATATCACGCAAGCCGATGTCGGCCTGGATCAATACATCGATATGTAGGGATTAGGACCGTTCGAGGTGTCGAACTGAGGTTTATGTTGATTCATCGAACAATACAATGGACACTTGACAACCAAAACTTAGCTTTCGTACGTTAAGTTTGTAATTTGTTTTTAAGATCTAGCGAATAGGCAGAAGTTAAAATACGGGTTAGATCGATCGTGGAGCTCGTACGAAACGCATATTTCCATACTTTATTCCTTTAGAATATTAAAGAAAAAACTCAACTCTCATAGTCTACGCCATGCCTGCATACATAAAGTCATATGTAATCAAAAGTCATAGCCGCTGATTCAATCAAGCCGAATGCGTGACGGTGTACTTTATAATAATTACGAAACTCTAAAAAAGAATTAATAGCAATAATGATCAATTAATACATTATTATACATATTATAGAAAAAGTAGTTTGCTAGGGTAGCCGGCCTGGTTACCGAATGAACTCAGCCATCAGCATCTGATGACCAGACAAACACATAATGACACTATTTTGCCCAGACGTGTCTGCCTGTCACTATAACGATATCACAGCGATAACGAAAAAAGTTATCGGTTGGTAAAGGATTCCACAGCGTTCTATGAAGAATATGGAAAAAAGGCAATAATATAGGTTCTAGAAGTCACTGTACAAAAACGCCAACTTATAATGATCGATGCTTGTAGCAGATATTTATATGAGACGCGTTACTAAACCGAAGCGGCGTCTTCAAAAGTTTGAATATTAGATGCTTCTCGTAATAGCTTTACGTGCAAATTTGGCTGCAATCGGGTGACCACATGATACCGCTGTGCATTGCTGAACTGTTTTGCAAAACAATACTTCCTACCTTATCTATGGTCTTCTGAGTAGTCATTCCTATTTTTGAAGAACACCTTCAAGGACAGTTGAATGTTATGAAAAAGATGAACAAACGCACGTTTGTACTCTTCTATCATTCAGCGATCTATATCAATGGTGACTGCGTCCAGTGTCGCGAGAATTCAACAGTCAAAAATTGAAGAAAAAAATTGATGACTGATATGGACTGTGTATTTAAGGGTGTCATCTCCTATTGAAAGTGGTGAATTGTTGCTGCTAATATTCAGCGAATCATTTTCGTTAGACCGTAATAATACTGTAAGTGCAGACAATACTGTAGATAAGCGGCAACTTATGATGTCTAGTGTTAAAGTAGGCCGATCGTAAACCGATTTGTTAGAGTTATTCATATTGGCCTGAAGGCTACCGAACGAAGTCGATTATAGCCAGATGTATTATAATGTCACGTAGAGAACTACAGCTACACGGACTCATTGTCATCATTATAGGACAGTTGACCACAGAGTTCAATGGTGATTGGTCTCTAGTCTCTTAGCATTACAGTAAAAATTTTAGTGACTTTGTCGCTAAGTGACCAATGATGAGCGCCCTCTACTGGAAGCTATTAGTAAATATAAAATTTTTTTTTAGAAATATATTGATTTATTAACCACAACGAACTTCAAAGGAAATATATTGCTAGAAAGAAGTATTTAGAATGACAATAGCCAAGCCTATCGAATAGGTGGGGCCACCTCGCATACTTAAAATACCTGTCGATTGTAAGAGGAGAGCAATTGATTCGCACTTGACTTCAGTTTATAGTATTAATATAATTACTCTAATGGTTATATCGAGATATTATTAGAAAAGAGGGGATGCTTTTATTGGTCATCATTGTTATTTAATATTTCCCTATTTCTCTGTATTTAGTTTGCTAACTCAAGTAGCTTTTTAAGTCCTGCACCAAATGTGACTTTTCAACATGGTAGTCCACTATCATATCTAAGGAAATAGAATACTAGTTTTGCAAAACCTTTTACGAAATTGTGTAGTTTGGTAGAGGACTTTTATCTGTTTAGATTAATTTTTTTCACCACAGCAGGATATTTTACTGACTGCAGTCGTACGCTGATAATGATCCATGCGTATAGTTCTAAATCATTTCAATTTATAGATACTTCATTCATTGACAAAATTCGTAATTTATATTGAAGGCTATGCGGGAGCGTTTCGTTTCTTGTTGAATCATTTATAGGAAAATCACTGGTCTTCAGTTTTGTGAGTTCATTTGAGGTTGATTAGAAAAAAAAATCATGTTGATTTATTGATTTAACTCTACCATCTATAATCGTGTGTATTGAATATTTTTGTTAATATTCATTAGCAGACGATAGGCAATGTGTTTTTAGTATTTTGTTCGAATAAGAAACAGTGAAGAAGAACATATATTAAACAACAACCTTTGTAAAAGTTGCTTTTAGGCGTATGGTACTCAGCATATTGCAGATGCAAAACGCGGGTTGCAAAAACAGCAACGTGATTAATAAATAGTATGTTACCGGATAGTAGTTTTTCTTTCTTTTAATTGTTCGCTTACATATTTAACCCTTGCTGCCTAATTGTTTTTTTTTAGGGAAAGGCAAAGTACCCTCTACGAGGTAGTCTCTTTCCAAAGGTGCCTCCAACAATGCGCTTTTTCGCGCCAGCGGATGAGAAAGAGGTGGTTCCGCTCCCAGCTGGGGTACGGAATCATCTCAAATGGAAGCTGACCAGTATCACACCTGCTATAGTTCGTGAGACAGTACGGAGATCGGGATTTAGAATTACGTCAGGTCTGTGCAAATAATTAGAGCAAGCTTAATTGTAGAGAACTGCCTATCATGTATTGTTCATGGGCCTTACGATGCCGTTCTGGCATCTAACGTTTCGCATGTCACAAGTCTTTTCTTACACGGTAATTGATTCAGTGTAAGTTAGCTACGATATCAAAAAGTGTTCAAACTTCAAAGCAGAACAAGCGTAATTTGATGATCTGATTTTTCACACACTCTGTGAGCTGAATCTGTTACCGTGGAAAGCTACGTGTAGTGTAAAGCAGCTCCGCAGTCGATAACCATGTCACAGGAGATGCCGTTTGTTTGGTTGAACCGTGGCACAATTAGTCAAGCTATTTTTGAAACACAGCACCTCCATACTCACCCTTTAAACTATGAAATTCAATTGTTGGAACTTCTTAAGGTCAACACATTGATATCGGGCGGGACAACGTTCTAGAGCTATAAAATAGCTTTAGTCTTTATTCATATAGTGGTGTGCTATGTGCATTATTGATCGCAATGATTTATTTTATTGCTACTGAGTGATGAGCTATTCGACCGTTTGCGCTATACTCGCAGATCAGACATTCAATTGCGGACTTGTGTCGATCCTGTTAAAGGACTTAACTAGTCAAATAACATTTACACGCATTTGAATTGGTATGCGTCTATCAACTAACTTCTCTTTGCATGTACGCCGTAGATGGGACCTTCAGAAAAAGTAGTACTTCATGCGATGAAAATTATACGTCCTCAGCCCCACTGGGCCACAGTAGTCGTTAATCTTTTTATAGGCCCGTTAAGCCTGCTGTGGTGGCACTGGAGAGCGAGGGGTGAGCCAACACTGTAGATGTTGTTAATATTATGACTTGCTGACGTCAGTCAATGGAGTGGCGATCATGTGCAAGCGTGAATGTCACGAAAGATATCGCTTCTGTTATGATGTTATTGGCGAGGTCTATAACAATCGATCCAAATGTAGTGTACGGGCTCCAGACGTTTTTTTGATTTGGAACGTGAGCGCCGTAGTGTTCAGAAAGGCAAACATCTCTTACTAAGGACAAATGAATGTGAGGTAGAAAAATAGAATTTCGCTGAGTTCGAATGACAGAACGCAATAAGAAAATGTCTATAAGTAATGAAGGCGGAGAAGGTATATTTATAATGAACATTAGAGAACCCTCAGTATTGTTAGTTAAATATGATAGTTTTGAATCTAATTATCGTTAGGCAGAATAGTAATCGTTCTTTTTGGGCCGAATGAGTACCTCCTTAGGAAGCCTGAACCGCATTGTACATCTAGTATAATTCACTGTGAATATTACGATGATTTACGTATTATCTAAAAGAGCAAGAAAGATAATCGATATATTACTTACTGTAATTATCATACGTACTGAAGTCCTAAAGGCAGCTAGATATCTCCATTGACTGTCAAAGCGTTTTGTCGTTTGTTTTTTGACAGATGAAAACAAATGGTGCGCTATGTGGGGCAAACATATGAAGTTCGCGTTCTTCGCAGGAATGAACCCGTTTCAAAAAGTGAACCATTTTCCTGGTAGCTTTCATCTTGGCCGAAAGGATAAGCTGCACCTCAATTTGTCGCGGTTGAAGAAAAATGCTGCCATCGAACTTGATTTCGTTCCGCAGACATTTCTACTGCCGCAGGAGTCTAAAGCGTTCCAGAAAGCATGGAAAAAGGAGGGACCCCAAAATCATCGCTGGATAGCAAAACCGGTATAACTACATCACATGCAAATATTACATTATAAGGGTAGCGACTAAAAGCAGCCTTTGAAGACTCCTGTTCTAACTGGATATTTCTTTAACGACACAAAACGCAGTCAAAGAACGTTTCTCACTACAACCAGCTCCTTTATCGCGGACGTTCCGATGATCCCGAAGCCATTGTTGGTTGAAACTTCCTCTTGTCATATTTCGAAAGCCTAGCTAAGTTTACGACAAACATAAGTTCCATTAGAAAGTTGAGCAGGAGCGCAGCACTGTCTCCGATATGTTCCAATTTAAAGGTTAATTCTTTGAAACAAGAGTATTTCTTCGTGCATTTTTCTACGCGCATGTACACTGAAGCCGGCGGCATCTCGTGGAACGGGAGTTTTTATTGTGTCCCGCTGGAGTCAGATCTCGCACAAACTTCAGGAAGCTCTCGTTGTCCAGCGGTATATACATCGACCATTACTTATTCGAGGAAATAAGTTCGACTTAAGACTATACGCCCTTGTCACTTGTTGGGATCCTTTAAAAATTTATGTCTACAAACAAGGTGTGTACAGTTAATTTTTATGCGGACATAAGTTGGCGTCACTGTTTCTATGTAAATGCTGATAATTATTTGGTCCAGCGGATACTGTACAGTTGGCTGCAAAAGCTGATATTTCTTTAACGCTTAACGTTATTCTGATTCGATCATGTAATAACACCCAATCGTTCAAAATGTAATTGTATTCATTACATAACTGATTGATTCTGCTAGCGTCCATTCTGAAGCGTCTCGGAGGTTAGAAATAGGATTGAACTTTTAGTGTGTTATATCATATCATAGTATCGCATTTCTTTCTTTATCGTACCACATCAGCGGTCCGTTGTTCTTATAAGCGTTTGTTGAGAGTTGATTATACGTTGCTGCTGTAACAGCTGTTGAATCAAGAATATAAGTGCGCCCATTGTAGCTCTTTACCGACTGGAGTAATTTGTTAAGTCCGCTAGCTAATTTGAGAATTTTTTATTACAGGAATGCTGCGATTTGCCACAATGGCCTATTCGGAATCTGTAGATAGCCTAGATAACACATTCATGCACTTAACCAATTACTCGTTAAATAAGCTGAGTGCTCAGTATTCCGACGAACAGAAATGGACCCTGGATGAATTTTGGGGTCATCTGAAATTAACGAAGCCTGACGTTGATCAGGGGAAAGTGTGGAATAGTCTTGTGAATGTCATCGTTAAAACTTTAATAGCGTAAGTTTGTTTAATGCGTCCATGCTCGATATTTCAACATTCGCGACGAAAAATCGCATACATAGTGAAATTCAGCTTCCCCTAATCGAATTTAAGTTAATTACTTTTATGTTTTCGATGCGAAAAAGGAACGTGTAGGCAATGATAGGCCCGCATAACTTGAACAGGATTGTTTTCATCTGTCTATTAAGATTTCAAGTTGCGCCCATGATCTGACCTAGCGAATGCTTCGTATATATATGTAAAGGTTGGTTAAAGTTATAAAATTTATAATTTTAAGCAACTTTTTACAAAATCGTTCGCTTTTTCAGTGCTGAAGGACCAATCTCACGTGCATCGATGACACACGCACCATCTCGTTATTCGTGCTTCGAGTTATTTGGCTTCGATGTGCTATTGGACGCGGAGTTGCGCCCGTGGCTACTCGAGGTGAACATCTCGCCGAGCATGCGTGCGAGTTCGGCAAACGACCATGCGATCAAGGAGCCGCTGATAAGGGACACTTTAAATCTCAGTGGGTTTCGACTACCGCCTGCAGCAGACAACGCTCGCCTTGACCCTACGGATTATGGGCTGCAACGTGGCGATGTAAATTGCCCTTTTTCTACTATATAAACGTACCTTCTTTACACCTCGAGTAATAAAAGTTATAAAGTAGCCGCTCCTGAAAGATATAAAACGGTTGAAACGGGTTTGTAGAGCGTTAAACCGATGAAAAAATTGTCAACCTCTGGAGGGAATGGCTCTAAATTAAAGCTCGTTTTTATTCAGCTAACTTGTACGAATCTGCGAGTTATTTGAGTATTAAGTAAATGCAATGCTTAACTTGTAGAAAATATGGATTGGTAGAAACAGATGTGATGACAATGCACCTTTGGAGTATTTATTCATCGCATTGGCTGTGATGTTATTTATATAAGTTGTTTTCAGATATAAGATACATCTATCAATGATTTTCATCTCGTGCTAACAATCGTTGTTAACTACAACATTTTTTATTAAAATGGTTGACAATATGCCAGAATTATTGTCGTTGATCATTTCAGTTGTTGTTTATGTCAGCCGGCCTTCACCGAAAACAGTTGACCGTTGCGGAACAGCAAAAACATGATTTCTTTACCTGTGAGGAGCTCGAGCTTCGAGAGGGAGCTATTCTGGAGAAATTGCTCCCGAACGACATTACGATACTCGCAGACCTTGAGGACGAGTTGGAACGATCTCGAGAGACCAATTTTGAGCGAGTTCTGCCTTCAGCCGACTTCGAACACCTCGTTCCTCCAAGGTAACTTTTTTGTTTACTCATTTTTTGTTCTAAATTCAAGTAAACGCATTTATATATTACTATAAAGATTGCTATTTTTAAAGTTGTGGTAAAGGGTCGGTTGTTGCTTTTTTAGCTATGTAGGTAAGATTGACTTAAAAACCCGTTTTTTGTTTGTTCTTATAATATTTAATAATATAAGTCCGGTGCTATCATAGATGGGTGATTATGCTTGAGGACCGAAATAGAATTTGTGCGCTATTTTATGATAATACAAATTTATCAATTTATTAACTGATAACGATAAATAAATAGACTGTTATGGACGATTTCTAAACGCCATTGGGAACATGGGAAACTATGTACCTATAAGCCTAAATATCCGGTCCGAAGAATACCATATATGTATAACCTTATTGTATCTCTTGCCGTTGTCCAGGTATAACAACAAGCTGCTCCACGCATGGGAAAACAGATATAGTGAAAATCGCGCAAAGGGCCTCGCCGTGCTCCAGGAACTGTGCCGGAATGGGGCTCATATAGTGCCGTCTGAATCAGAGGTAATGAACTCATATATTGAACCTTTAATCATGGTGTTATACCAAAATTGATTCTGACACGGAATAATTCGTAGAAGCAGTGATCCGGTCAAGTTGTCTAGTCTGAAATTCTTGTGTTCCTCGAATTCTTTATCGATCACAGTTGATTTGTTGTTTATAATTGGCGGGCGTACCACAAGGCTCACTGTTATGTCTCTGCGACTTAAGTGCCTGTTGTTGTTGTAATTCGAAATCAATAATAGGCCAATCTGCTGACGCAATGTCAAAGCAGCAGTTCACGCAATACTAGTGCAACAGTCAATTTCGTTTTCCCAATTTTTCACATTTCGAAAATGTTGTTAGATTACGAAGAAGTTTTGCGAAATTAACGAATAAAATTAAAAAATGGCTGATCGTTGATTCTGGATTGATTAATTACTACCCAAGTTTTCGTTTCCTCCTTAGTTCGTTTATTGGTGCCGGATCCTCCGTAGTTTAATTTCGTTAAGAGTTACCTGTTTCAAGCTATTACGGGCTGTCGAGGCTTTACTTACTTTCCTGTGTATTAATCCGTTCGAGTTTCTATTAAAAGTTTATCGCGCTGTGTTGTTGTTCTTGTTGTTGTTTTTCTTGTTGTTGATGACAATCGTCGTATGTGGTTGTAACATTGTTGGTGATTCTGCTCCAGGGCAAGAGGGTAGCAGCTATGGTGGACAAGAAGCCGTAAGTATCGGCGACTGATGGAAGTTGTCTTCCATCGGTTGCGCAGTAGTCACTTGTCGCGAGCAGACCAACACGAGCAGGTCGTCAATGAGCGGCAATGATACATAGGAAAAAGAGACGAAGAGATAGAGGTACATAGAGTGGAACATGAGAATGAGGATTACGTGTCTCTTGTCTTGGTGAAGTTCGCACCACCGCTAGCAGCACTACCAACTAGAAAACGTTGGCTTGGCAAATTAATCTAGCTGATTTTGATTTGTCTATAACGGAATGGATATTATGTAAAAAAAAAAAAAGAAGAAAACGGAGTCCACAAAAGCATATGAAAAATTGTTGCACTTCGACACTCTACCCACAGCTAATGGGATCAGGTGATATATGAAATGCAAAAGAATTTGTCGAAAATGCTCATGTGCTGATCGTATTAGCAAGACGAGTCTAAGCGTGCATCTGATGCTTTTGCGCCCACCTGCTTGGCCTCTTAACTGATTGGTAGAAGAATTAACTCACAGCATACAATCAATCCTTTAGATAGCTCAGCGGTGACGTACAACAGTAAGCAAACACAAGGGCTGTAAAAGGCACGTTTTCACGACATCTTCAGAAACTAAGGAGAACGACCTGTAGGCCTTGAGGGGTCCCGCGTAAGGATGCTTGAGACCGTGAACAAAATCAATCACAAGGCCTATTTGAATTTTTCTACAGCACAAAGGCCGCAGTCATAGGTTGTTTGTGTACGAAAGTATGGTTCAATTTTGCAGAAAGCCTAGCTTCGCGTAATTCACATCATCACGAAAACATATTAATGTCCAGCGTTTTCATACGCCTTTGTATTAATTAAGCCGTATTGTTAGAGTTCCAATATGGAAGTACAGCCTAGTCGTAGATGCTGAAATTTTACCAAAGTACACTTTGTTAGAAAATAGTTTTTCTAAATGATCTACAGAGGTATTGCATTTAATTCCCTATGTGATATTCTCTGAAGCTGCTTGAGAGTTTTAACAATAATTACACAGATACGTTTCAGTATTGAAATACAACGTAAGCGCTTTGCCTTTAGGATCCTATTAATTTTTACCGGTCTGACGCTAAGCAAAATAGGCGATTAATGAAACCCATCCACCAGGGTTGGTCTGTCTCGTCTTGTTAACTGTGAAAATCCAAATAAAAGCGTGTGAAGAAGGTATATTATGTGCGTTCTATCAGTGACGTATAAACACGTATATGCATATCTTCCATACTTGTATTAATTTGTTTCAGACGAGCAAACAATTAAATAGGCAGACGCTAAAATGTGACTAATGCGTGAAGCTGGTAATGCACAGACGTATGGTTTGATGAATTCATCGATCTGCTGGTGTAACCTAACGAAACAAAACGACGATTCACAACGACGTATTTATCATGCCATCATGATACACGTGTTTTTCTTTTCTGCCGTGTTTCTATTTTTGGTCCATCTTAAAAGTGCCGTAATTACTTCATAGAGGCCTTTGCTTTATTTCTTACTTTTCTACGACAGTTAGTTCCATCTGAGCCTCTTTCGCAGGCGCCACGCTATTACTCAGCTATTGATGACGAATGCTGTCGACCTAATCTCGTCACCGTTAACTGATCTTTCTGTTATTTGCTTTTTCTTCTGTCCGTGTTTCGTGTCTGCCGTCATCGTCGTCGTCGTCATGTGTTTATCCCGATGCTCATATCAACTCCATCTTCGTTTGAGGGTGCTTTTCCTCTTCCTGTTCGTTTTTGCTCTTCATACGTCGTTCATCGTCACTTCTACTCATAGGACCCCAGCGGTAGCCCCATGGAGGAATAGTTTCCTCTTTAGGATGCGGACGGCCTCGACTCGGAAACCACGTCCGGGCAGCTCCCGGACACCATTTGCGTTTCGCCGTATGATGCGTGGTATGATCATCCCGCCACTGCGTCCGCCGAGGAGGTTTCGCAGCAGCGACTCGTTGACCAGTCAAGATTCGACAACCACTGCCGATACTACCGGCGACTCGTCTTCGTCGTCGCCTGCCGCTGATCCTGACCCCGGCCCCGTTGACGCGCCCGCTACGAATAATAGCAATTGCTGCGATACTGAATCCGACGCGATTATCGCGCTGGCAGCCGTAATCGCCGATTCGGCAGGACCCGGATCGCCCATCATGACGCCTATGACACCCACTGCAACGACAGCTATGCACCGCCATCATCACTTTCACAGCCATGATCAGAATCATCATCCTCATTATCATAATCACCATCGACGTCACCAGCATTACCAGGACCGCTCAACAGAAAACAGCCCCACCAGTGATGATAATGGTGAGGACGATGTCGGCCTAATATCAATTCTGCCGTCTTCGTCATTACAGGTATCTCCATACAACGGCACCCTTAGTGACAAGAGTGAGGCACTCAGGAATCTTGAGAGGCTCCCGTTGTCTTTACAATCAAAGATACGCATTCACGGTGACACATCGCCTGATCAGATAGCCCCTACTGCCACCATAACTGCCACAGTTGTCGGCCGCGCTACAAAAGGTCAGAACAGGATCTCTGAGTCTGCTGCGAATGCCTCGTCATATCTGCACGCTGCCGAATCGAAAGCATTGCACTGCAAGAAAAACTATGATGATCACAATAATTATAACAACTATAATAATACTAATAATAATATCAGTAAGCGCAATTCAATTGCGACTACATCCGTCTCTGTTAATAATTACAAGTTCGAATGACGTTCTCGCCAAGGAAACGGCGGGAAAATTTTGAAACGGTGCAATCATGTGGAATTTGACTGGAGAAGTATATATGGATTATTCATCGCAGGATAGACGGTTGTTAACCCAGAATTGAAGAGGACAGAACGCATGCATCGGGGAAACCCTGAGAGTTTAGGGAACGAGGTAACAGAGGTTCTGTCAAATATTATCAATGAATTAACCATATCTAATTCGATCCAATATACAGGATACATTTATGGAGATTGTGAGATTGTAAAAGATGTATTCATATATTCGACGCAGAACAGTTGTGCGTAAAAGGTGTGTGCTAAGAACCAGTTCTTATTTCGACTAGTTCAATATATGTGTGAACTAAATAAGTACACTTGATCTAGAAATATACACAGGGCAACCAGCTGTTACATAACCATAGTTGAAAGTAAAAATATCTTTTCTGTATGAGATAGGCAAAATGCTTCGATGTAGAACACTGCTGCCGGCGAACAGAGAACTGAACGCGCTCCTGTATCGCTATTATCGGCTTACAGAGCTATTCGTCTGTTCGGCCTTTATGAATACAAACACTGGCCAAGTGTAGCCAAATTCAAATTTATTGAATTGAATATTGCCAATGACTACCACACGTTGGAAAGAGCTTTACATTCACTAGTAGAACTCTGTTCTAATATTATTATAGCAATTATTGTCATCGCCATTTATTAACGTCACACAGATCGTTCGTGAAACCGCGAAGTGCCTCCGCCCGGGCAGGCGAAGCTGTCCAAGAGATAAAAAACAATAGCGATTTATGGCAGGAAAACATTCACTGAAAGACACGAGATGTAGGAATTACAAGATATAACAATTAGAGTAGGAGGCGACGTAGACCATGGGCAACGCGTGATCTTTCCAAGGTACGCACTACAGCGGATATCTGCATATGAAGATGTGTAAACTCGTTATTGAGAGCATCTAAAATGACATAGAGCAGCAAGCTACCATCAGAAGTGAAATTTCAACGATGTACGAAGTATTTGGCCATGAGGCAATCGATGATGCACTAAGTGTTTTGCCATGAGGCAATCGGGTGAGATCTTCCATGATTTCATAATATACGAATTTCGGCAAAGGCAAGAAGTCTAGAAATTCAAATCTAAATAATTTACAACTGAAGATGGTACTGTTAACTGAGCTCAATTTACCCTAATGGTGTCAATCAATTCAACCTACGTGAGTGAATTGTTAGGTTGAATGGACTACTCGGCAAATTTTTGTTTATAGGACTGTTTGCTATAGCGGCGACTTCTACTGTTATTTAACAGTAAACGTATGACAACAATGATAAGAATTGAACTAATTGGACGCATTGTTATTATAATAATACATCAATTTTATCGTGGCGTATGGGTGAGTCTAAGGCACATACTTGTTGTGTAACGGAGGCCAAGTCTGTATGTGAAGCATCTGCTGTGAACATATTAGTCAAGCCTAGTAAACCAGTTATCTATCAAAGTGAATAAGGGGTTCAACAAATTTGTCTATTTGTCAGTGGACACATGCGTATAGCGTCTGCAGATTGCGCCAGATAGTTGCGTGATCTCGTACGAAATGCACCCATGAATCGCGAACAAAATAAGCCAAACAAGAAAGTTGGAAGCAGCGAGAGTTCAGATGTGCCGCAGTATCCTATGGAGTAATGCGCTAAGTATGAGTGTAGGTGGGATTATTAGGCCTTACGCATCGTCAGTACGCCAAGAAATTATGATGTTCGTGATGCCTCAAATTGGTAAGAAAAACTTGCATAAAGTATCTGACTATGCCTGTACGTAATCTTATGTAAAGTCTTGCTACCGTATCACAGTTTTCGTGTCCGCGAACTTGATCCTCGCACAATGCATACATAGTATACAATCTAATACAATAGAAACCAATTATGAGAACAATATCAATAACAGAAGAAAGTAATTATAATTATGAATGATGAAAATTTGAGGTAGGTATTAAGTATAGTATTAGAAGTTATTATAATTGTCGCAGCAATGAAAATAAACAAGAAGTTATTAAAGCATTATAGACTTTCGATTGAAATTGTTGTTTTAGTTTATTAAATATCGGTAAGACAAAATTAGCTTATTTAGTTGAAGCAGTTATTTGAATCTTTGAAGCTGTTGAAAGTATGAATAATCTCTTCGGATGAATTGATTAACAACCTTGATTAGCAATGACCATTACAATGGAGGGGCAGAAAGCGAAGAACTTGGGTCTTAATCTATCTTCCTAAACTAGGACAGTGGAGATGTTCTTTGCAAAAGATAGCAAAAAATCGAATGTGTAGGCGAATTTGTTTATTATGTGTTATGTCGGTGTACAGAAGAAATGAAACAAATGCGATAACATAGATGGCACGTCTATCACGTCGAAATGGATGACCTCCAATCGGGTGTGGTGTGCAAAGCCGCTCTTATTGCAAATGTCCGTTATTGCACGTAGCTGTTTATTTTCTACGTGGGTGTTTGTTCGTGTACGCGTGTGCGTACATTATTAATTTAGTGTGCGTGTGGTATAGTTGAAATTAGCTAACGGAGTAGAGTATGCAGAGATCGTGCCGCACTGCACGACAAATCAGCCTTTTCGCCATGAATGAATGGTTACCATGAATGGCCATGATAGTCATAGCAATATAGCAGTAAATAAACAGAGCACGAACGAAGGTGATTCTGAGTGAAAGCGACAACGGGTTAGGAGCAGTCGTTGTATGCGAGATGTGAAGGCCTAGCAGAAATTTGCAACGAAGCAGCTAACAATAGCGATGGCACAAGACATTGCTTAGGACAGCAGCAACAAACGAAGGAGTCGGCGTATGATTCTAGATATGAACCAAAGAAGTGAATGAACCTATTTCACATATTACTGTCAGTGCAGGAAGCATTTGTGAGCACAAATTTCGCAATAGCAGAGTGCAGGAGTCGAAACGCAGTATTTAATGGATTACTTGGGTTGGAACAAAAATGCTATGGTAGGCATGTGTCTAACGACTACTTAGTGTCCACTCTGCGTAGATAACAAAATCTCCCAAATAGCAACAACTAGCCGAAATATTTAAGTTTGTAAGATTATTGAAATGTTTACCAATAGTAACTACTAGTTCGTCAACTTTTCTCTTTCAAGTAAGCTCTTTTCGATAGCTCTTCAGAACTGCAGGTATGTGGCAAAGCAATGGGTCGATGATGACAATGAGTGCGTATGTATGTATGTATGCTTACTACATATAGTAAGGCCTGATGCTACGATAAACGGGGTCACCGTGCCTGCGACAAATCGGCAGGAATTCTGGGCTGCCTAGAGGAATCCTGAAATGTCCTAAGTATATATATATATATATACCTGTGTATATATATATATACCTGTGTATATATATATATATATACCTGTGTATATATATATATATATATATATATATATATATATATATCAGTGTCCATATTAGAATATATGAGCAATGGATGGCAGAACCAAGACTATTTTTAGTAATGAAAAACGGAAACAATAATAGTAATGACATAATAGTGTTAGATGCGGTAACAGTTTGAAAAAGGCTCCAAGCTGGAAACTACTGATGATGCCTGGAGTGTATTTACTTAGTCGAAGATCGTCCACTGACATAAGAATAGCAGCAGAAAGCTTGTATGAAAACATTCTCATTGATGACAACCATCTGTCCCGATTAGCGACGAAGTAAATGTTGATGGCTGGCGTCAGTGAATAAAAGAAACGTTGTAAGAGATGCACGCCCAATTTTCGATAAAATCGCGGGAGTTTTTGTCATGAGCACAAAACTGCAGAGTCTTGTTTTCCTTTTAGATAATCGTCACATATTGATATAAGCATGTGACACTTTTTTATCGTGACAGGAATCTATTTGCGTGATATCGCGCGAGCAAGTCCACTTTCTAGACACTAATTTTCACTAGTTGAGTATCATGTTATATTACATGGATGGATAGATATTACCTAGTACCTAGTAGTAGTACTTGATTTCATTCGACTAGGTACCGATATTATTGCAGATATAGTAGTATAAGTGGTGAAGGCGGTAAACTAGAAGAGTGATTTACTTAACGACATGGTCGAACGCAAGTTTAGATAGACCTTCGGCATTAAAAAAGTCGACAGTTGTTAAGATCCTACGGATGAAGTGAACCCTTTTGAGTGAACCGCATGGTGATGTCGATTAGAAGACAAATCTGAAGCAAGCTTACCTCAAGAGCAGGATCCTTCCACCACTTGTATGCTATAATTTCTTGTCCTACTCAACGTTGTAACCAGCTACGACAACGGAGATACATATCAAGCAGTTATATGTCAATTAATGTATTGAACACCGCATGTATAAAATGGGTAAGAACACCGAAACAACAAAAAAATCGTCTCACGTAACTATTCCTGATCATGTAAATTAGAAAGCCCTTTTTAGAGCTAAATAGATCTTTAATGTGGTTTCTCATTTATAAAACGAATGCCCTGAGTACGAGTTGCGTACGTAATAGAGAACGCTGTGCGACGAGCAGTCCATGGAGCAGGGTCCTGCTCGTATCTAGAAGAATAAGACGTACCCTAGAATAAAACACCTTTTTATTTATACTTTTACTTACACTTTTAGCTTTCCGTTGTCCGCTGCTTACGCGCGTTCTTTGTGAAGGCACGTGGAAACAGCCAGTAATTTGGCATTGTCAATTCTTGCCGAATGTCACGTATGTACTTGTTCAATATTACTCAGTAATTAATATTTGCGCTAGCTGAAATCCTCCATACTACATATCTCAATAGATCAAGAACCATTCGTTCAGCAGATTTTATGGACCGTCTCGTTCTTTTTCAAAGTGGATACGTTTTATATTAGGACATCATCTATATCGCCCATCATCAAACAGAGCATACATTGATTTTCCTTGTTATTTTTCTGTACCTTCGCTTTGATCCGTGGGACTGTTATAATGGCGGGATATCTTGAATTTAATGTATTCGTTGATTTACTGCATTTTGAGAATTTAGCCACTTGGTTTCATTTCAGTTGGATTGATTCGCTCAAATCTATTTCTCTTCCTAGCCAAATGGTGCCATTTACTCGCTAGTCCTTGTATTGCTGTTGTGCCTGACGAGTTCGTTCTTTTGGACACAGCTGTTAGGCTACATGATCCTGGTCGTTTTCACAGTGGGACCTATCGGCACCTGTCGCTTCAGGAACGCTGCAGGTGTCGTCGGGCACGACAAAGTTGTACGCAAATGACCACGGTGTATTGTGGTGACAGCCATCGGTCGTATGGAACTCGTGCTGGCGGTCGAGATTGAAATCACTGCAGAGACCACATAGTTTGCCGCGGTAGTAGGGCGCCACCTGAACGAATACGGCCGAGCGGATGCCGAGCACGTAGATGCCGTCGACAGGAACGTCGATCATGAAATGACCGTTTATGTTCTTAAAGATGTGGGTGGGGATGTTATGCTCGTTCTTAACGATCTTCGGCAGACCAACGACAAGTTCTTCTTCAGCGTCATCCATCTGCAATTATGAAGTAAAAACGCGTTAAGGCCAAACTTTCAGATTCAGGTAAATTCGTTAATGAGACTCGATCGAACTAACCAACGAAGTCTCACCTAAGAAACAGTAGAATATTGAGAGATAAATGGGAAAAGGCGGTAACTTCTGTTAATATTAGCGACTACTTCTCAATCACATCGAAATATAAAATAGTATCTTGCACTATATCCAGTAAACTTGATGATATTGCCTGTAAATATTTGCAAAGTGACTTTTCGCTGACGTTTCTATAAAGAGATGTCACTTCTGTGCTTATGAAAATATTTGATAGACGTTTAACTCACCTTTAACATGATCTTTTCACCAACGTAGTTGACTTCGAATATATGCATGTCCATAATGAGCTTGACGACCTTCCTGTTATCAACGGTATCCTTAATTAGCAGGGTAAAGAGGTGGTTCTCTGAACAATCTTTGGTTAGAACCTTCCAGCATTTGCTCTCGGGCATCTCGTAGATGACGCTATCAAACGTAGCTACAGAGTTTTTCTGGATGTCGCAGAAGCCTAACAACATTCACGCAGGCAAAAAATCAATGAAAAAATGAACGTAATGATTATCCAGGTCGTGTTATTCCTAAAAATGTAAGTCTAATTTGATCTACGCGATTGGGCGTGAATACTTACGATGGTACCATTTACGAGAGTAGCTCTGGAGATTGGTCATTCCAAGGTGGGTAGCCGTTTTCGGTGCCCAGTGCGCGCCATGCGAAATGGGAACGCTCTTCCATACGGACGTATGACGCGGTCCCTTGAACTCGATGTCGGTCACTCGTTTATTAAAATCTGGAGTCCGCACGACGGATTTGATGTGGATCTGGCCCGGTATCGTGTTATTTGGTCGCAAGTAATATTTTCGCAGGTATGGATAGTAAGCTGAACGTGCGATGACATATACCGTCGATAGATAAGGGTTCTCGTCGAGGCGTACTTGCTTGTTGAACTTGATCTCCATTACCATTCGATTCAACTGACTAGAGTGAATAATAAATTTGTGGCATGCGATCGGCATCACCAAACCCTTGGCCAGCCCTTTTGTACACCTCCTGTAGTTTGTCCTAATAAAAAAAAACATAGTACTTGCAATTTAATTCTAACAAAAAAAGGATCGTTTTGACTAAGTCGAACCTCCGGGGAACGCGATTATGAAAAGACTTTGGGCTATTTTCGTTGAACAAGTAAACACATTAAGCGAATATAAAACATTTTAATTTTACAGCGTCTCTATTCAACTCACATGTAAGGGTTGCTAAGGTAGCCTGTACGAGTCTTTTCTATGCCAGTTTCAAGTTCTTCTAGCCACTCCTTCTGCTGATTGCTATGGTCATATACAGCATGAACAGCCACCTGTCGCAAACAGAGCGGACGTTCTAATTAATGTATTCTCGATTCAACCCCTGCCTTTGCTAAAAACGAAAAGTAAATATAGGATTCTGATTCCACTATTAACTATAAAAATTTCATTGACAAACATGAGAAACGGTTGATTTCTCATAGGTCGCAATGATCTTACGTATGCATAGGAATGTATACAGTACAGCCGTATTACCTCAGGTCCACTTTTGCAGTCCTTGCCGTAGTGTAAATTAATTTCGACTTCGATGTTTTGGCCATTATTGATACGCTGGACTTCGTCATGGGTCAGTTTCTGCCAATCGGTGATCGTCTGCTTGACTTTGCCAAGCATACATATTTTTAAGTTATCCTTCTCGTTGCTTGAGAACGGTGTACGATCATAGAACATCTGGAACCAATGGCTCGTACGGTCAGGCGTGTACGAATAACGGATTTCCAATTCGGATTTGCGCTTTTTGTTACCCCTAAACTCATTGGAGACATGCAATACGTGAACAAATGACGCAGGCAGATCTGCCTGGAATTCCTGGAAGCTCGAAGAGGGGCGTTCCAGAGCCTCTGGCGGTGTTATCTTGTGCTTGATTGTCAGAATCAACTGTAAATTCGATAAAGAGAACAGTGCTGAGTGTAAATAACAATATGTATGCTAGCAGTTAGATTGTATTCGTTTAGCCGTGATGGACATATGTAGTATTAAACTTCATGAAGGACAATAAACTCAATTTTCTCCCGAAAAATCTATTTTACACCCAAGAAATCTGCCTGACACGTATTTTCGATCCATGGGGAATATTATTTTAAGGCTTGTAAGAAGTCAATCGATGCACTTCAGCAGATACGTACGCCAGTAGTAGGGTCGGTCTCAGCAGGCTGAACGCTTAGATGGAACTTGCGAGGATGCCATTGCGGATTAGTGATCCAATAGTAGAATTTTTGCTTGCAATCGTACTTATATAGCCAGTCGGGTAAGTCCTCGTAGATGGCGTCATCGGGTAAATGGTGGCCCTTAATCTCAAAATTGACGCCGAGGAAATCTCCAAGCATGTTCGCTTTCATCTCTTTTAGCTCCTCAGTTTTGAAGAGAGGCTCGTACTTGTCATTATCAGGATTGTTACAATGATGTTGGAACACGTATGGTTGGAAATGATAGTCAACGACATCACGAGGCAGCTGAAAATCCCTATTGAATTGTACCTTGCTGGTAGCCAAGTTAACGTCCGCAGCGAAATTTATGGGCAGGTTAAGGCCGATGCGCTTGTTGAAACCTATTCCAATAGCTACTTGCATGCCGGGAATTTTGAATGCGTAATGCTCCTTGAGACGCGTATCGATAACGAGACGGTGGTTTAACTTCAGTTTCACGACGCCCTCCTTCGTCAAATCGAACGACGAATTTTTGTTTTTGTACGAGATCACTGCAGGCATCTCCACATGGACCAACGCAGGCAGACCGACCTCGGTGGGAATCTCAAAAGTCACATGGTGAAAGTTTACGAAACGGTGAACATCCATGTCAGCAGACAAGAGTTGCTTAAGCAGACTGCTTGGGGCGTGATCCGCCGATATCAAGGGTGCAAAGTGACTCTCATTGAGACTAATGAGATTAAGGTCGTGTCCGAACGCGCTCAACTGCATTTCGAAACGCATGGGCTTGTACTTCCTATGTTTAAGCTTCAGCTTCTCGTCCAGCTCTTGTTCATATGAAGACGCTCCGGCAGCGTCACGGGCTAGACGCCTTCGACCAAAAAAGTTCCACAGACTGCGGCCAAGGCTGGCTCCCTAAAAACACTCGATATAATAGATAACTCGCAGAATGAAAGCTTTTTAATGGAAATCTAGGGCTTTTTCGTCTTTTTGAAAGCGCGGAAAAGCTTTAGAAAAAATATGGGCTTTAATGTACGATACCTTGATTATCGTTCGATAGGATAAGTTTTTGCTGGGATCTTCAATTATTTCTCAATAGCAATTTAGAGAAGCAGATCATTATTTTTTACTTTCGTAAAGTATATTGTGTAAAGTATCTATACATATCAAATATCTATATATATATCAAAATATTAAAATTTCATTTCAAAATGTTAAAAAAATGCAATGAGCAAACGCTAGAAAGTTATCTACATATATATAATCGAATATAGTAGTTCAAGTTTTTTGACAATTGCTGTATTAATTTTTTAAGAACACACTAAGCTTAAAAGTTCGAGAGTTAATGGTAAATAACTGAAATTAAGTTTCGAAACGGACGTTTTTTTTTTGTTGAATTCGTTAGGCTATTAACTTGAAGAGTGATACTGTATTAGCAAGGATTGACTGGAAGTAATAGTTAGTCGGTAATTAGGGCATACGTACTAATGTACGGGGGCTGTGCCAGTAGTCGGTAAGTTTCTCCATTCCTTGTTGACGCACGAGTAAACCGAACTTGTTAAACAGGAAATTTGCCATATAATTTCCGAATCCGATGTGGACCTGACTTGGCAAGTAGGAGTCGGACATGATCACAGAGCGTATGATATGTCCCCCATAATCGTATTTTGCTGGAGAGCAGTGGTACAAAAAGGATTTGTATAAGATTTCGTCTTCTTTTGAAATCATGCGAAAGCGTCATAGGGAAATTAATGCTGAGTAACGTTTGTCCCGTATATTTAGCTCATCTCTATCAATCTTAATTCAACTGAACGGTTCTGACTACAAAGGCATATGATAATGATATTATCTACAGCCGACCTAATGATATGTATAACTACGAAATTTAGATGCGTCGGTGCTTTGAGGGTAATTTCTGGTCACAAACCTTTTTGACAATAAGTTTGAAGCCTTCGAAAATAGACTACTTACGATCGTAGCTAGCGGAGAGCTGCATATGGGAGGTAAGAAAGTCCTTCCTTTTGAATTCTGATGGGAACATATCAATTACCTTGGTGATCACATAGCGAATGTGCTGAGCTCTGTTTAAACATACAGCAAGTAATAAATTAGCCGATGTGTTTTAGAAACGCTCGAGACGACCCGCTGGCTCCTAGCAAAGCCCTAATATGTTTAACTATCAAATCTTAGTTAATTTATTCACCGTCATATACTTTTATGTAATTACGAATCCCAAGAAAAAAACAGGTGACAGTAGCTGTTTTTTTTTTTGAGTTTGAAAAGATTTCAGGGAGAATTTTGTACTGCGGCAGGTTGCTTCAATAAAACGAACACGTCTTAAGAGACCTATTTGCAACAGCTAATTGGTAAAGCTAGGTAGAATCTTCGGCGTCTGACACTTACGTTGCCTTGAAGCAAGGGTGGTTTGTCTCGTCGATCTCTTTAATCATGGATAAAACGTATGACCTAACCTGGTCACTCGGCTCGTTCTTGAGTCCATCAACGATGGCCTCCAAAAGGCTCAGTGGCGGAGAGCTCTTGAATATCGCAATCGAAGCAAGTATACGAATATCAGCAGGTTTTGTTGAATTGAGGTAGATGTCAGCAGCCATCTTGCGGATTAGGGAGATGTGTGCAGGTACTATCCCTATCATGCCGTTCATAGCATCGGTGTGACTACAAAAACATCGAGTAAAAATATTAATTTCTTTATTTAGTTTGCGGTATGTTAAACATAAGAACAAATCGTCAGCATCATTGAGGACAGCTTTTCATTGCAATGTTGAAAAAATATTGACCGTTCTTCTAACTAGAAAGCTTTAAAGTACCAAATTCTAATGTGGGTCGTATCGAATCCGGGTTGGTTTAAATGCCTTTACTCAGACTTGAGATAGAGCGTCTGTAAGAATTGGCTATATTTTACAAATATATTATGATAAACCCACGAACGCTGTTTTTTTAAGTGTGCGTTGTTCAAAAACGGTTTAAAGATGACTCTACCGCTTTCGTTCTGAAAATTTGAATGTGAAAGGTGCTATTCGTAGTGGTCGAACTATTACGAAAAAAATTTGACGAAATTAGCGCGAAAGTTGTGAAAGTCCAACACTTTAGTCTAGAGCATATGAGTTTCCGTAATGTCATAAAGTAACTAAAAATTCACCATAAAACAGTTAAATAATATAAAGAAAACTGCCTATAAAAAGCTCGTTGTTTGGGTGCCGCATGACGTGCACAACTGTGCACGTCATGCGGCACCCAGATGCATTACGGGTTGTTGCCGCGTAGCAGAACGACTGATTCGGACCTCTACTGGCAACAAGTAACAAAATCATAACGAGGCATAGAGGAAAACTGACCGGAACTAGTCAATAGAGAAAGTGTCGCCTTCCACCGTGACAACGCCAGACTGCACACATCTATAACTACCTGGCAAAATATAAGAGATCTTGGATGGTAAACTTTAATGCATCCGCCATATAGCTCGAATCTTGCACCATCAGAATATCCTCTGTTTTGATCTTTGCAATTATATTATAGATTCCGCTTCAATAAAGAAACAAAAATAGTTTGTTACGATTTTTCGCAGAAGCTATGCAGTAGAGCATTTTACGATGTTACCAAAAAAATGGCAAAAAATTATTTATAATCAAAATGGCACATCTTTGGTTAAATGTTTTTTTACTTAGCGTGTAATATATATATATATATATATATATATATATATATATATATATATATTACATGCTTTTATAAAATATAACTAAATCCGAAAATAAATACTGCTGATAATACGGTTGGTGCTATACAAATACATACATACTAACTATCTAACGAACTTGTGGCATTGTGGTAGTCAGCAGCCTATTTACATATAACAACAACAAACTACCAAGAATAATTTTTAGCGAGATGGTAATCATGAGAAAATCTGCATCGCCCTAGATCACACAGGCATAAGGCAACATTACTGATAATACATTGCATCTAACAGCAAGCGAACATTAGTGTGATCCAAAAAAACTCAATATCGTGCTGTACCTGTTCGCCTTTTACGAAAGTTGTCACCAATTGTCAGTTTTCCCCAGCTAACTCCCCTGTACCCTACCTTACTGATAGTCTCCGTAACTGGTTTCTATGTGTCAATTAAAAAAATATCGTTTTTGCCCCTCCAGGTCCTTATCCCTCTTTTAGGTCGTTTAGAGGCTTGGGCCCTTTTGCTAGCTATCCGTGCCATGATACGAGCAATCGCCTCCAAGCTGGCAAAGCTACTGGTCGTATCTCGTTACATTTGGCCAGTTTTCCTGCCTTCGCCTGCTACCCTATACTACAGTATAACACACCGCCCTAAGGGCCAAAGGCTACGTTTCGAAATGTGCCGGAAGTCCGTGTCCGGCTTTGTTTCCATAGCGACCTCCAAACATGTGGTTCTTCCTTTAGCCAAGCTCTCTCTGTGAACCCTATACGCAGTTACTGGGAACAAGTCACTAGACCAACGAACTCAGCTGACCGTTCAGTCGACGCGGTAGGCACTCAAAACGAAGGAGGTAGGCGGTTCATGGTCCTGAAGTTTGATCACCCTGTCAGAAGGGGCTACCAGCCACACAATCGGAATTGTCAGAGGAATTCAGAAACGACTGTTGCTTCTGTTTTATTTAATTGACTTTTTGATAATAGAAAGACGGGCGCTTGTGATCATATATGCATCGTGAATAGCTAATAACGGTTAGTGTCGTGATTTGAAAGCTTACTTTCGTCGGTAGTGGGACGTGGCTAAGAAATGAAGGGGACGTGCGACGAAATGGAGAAATTTTGAAACCAAAAAGAACAGTGACAGCTTCATTAGCATTTTATACTCGCTAGAATTGGAAAGATTTAATAAAATACGAACGCATTTGTTCGAGAAGCATTTTAGCGAAGAACTGCCACTGTTAGCAACGCCGTCTAGGCGAATGGATGAAGAACGCCCGTCGACTAATAACAGTGGAACGTCAGGGATACCGGCGGACCGCTGGCTTCAAGCGTATCATGACCGGTTCGCCGGCTTTAACACCATTACGCCAAATATTTGCTTGGCCGATCTGTTTGCTGACGGCGATACGAAACTGCTCATAGCCGATATGGGAGCTCAATGGGGTAAGCAGATGCAGCTGCGCGTATACAAGGGTACAGCGCTATTATCCGAACATACCCTGGTTGATCTCCCCCTAGCTATTGCCCCTTTTTATATGAATCTACCTGGGCCAAAGACACCAGCCATAGCTGTGGCGTCAGGCAGCTCGATCTACGTGTATAGAAATATGCGCCCCTTCTATAAATACAGTTTACCAGCGCTAAAGGTAGCTGACGCCGAAATTGAGGCATGGTCTACTGTTCTACAAGACGGGGCTGACCTGAACGTTTTCCGGGATCTGCTAGTCAATGTACTGGCTAGCGGAGAATCGCTCTCTGCCAAATCGGAGCACTTTTTAACTACGTCGACTATTCAGGACGCGGAAACGTTCGTTCGACAGCATGCGGAGTCACCGTTGCGGCGACAGACAGTGCTGACGACACTCTCGACAATGAAAAAATCTATGCACGAGGAAGACGCACTTACGTGTATCGTCCTGGGGACGGAGAATCGTGACGTTTACATCCTTGAGCCGGATGCTTTTACGGTACTGACGTCAATGACCGTACCTGCAGTGCCTGTCATGATGGACATTACTGGTTTGTTTGACGTGGATTACCGCATTCTCGTCGCCTGTCGGGACGGCTGCATTTATAGTCTAAAGCGTGGACAAAAATCAGCAAAACTGTGCCTAGAGCTGCATAGCCAAGCTGTAGGACTGTGCGTGAGACCTTCACTTGGTTGTGTTTATGTGGGATGTATGGACCATAGTCTGAGGTGCTATTCCACACAGGGAAAAGGACCCAATAAGTATGCTCAGCTATGGATTGTGCAGCTAAATCACGCGATTGTGGCAATGCAGTCTATTACAATTAAGTCGTTGGGTCTTGAGCTTGTGGCTGTATGCTGTCAAGACGCGAATATTTACATGTATAAGGAAAAGGAGGTCGTCGACGTTATCGACACTGGCGATCCTGTTACCGCAATACGTTACGGCCGACTTGGACGTGAAGACAACGCTCTCGTCTACGTTACGAGGTCGGGTGCACTAACCGTGAAGATTCTAAGACGGAATCAGACGTTCGAATCGCTTGGGAAAGCGGTTAACAACTCATCGACAAATCTCACTGCCGGAAACAAGTTTGTTATTCCGAAGAAGACGAAGTTGTTTGTCGACCAGACTATGCGCGAACGTGAAAATGCTGCCACGATGCATCGGGTCTTCCAACAGGATTTTCAGCGGATGAAGCTGATTGCCGCACGTCAGTACGCCGAAACGATCCAGAAGGCTGGAGCCATACAAACGATAACGACTGGTCCAAACGGCAAAGAGCACTCCATAGCCGAAGTGAAACTGACGGCTCGGGTTCAAGGCCTTGGACCTGAGTTCGCCCTCATCATAACGCTTTCCTGTGCAAAAGATGCGTTTCCGCCACCGTGTGATCTGCTAATTGTGTACTCTTACGATTCTAGCATTTATCGACTTGACCGACCTTATTGTTTCCTACCCTACCTAGCTCCAGGCATAGCTACATCGGTCAGCGTGCGCGTAACTTGTATTAGCGAATTGCCTGTGAGCGACTCGATCAAGGTCATCGTGGTTCCATACGACAGTACAGCTCCATCTGTCACAGCCCTGATTAGTATGCCCGTCGCTCAAAACGTGTAACAATGATGATTACGTTGATGGTGATTATAATTACGGTAATTATGATTACGGCAATGAAAAAGTGCTCCACAAGACCACACATTACATAGAAAATCGGTACGATTCAAGTATACTAAATTACCTGCTAAATGTACTACTACGCTTTACAGTAACTTGGTGGGTATAATATCCAGCTGTGTAGGGAATATGCTGCCATTAGATCTACATTGACCTTGAGATTCGCATGAGACTTACGTGGAAGGAGAATATAAAGGGAAGACGGCATATGTTGAGGCAATCGATATAAGTTGACTTTTAGTAAACTTACGTGAAATGCTCGAGTGACTCGTCGTCTATGACCTGCTTAAGGAATTCGACAGATTTTTGTGTCTTGAGGTTGCGGGCAATGTGGATATAGTTTTTTAAAGCTTCTCGGTTCTCTCTAGCTACCTCATACTCGGGAACGAGCTGTGCACAGATAACACGCACACAAACAAACAAACAGAAAGGCGACACAATTCTATTGGTGAGACAGGCGAAACACGAAAATAAAGGACCGCAATTTTTTATTTCCAAACATATCATAATAAGTACAGTAGCACTATAGAGGCAGGATAACGTTAAGTATGAACTTGTTATTAAAGCTTGCAAACGGTGAGTGCATTGATGAAAGGAACAAACTAACTAGACCAATATGAACATGATAATGTTCATACTGTCATCAAATGTAATAGGATGTTGTATATTTGTGCAGTATTGATCCGTTTATCTTGTTTCCCTAAGACAGCTGTACACTGTATTTTCATTGGCTGAATAAGCTGAGTGTACTGGCCAACATTTTAAAACCCGTAAAAACATAGACATTAAAGTCTACTCTAATAATAATCATAGCTTCTAAATATGTACTGTCTCTAGTTAATTTTCAGAATTACTAACCTTGTCAAAGACCTCATTTTGCAGTTTCTGCCCTTGACATTCAGGGTCGGCGTACTCCGGAGCGTAGGTTGCCATACGGCAGGACTCGTCCACGAGAGCAGTGTATGTCAACATGCATTGCATACGCTCTCTGGGGAATGTATTCATCAGGTCAGACTTGCAAAAATCTAAAATAGTGTCCAACGTGGTCTGGCTGTACTCCAATATGCCCATATAGATTCCTTTAAGGAAGGACAATATGAATCGCGTATCGAGTTCATTCGATGTAATCTTGTCTATGATGAATTGGATACCAGCATTGTGCCCAGCGGCAGAGGTGACCTCAACGAAAGTCCTGTGCATTTGAGTCCTCTTGTCTTCAGGGGCTTTTTTCACAATCTTATCGAACACTTCCTCCATTCCTTGATAGTCAAGTAAAGACACAGCTTTGATGGCCTCGCTAAAAGACCTTGCAGGGTCCTTACGGTCGAACATACCAAGTTGGTCTTCTTCATCGTTGCTGAGGGCGGCTAGTTCCTTGAACTTCTCAATAGCCTTTTTGCTGCACCCCTTCAACTCCCAGTCTTTAACGTAGCTATTGGCTTTCTTCATATCGATTGCTCGCTTAAAGCCTTTCTCTGTCGAGAAGTCCATGTTTAGAGTCTGATACACCTGTGTGTCGCCTTGAACTTCGAATTTTTCGGTTATATGCTTAGTTTCAAGGAGTTTCAGATTTTGCCTGAACATCAAATAAGGTTCAAAGTTGTTAATACGCGCTTTGTTCTATCTAAAATAACATAGAATACTTCACCTCGCAACTTTTCTACTGCCCCGTTGATCTATCAATGTCATTTATTGAATACTATTGTCACGTCTGTATATTATAGATATATAGGTCTTATTACTAACTTGGTCGTAAGTTTCACGACGTTGCCATATTCCGTATAAGGAGCATGACTGACAGTCGAACGGGAAGAAGCCTTTTCTAAGACCAAGTTCGTGTTCTTTTCTGTTGAAAAGAACTGATAATAAGCATTCGAGCCCGAAGATAGAGGATGCTGCAAAATGAACAATCAAATCAAATGATTCCCCTTAGGTACCAATATTTCCTAGCATGTACATAAACACTCTATATAATGACAAAAAAAATCAGGATCGAGCCAATGAACTTACCGTATTCACAGACTCGCAGTTCACGCAAGGGTTTGCCTTGATGGATCCGTACAACTTCGAAGCGGCACGGGAGCATTTCTCATGATCGATCACACGGCTAACGTTAAGCACTTTCGCGTCAGGGTTAGTCCAGTGCGGAAGACTTTGTTGGTTCCAGTAGACGCGACAATCGCCATGAATTGTTGACTCCACGCTGTCGTAGGTGTGTATGCCTTGTGGTTGCAGGTACACGTTCTGTAACGAGGCTAAAGCTTTTTTCAAGTTGACGGACCACATAGGGTCTAATGCATGGGTCTCGAGATGCTGAAACTGTAAAAGAAAAATCGACACGATAACCAATAACTCGCCTAAAACTTCTATCGCCAAACTTTTGGTGTAATTAATGAAAAAGTATGCTTCTCAGTTAGCAGGGAAACGTTCACATACAGGACGAAGGGCATATGACCTTAAATATTTATGCCTCAAACCGTTTTACACCTATTTATCTTAATAACTAGCTTTCAGAAAATAAAGCGGAAGCCTAGTGGCTACAGAAAAATAATCGAATTAGTATTTTAGCTTCATCCTGAGCGTGTTAACGATGCATCGTGATATTGTTATCCCATCGCTCGATTTAATGAATATATTCTATATTTTATAAAAATGCATCGATGTGCTTGATTCCATTTCTAACCGAAGCCTGTTGAAATCACAAGCTGCCGCTGATTCCAAATGCAATTGGTCTCTTGGCCCTGTTCAACATGTGTGTACTGAATAAAAAAGCATTACAATTGCTGATTTTTTATGATCATTTTTGAAAAAAACAGTCACAGCAATGGCGCATGTTTACGGCAATTTACTTTATTTCCTTTTCTAAAAAAGTTACCTCTGTTCAGTTATTAGACTTTAGTAGGCAACGAATGGGAACCCACCTTATATCCCGCGCCGTCTGAACGGTAGGCGTACGTTACGACAAAGGGTTTTTCAACCATTTCGCTCAGGTGATCGTTTTTCTCGTACGTTAATTTTTCAACATTCGTCCAGTTAAACTTGGGATCGTCAATTATAGCCAACTTCAGGTCTTCAAACTTCATTGCGACATGCAAGTCATCAAGCTTCTGCCAGCGGACCACTGAGCGGAAAGCCATGCCAGGCTTATAAATGTTCATCACACTAGCCTCATATTGCATCGTTCCTTCATAGGAGTAGTTGTACTCCTTTCCTAGCTCGGCCGCTGTAAACAAACAAGCCAAAACAATCTTATTTAAACGAACCACGTATGCAGATAAAAGTTTCCTATACCCACTTTAAACCCGGCTTCTTAAATCGACTGAGCCTTCCAAAAGCTGAAATCAAATAGACGGAGAACCACATCAAACAAATCGAGGTAATGTAGAGTACGTCATCTGCTACATAGGTCCTCTCCTGCTCTACAAGACTTAGACGTACGTTGTTTATCCAAATTAAATAATACCGAAACACTGATTTTCAAGATCAACTCATGCTGAACTTAGTGACTTCCTGTGATAAGATTATTGCCTTTCCGATAGGGAACATTATCGATACTTAAGAAATGAACGGAATTGGAATCACGCTCAGGTCAAAGCTCGCGGTCTCACAATTAGCCAGCACGAGTAAGCCCAGGCCCAATAGCGCCGTCCTGATTTTTCCGTGATTCCCCATGGTAGAAGGCGGGACGCGTTGAGAGATCCATGACCTGTACTCCTTTTATACCTACCGGTTCCATTGCCACTAGGCAAGAGTGTTTGCTGCAGAGAGATTCACTAAATAGAGAGTAGTGCAAAACGGTAACAGACAGTCCTCTCACAAACGATGATGATACTATCCAATCGTAAAAAACAAATTGGCGTTATTTGAACCGTATTATTTTTCTAGAATTATTCTTTTATGCTAAAATTAATGGACTTGGATCTTTTTCACTCTTCTCGTAATTTATTGGTACCTTTGTACGTGTAGCGTCGTGCTTCGAGATAGTAGTAGTCATCATGTTCCAATCTGGTCGAGTGCCGCGCTTCGAATCTTTCAATTCTGCGCGCATTGCTAGGATCGGCGTACCTACGACAAACGACGTAGGCGAGGATGATTGCAACGAGCATTTCAGATAAACACAATGTACAGCAAATTATAGATAGTTCCCTCGGAAGTTTAGAGAGTAGAATTCCGTCGCATGCATTATACTGGGAAAAATCCGTTTTTGTATTATCTCTATGGTAACAGCATAGTTAGTTTGAAGTTATTGAATTCGACCCATCTACGGTCACTGAAATGGGTCCATGGCACATTTGAGCATAATTACTTAGGTTTAAACTCAGACAAAGTCAACATTCATTGCCCTCGGACCTTTTCTTTTTGTGCCAAATGAAAGCATGATTCTGTATGTAATAGGTATAGTACGTATGATAACTTATATTGTTTGTAAAATTGAGCGGAAATTGCCAAGCCCTAGCATTTTACCCCGTGGAATGCTCGTATTGCATCGGATAAAAGGGGTGATGAAGCAAACCTTTTTCTTAGAGTTTTCGAATGCTTGACGACCCCCTGCAAATATTACCAGGCAAGTTTTCTGATCTTTTCCTAGTGGCTAGTGCCAACTTCAAATTGCAGAGCCCGGATTCAGCGCAGCGTAGCGCTAGAAAACGGAACATCCTCAAGTGTGAATTGTTCGCACCCAGGTAGTGAACTCCTGAATTTCGCAAGAACTCGACAAATTCCAAAAGGAACTACTATTACGTAATACAAATGTAATTCTATTAGTACTTGTCTTACGAGAAGTGATCAAACAGCCGCCACTTGACGAACCCGCATTATTTTGCGTTGGGACTGATTTGGTAAAACCCAAGAATCTGCCACTGGCTCAAAATACTAAATCGTTATCGCTTGTGAATTTAGTAGAAACGTACGCTAGCTTATAATATGATAGTACTATTCCTGCTTTCTCTAGCAAAACGAGCTCTTTGAAACACAAACAGCGATTCTCTAGAAAGTGAATAAGGACCCTGTCTTCTGATATTCAACTTCCCTTTGCGCCAGACGGGCGAACAGCGCTCAGAAATACGGTTAGTATGCATCGAACTTATTGATGCACCCAACTTACATTAATTTCACGGTATTGATCTCACGTTTTAATGACGGCACATAATTGGGGATGCGAAAAGGTGCCTAAATGTAGAAATCGATGAACTAAATATAAAGGTGTCGGTTGATACAAGTAACTAACTAAGTTCACTAGTAAATCTATGCAATGATGTAGAAATAATTATTTTTCAAAATATGCCGCCGATCAGTTATCAGCAATGCATTCTCATAACACACGCTGGTACTCATTTCAGAAACTCAATTATAGTAATAATATGTCGAAATTAATTGACCTCAGTGTATCATATTCAATAAGTATGCATTTATATTTACAATTTTTGGACAATTACACGGATAAATGCAAGAACCTGTCGAATCCAGGTAAGGTGAAAGTGAAAGAAACTTGAATGCGGCATCTTCATCTTCATCTTCATTCAGTATAATAGAACTTGGTAAACAAACTTTTTTGTCCGTACTTGAAACCAAAACACGTTTATTCCAATTACATTATATAGGGTAGGACAAAAGTTTCTTGACAGTTTTAAGTCAAATGTCACTTGATAACAAATCAAATGAAGACCCTTAAACTGTCACGGTACTTTTGCCTTGTTAAGTATATTTAGTTTAGTTATGTAGTCACTTACTTGCGAACTTCTCTAGGCAGCAAACGCTCTACCCTTTTTAAGCAGTCGTTTTTCTCCGTTTTCTCAAAATAAGCGCGCGCTCCGCATGGAGATGAAACAGGTCTTGTTATAAACAAGAACAACAGCAATGTCTTGATATTAATAACCTTCGTAACGATGCAGACTATGATGGAGTCTATGATGATGACGACGATTAGATATCAAGGATGCCGTTGGCTGTTGTTGCTCGGTTGTTCCTGCCAGTCTATTCGCTCTGCCTCCCCCTCAACACCGCTTTCAGGTGATCTTTCTCCGGGAGAGCAAGACACTCTAGGTATTTTTCTATTCTCCTCTGACATTCGAGACTCCTAGATGATGTCGGATGTACACAGGACTAAAACTAAGATTGCGTGCACAGCGGCGGCAAAGTGCAGCCCGTGTATCAAAACCTGGCACTATCTAAAGAGAATACTGCTATTATAATTGCTGATGATACCCGAAAAGGGGCACCTCCCGGTGGTAGCAGAACTATGGGCTGTGTTGTCCTCGATACCTTGATGCGCCTGATGGTGGTCCAATAATGGAGTCAGCACCCAGTCGACGAAACACCATTAATTGTGAACACTAGTCCCGTCCAAAATATCGTCATTATTTTAAGCGCCCAGGCGGCGTTTATTATCTTTGCCACAATACGGAACAGCCCAGGAGGTGTTTTTCTCTGTATACCTTAGCCCATGCAGGCGTTTATGCGCGAATATTTGCCGTAATGATGCCCGAATCGTCCATATTGCTAATGAAACGCCTATTTGACACAGTTTATTCGAGGCAAATTAAAGACATTTCTAAAGTTAATTGTATCAATTTTCGTTCATTGTTTTATTTATTATTTTGACAAGCCTGACCATTGATGACTTCGTCTTTTAGGACATGGTACCGTTACAGCATTGATCGGCCCTGTTATTTTAGAAGGAAGCTTGAATTATCTGGTCCAATGCGTTTAATGGATAGATAAAGCAAGATTAAAACGGATCTGAGCTGTATCGAAAAGAAGATGTGTTGCGCTCAGATAACAGATTTCAAGAAGTAATTTTTGCTATCTGCCCTGCATTAAAGCATGCTTTTACTCTAGATGTGCCCCGTCATGTATGCATCATGGCTGAACCTTTAAGGTCTGTCTTCATCGCTTGCAAATAGTCTTGAAGAGCCTACGCGTCCTGACTTGCTGCATTTGTCACAGTTAAGCTGCCAGGCACAATTGTTATATGAGTTGTCGATACTAAGATTATATGCGGCAGGGTAGACCTCTATAAGGACAATCATTCAAGAGCATATTCGATTTGAGGCAACCTTTGGTACCTGTCTATTTGAGGTTTGTCGTCGAAGAGATCTTCAATCGATTGCAGCGGACTGGCAGTTTCTATTTTAAGCCAACTATGCGAAAAACACCCAATGAAGAGAAAATTCGTGCAGGCACGCAAACCAAATAGTACCCTTGCTTCAGTTTATAGCTGTCAACCTTCTTTAGCTAATCACATAGCGGGGCGCATACACATCGAAACTATAACAAATCCTCTGTCAACGTATCTATATACACATATATATAACAGGTTATTAGAAGCAATGGAGAGCATACTATGCATTATATAGGTAAGGTAGTTCCGTAGAATGTAAACATCTATCCGCAGTTTAGCATGACTCCCCTACCATATAGGTGTAGAAAGTAGCCAAAAGTTCTTCAGAAACTACTTGGAGTTCTCAGTTCAGGAATTCGTTTATCCACATACTGCATGGCGTACTTGATTAGGTTTTTCTTTCTTCATTTCCAGTAATCATGTTAATGTGTGATTTTACTAAATACTACTTCTTTGCATCATTAGAATGTTTGCAAGTTTTTCTGCTTCTGAGTAACTTAGACCTGTAATAGTTCGCACGTAGAGAAACAATCCGGACCAACGTGCCTATCTGAGCACACTTTCAATACACAAATACGTCGATCAGTATTTATTTCATGGTGTATCAAATTCTTAGACGATCGAAAAGCCTATCGCGGGCCGCGACCAGATGTTAGACGCAAATATGCTGGTTACCAGACTCCACGGCGCATATCTAACGATGATCATTATGATGACCATGCATAATCTGACCATCTTAGGTATTCGTCCATGTCGTGTTTTCTGTTTGTTTGAGACTTAAGTAATTAACATTATGTTGTCCTCCTCTTTTTCCGTTAAGCGCTTGCTCGCTTCAACGAATACGACGCGATTCGAAATATGACGATTCTGAAATTGATACGGCGAAGAAATATTGATAAGAGTACTATGCACCGGTTTATCTTCACCTTGAACAGAAAGCCTGAGACCGGAAGCGTTGGTAACGAGCACTACCTGGGCGGTAGACCTCGGTCCAGTATGTTCGAGCATTCGAAGGATGGATATATATTTATTGTTGATTATCAACTGAAAACTCCATGAGGCACTGTGTTATCAGATAATGGACTACTGCTTAATAATATTTAGGCTAACAAGAGCCGCCTATTGTGCTCAGCTGTCACATTTGCATACCTTTGTGGACCCTATTGAGAGCTAGTTGGATATTATAAATCAAATCGATCACAGTAACTTTTTCTATTAATAAGCTAGATTAGTATTCCGATCATACAAAAGAGGCAAAGGTTTAGCCTAGTGGATTCGGATTCGCAGAGGATAGCCTAGCCTACAAAGAGATTACCTAGTGGTCTCGTGAATAAAGCAAAAAACTTCGAAGCGCCTTGAGATTAATTGAAATATATCCGTAGCATTGCATATACCATAAAGCAGAATTAGGGAAATTAATTAGAAATTACAATTACCCTAATGGAGATCTTTGTACGAACTATACAATGTATAAATATTTGCTTTCAAAGCATATAGTAAAGCCTTTAGTAAAACATCAATGTGCAGGTTCTATTTCAGTCCAACTAGGAGCTTGCCGGCTATCATACCATCTATGCATCCATTGTACAGTTGGTAAGTCCGCGATATGCGCAAGCAAACTGTGCTAATTTCACCTTAAGCGTCCACTGTCGAAATATTTGTTCGGGACCATTTCATTCGAAGGGGCAGTGTCTGATATGTCATATTACAGGTAGCTACCCTATTTTCCACTCAAACGCAAAACGGTATAGCGTAAATTCCTACTCCTATAAATCTAAAAACATTGTCAAGGCCAAAAAATGTGTCCGATTGATGTGATCGTAGTTGGATTCGAGAAGCTATGCACAGAAGGTAGCCGTTTAATAACGGTGATGCCTGACGTAATACCCGAAGCGCACACAGAGGAAGGCTGTGCACTGGGTACACAAAATGGAGAGGGGATCACACATAGCAAGACCTTGTGGAAAAGTTCAAAGAGAAGCGACGATCAATCAGGATATCATATCGATAATAGCTTTGCCTTTGCTGCATTGGAAATGGCAGTCTAGAGCGATGATGACCGACCATACTAGTCTAGAATATTAATATAATTTGAAAGACAAACATACCTTTCCCCGATCATCGTGTACGCGATGGCATCCCTTCTCTGCTGAGCTACAGAAAGATACCTTAATATATTAAAATATATCGCATGCATCAATTAACTCTATTGAGAACAAACCCTATGGATTTCATCGCATTTAATTACAACAGTTATTTTAGCCAAAATCAACTATGGTTTAAGAAAGAATCAATTGCGAACTAAAATAGACTTCACGAGACATATCGATCGATGGTCAGGAGACAACAGCAGGCTCTCTCATACGTTCAAGCTAATTATTGGGGTGTGCGGGCTGATTTTTCTATATTCTGTTTTGAATTGCATCGAGTATGTTGAGCAATGTCAGCGATGATTTTTTTGAAGTGTATTAAAAAAATGTTGTAATAATATTATGGTAACATCTTCTTAAATCACGCCCATCCCAAAACGACTGCGGTGTCTTTCAATGAACACTAAGAAACGGAACAGAATAGCACCGTACTCACCTTCGCACATAATTTCTGTGTGTAAATTGCCACGTAACGAATTCGAAATATTTACTATCTGGACTTTAGCTTGAACGTAATTTAATTCTACGTAACATTGATAGGATAACGTTGCTACCTAAATAAAAAGCTTCCTTCTTCTAGGCCTTTTTTGGAAATCTAGTTATTAACCATTTGAATCCTTAATTTACGTACTTTTGCCAATACCATTGGAGCGCAACGAAATCTCGATCACGTACCTGCTTCTTTGATGCCTTGTACCTAATCGCTAACTAAATTCGAAAACATTAGGTGAATAACTTACAATTAGTTAATTTTATACTATACTGATAATAGCATTTCATGTCTACTTTGAAGCATTTTCTTCTTTTTGTCTCCCATATAGTTTCGCTGAACGTCTATAGATATTTCACTGTTTTCTCCGTAAGAAGCATTGTGCTCATGAAGATCATCTAGCCGTTTTTACATTTGAAATCTGTGCACACGTTCGAGAGTTCGCTCGAGATCTTCCTTTCAGTTGTCACATCCGAATCACTGTCTTCTGTGGAAGAAGGCTTCATTGCTCAGCGCTATTCTACCCTGCGCGAGTAATTAAAAAACTTAGATCGTTCGATTGTAACTCTACACATGAGCCAGCAATGAAACATTCGTCAAATGGCGAATTTATTTCGGCATACTTTACCTCCATTTCCAAGCAGTTAGCAGTTGAAGGCGCAAAACATGGAGCATTTATCCTGCTTGTGGCTATGTTCATTAACTATGGCCAGCTATTTCCTGTTTTTTTTCTTTCCTTCTTTTCCCAACATTTTCTCCATGAAACCTAACCTATAACCTTATTATATTGCTCTGTACTTAATAAAACGGTCAAATTTTAGCCACACAGTACATTTGTCTCATACTTTGCCGAATCTTTAATTATGAACAGGATCTGGTAGTATCTCAATTATCTCCTTTGGATTCCTAAGTAGCCAGTAAAACTATTACTAGTTACTGTCGCCCACGTCTGCGGTCTGCTACGCGGTCTCACGTCATTTCGCCATTCGGTTTTGCTTCTTGCGATTATTATTATTATTATTAGCATTCCTCCCGTCACTTTGCCTAAGATCGTTCTCTGCATCATTATTTGTTTAAAAATGATGTGTTCATCGAATTTTGTTCAGATGTACACCACCTCGAAACCTTTAGGAGGCATCCACGCCAGTTGGGGAGTCAAAATATAGCTGGCTAATAAGCCAGCAGGCAATGAGCTATCTCTTTTGCGTGGGGACACCATTTAGAGGTTTTTTTTGGGGGGCGCTGCTTTTTGTAGACAATACACATACATACATACAAACATACATGCGTGTACCGATGATTCTCACTCCGAGTTCGTTGCTGTGACAAGCGTCCTCTTTTTCTCAGTTCATCTCGGTTCTTTCTTTTGCACACGAATTCTCTTTCGTTCAGTTCCAGTTGATCGATAGTACACCACTTATTATAAATTAAGTATGCTTATGCAATACATATAAAGATTTGTTTTTGTATATAGTTTTGGTAATAGTATAATAATAATAATAGTAACCGTTTCCTCATATGTGCCTTGCAACGCTCCTGTGATCACTGTTTGCCTTATGCTTCTTTACTTTTCCATCTTTCAAATACACTATTCATAACGTCGTTTTTGTTTTTATCAAAAAATAGATATCTCATATATATATATATATATATATATATATATATATATACACCCTTTTCGTGGACGCAACAAATAACATGATTTGCATGATTTAGAGGTAATTCTTCCCAGAATGGAAAGGAATGGCCAAAGCCGTGGATGCACTTTTTCGTCATTTATAATTTAACTATTTAGCTACAATAAGAGGATAATTGATGTGTAAATAGGGGTGCGATAATTTTTGCGTGGTCAGCTGTTTCGTTCGATTACGTCGCACCTATATTTCGACAGCGGCAAGTACGCATTAGTCCTTTGTTTTTTTTGTTTTTTTTTCGTTTTTTTTTTTTGTTATTATAATCATTTTTACCAATGTTCGGATTCGTCCTGCTCGAGTTGCATCATTAAATCGCGACCTCTCAGCATTTCTTGTTTTGGTTAATATCGTTGTGTGTCCTGTCCATTTGGACAAAAGGAAGGACACACAGTATCACTTAGTTCAGAATTCTAATCAAAGCACTATTGTAATAAAAAGGGCGTTTAAAAGATATGCTAATAGCAATAATACTAGTAATAGTTTAGTGTACTCCTTTCTTATCCTACCTATTAGTCAGGACTACGTATCTAGGTGTCAAGCATTTTACCATACGTTAACGCATATGCTGTTGTTCGTGTTTTTCTTCTCTATCGGCTTCTTCCGACTGATCGTCGTAACTGTTGCTGACGCTACTGCTAGTCGACTCTGGTTTGATGTGCGCCACCGCTCCCACATCTCACGCTCACAGCGTTGATCTAATAATCATTTTATCAATAATTGTGTGAATCACTTTATTCGGCAGGCTTTTTGCTAAGAAGAAAAGATACACCGTAAATTTGACATATTGCACACCCTTGCTCCATTTTAGACTATCTATTATAATATCATATCAAATAATAATTATTATCATCATTATCACTGCCACGATATGTATCATCGTAACATTATTTGCAACTTAACACCCATTCCTCGCCGCCTCCGTGCTACAAACTGTTCGTTACGAACCATTCTTCAACCCTCATCTTCCTTATCCAATTAGGGCTTCTCGCGGATCGTCAGCGGTGTCACCATTGTTAGCATTTCGTTACGTGTTCAAATATGGTCACGTACACACGCCGCTTCCATTACGTACTTAAATGCTTTGTTCTTTTTTTGTTCGTTCAGCCCAGTACCGCCGCCTTCAGCCAGTTTGTAAATACGTAGGCGTCGAAATATGCACATCTGTACATTGTTAACCCCTGACCGTCTTTTAAAAAGTCTTTCAGTTGTCCAAGTAATTAACACAGGGTCAGCTGTACATTTTTGGCAACATGGTTAACCCGTATAGAGTGACGAGCCCCCCCCCCCCCCCCTCTCCTCTCCACCCCCTAAACAAACAAACAAACAAAAGCCCAACGCTTCTATCTTCTCCAGTATGATAACTACCTTTCCTTATCATTATTCTTCTCGAACATACTTATATTTCCTTCTCTCTGTATATAAATCTAGTACTGCTGAGACTCAAGAACGACTGTGCGATCTTTGCAGTTAGCATGTTTGGTGTTTATGTAATGTATAGGGCTGAAGAGTGATCTCTGGCTTTCTTCGTTCTCGTCAGTGTTTGTCTCGTAATGTGGCCAGCTGGTATGGACAGTTTGATTTGTGTCGCACTTACAAACAGCTAGGGCAAGAAGACCGGTCCGTAACCAGTTAGTTAACTACGTAGTGGGTCCTCGAAGTCTTCCGCTAGCTCCGCACCCTAAAACAGCCCTTGATCGTGTCAATAATCAGAGTTTGATACGACAGCCTTTTAGGCTTTTGTCATTTCTAGAACGAGCGAAACTGACAGCAATGATTAAATACTAGATGTAGCACTTACATAATTACGCATGTAACAGCGTACTACCCCACGGTATGGAACAGTTTCGTAGGGCCTTGGGTAGATTTATTTTGTATCGAATACCACGCTGGATACTAGCTAGGTGAGAAACCTGGCTAACAAAATGCATATACCGGCAGAGTAATACAAATTTGATCGTACTAATATCTTCAATTGTCTTTCCGCTATTTTCTATCGTTCGATTTATTTGAATTTGTTTGCGGTGCTCTTTTTGTTCTGTTACCAGAAAATTTATTTGTTTCTTGTTGCTCAGAAGCTGCTTATTGTCACACTGCAATACTGGTGCCGTATATCTTATCAGCAAACTCCATCGATTTAATCAACAGGCTAACCAATTGTTGTAAGATCTGGCCAGTAAACAAAGTTCAGCTTTGAACATAGTTAAGTATAACTTATTCCCTATACGATTTCCCATTGTTACGATTGGTGTTTTGAGTAAAGCAGCAGCACCACGATACTGCTATTACGATCACTCTATCTCTTTATGCCGTGTCAGACCAGTATTCAGTTCAAATGGAATTTGAACAAGTCCCAACAAATATCAAGGATGTCAACTCGTTTGAAGTTACTTATTGACTATGTAAACGCTATTGGCAGTTCATATTGCCGTTGTTGTTGGTACTTTACTGATGCTGCTGCTGCTGCTGCTGCTGCTGCTGCTGTTTTCTGTTTAATAAAGCTGTAGCTTGAAGATGCGGAGTAGGAGTCGCACCTGAAGGTATAGGGGCGGGTGAGCTGCTCGAGGAACTTCTATATAGGGGAGGCGGACAAGACGTCGATACTGAAACAGAGCTAAGAATTGACCCGCCACTTCGTCGACGTCGGATCGATGGTGGAGTTCCTGCGGGCGTCGGTTGAACCAGCTCAGTTGGCGATGCCACCTGGGTTAGTGCGGCTCCTGAACTCCGAAAGTAACCGCCCGCTAGCCGTACTCCATTAAGCACCGTGACCGTCGGGCCCGGAGTGTACTAGTCGTCCCACTCGTCATCGTCGAGGGCCTCACACGTCGAATCATCGCTATCATCAGCTGTAAGATAATGACCGTACATACAGACAGAGACATGATGAGTATAGGAAAACCAGGTCAGTTCATTCAAATTGGCCAGGCTCAAAATTTGACGTTTATGAGAACTTAAAATATGACCTTAGAAACAGCACACAGTGCGTGACATATGCGAGAATCATTCGCATAGTGATGTTAAGCACTTAGAACTGAAATCAAATATTAACATCTTTCGGTCATAAACAGGATAATTATCCACTATTTGTGGTCATGACGGGAACCACTGTGACTCTAAATTGGTACTCACATTGTAAAGCGTCGTTTCGAATTTGGATAGCTTTCTTGAGGGCTTCTGCTAATCCGTCGAGTTCCTTTTCAACTTTTTGATTGTTGCTCGCATTACGAGGGACTTCTGGTCTCTGGGGCCGGTCAGCCACGGGCTTCAAAGTTTTACCCGCGCGAATCTGCTCAAGTAGAGCGTCGCGACCTTCCGAAACTGAGCTTACGGAATTTGCGGCAGGGGTGTCTGAAACTGCTCAGATGTCATGCCACAATAAAAATTGAGTATTAATACTCAACGTTGATGAACTTTAACGCCGCTAACTGCAAACTAATAGTATTACTCTTTCCATAATGCAAAACAATTCTCTATAAGACGATCTAAATGTTAAACGACTGTCCATACGTTTTAAACCCGCAATATATAAATAATCATACTTCTATATTTGCGCAGTCCTCATAAATCAAATACAAACACTTCTCGAATAAATTCTCTCCCTTTACTTCTCACCTTCAACTCTTTTCAGTATTTTTCCCGCTCTGATCTGTTCCAGCAGGGCATCACGGCCTCCAGTCGCGCCGCCGCCTCCATTTCCAGTGCTTGGCGTAGACATGCCATTGGATGACGGAATTGTGGTGCCGTTTAGTTTCGACATTGGCGGAGCCGGGGGACTGGTCATGGGCGGGGGTGGCGGAGGGGGTGGAGGAGGTAAAACCGCCCCTCCTGGCGACGCCCCTCCAGGTGCCGGAGGAGGCGGTGGAGGTGCTGGGGGCGACAGACGAACCGGCTGTACCGGCTGCATAGATGCACCGCGATGCTGCTGCTGCTGCTGCTGTTGGTGCGGCGGGGGTACCGGAGGGGGTGGTTTGTGCGTGTGAGAACCAGTGGTCAACCTGTGTGGCTTTGGCGGAGCTGGAGATCGCCTACAGCAGAGACAAAAAAAGGCGAATAACGACTAACTAAAGCTAATTGCACTTTGGAAATGTAAAATACGTGCCTGCTAGAGCTTTGCGTAGAGCGGCGTATTCGATTATTAGATGCACAATAAAGGCACCACTCAAGCTGTTCTATCTTTGGGAGCAATCACTGTCATAGGCTAACGGATATATACAGTCGTCGATATATGGTAGACCTTTATTGTATAGTAGACATGTGTATTGAACAGATGTAAAATGAAGACAAGTGAAGAACAAAAAAGTGACAAGAAACTTTTCCCACCACATATATGTATATATATATACAAATGGGGTAAGTATTACAGACAGCTAATGTATACCCTTACGACTAGACATCCACGTTTAGCATCTCCATTTTGAGTAGAAGAGCTCTGAAGATTTGGTTCGTGAATTCATATTGCATGTAGTCGCGATATTTTTCTAAATTCAATCGACACTGAAGTTCTCGGTATCTTCGATGTGAACACTTGGACAGAATTACCATCAGAAGATTTGACTTGCCATCGTCAAAACATTGTTCTGGGTATGAGCGTGATTTCATTATTGCGGTGTGCGCTATATGGCGGAGGGAGTCTCTCTTCTGTAGCGGGCTTACACCCAGCAAATCGTGCTTGCTGCTTATCTAGACGTCTATTTTACTGGACCACTCACTCCTTACGGGTTTGAAACGTTTCTGCTTTACTTTTTTTTTTTTTGTTTCGTTATATGCTTTATAATTATAGACAGATCGACTTAGCGCTTATGTATATCTGATTTGAGTTGTAGATAAACACCTAGATTGCTGTACGAATCAGACTGACATTTGTGCTCACTACTTAATATAATTAAAGTGAACGTTGTCCGTCTGCCAACTACAGTCTATCCTATAGACCCTAGAGTAGTTAGTAATTATTGAGTTATAATTTGTTTGCATACTAGTGAGTCATTATAAGTATCCGATATTGAAAATATACGAACGGTGTAATACTAAAAGGGGCCCTTTAGGGTGCCCCAATATTGGTACCATTCATTATTTTCCGTTCATTATTATAATATTATTATCCTAGTTCAGTGTTAGAAAAATGTTCTTCTTCGGTTTTATATTTAATTGTTTTGTAAAATTTTGAATAATTGCGGCTTTGCATTGTTATAGCGAACGACGAAATTCTGTTCCATTTTTACTTTTTAGCTGCAGTTATAGTTTGTATGATTGCGTGGATCTGTTCATAGTATTTATATAGTTCGTTTCGTGCTGCAAAAAGGCAGCCGTCCCAACGAACGCCAAACGGCTCAAGTGCCAAACGTAAAACTTCAAAAAATTTCTCTTATTTGAGACTATTTGAAAAATGATGTTTACTCTAATTTGTATTACATTTTATCCTCTTGTCATTTTACTAAATGTAAAAAACAATTAGTGGGCAGTGATCATCTTGGCCACAAACTAGCCGAAGCAGGGCTGATGCTCTATTACCACTGTGTGTCCACATCTCGGAGCCACTGTCGTACGTGAAAATTGAATGCTTTTATTAAAAATTCAATAGACGTGTCTCTATAAACACTTACCCGCCATGAGGAGGAACAGGTGGTAATTGCCTTGAGGGCGGTTGGTGATTTGGTGCCGAAGGCGGCAGAGGTGGTACAGGCTTCGGATCCGTCCTGATTGGAGGTACTGGTGGCTGTCTACGATGAATTGCTGAGATTGTGGTTTCGCTGAGCATATTGCTGTCTACCTGCTGACGCATAACGCGCCTCACTTCTTGTTGGATATAAGGATTATTTTCCACCTGATCTCGAGAGATGCCGGCTTGCTCATAAACGCGATCTAGGTCTAGCAGGTTCAGGTCGCTTAACGTCTGAGAAAAACCAATACATCCACAATATTATACTTGAATTTTTCTATGCATCCTGACTACAAAGCCAATCGGATTAGAGTCTCTACGGATTATGTAATAAAGAGATTTTTTATTAGTGACTCATCTATGGTACCTGTAAGCATGGTGAGGACCCGTATAATGAATAACAGTAAGTCAACGACGTGTGGGCAACGAATGTTGCGTGGGTTCAACAAGCACAATTCAACAACGGCTTTTATATGCTATAACTGTGAAAATAGTGCTCAATTGTAAATTATCAGAACGTTTTACTATAGAGTTTCATTGTTTAAGCGAAACCACAGCATTTGTGTAACTGTGCGTAATAAGAGTGTCCATTGGACTGAAATACACAATTAAAACTAGACAAATTAATTTTCTATTAAATTGCGAGATTCATACTTTATAAAGTAATAATTTCCACTGTAGTTTACTCGAAGGAAAAAGAAAACTTGTAGCGCTGTTTCACTTAACCCTGATCCGCAAGGCATCTCTGACTGAAATAGAAGAGAAATTCTGCTTCAACTGCCTCCGCAGCAATGTAAACATCTCATCACAAAATACTTTCGAAATGAATGAGACATATCTTCGTCCCCTTTTTTGTACCAATTTTCAGATCATTTTAATGCCTTTTATTTTTAGCAGTAATAGCCACAAGAGGTGTCGGTTGCTCATCTAACTTCGAAATCGTTAAAAAGTTTCAAGCTAACATGACGTGCAATCAGAAGCGGACCCGGCAATAAACAACGGGTTCGCCAACGAAGCGTATTCGCTCAAAATGATCTAACCAAATCAGGGGATCGCGAGTGACCCGAACGCGGCAAGGACGATGTCCCAGCTCGACCGACCCACATGCACATCGTTACGCAGAGAAACATCGGGAACATTTTTCCAATCTGCGCGAAAATCGTCTATTCTCTATAGCTGCGTTATGAACCTACTTGTATCAAGAAGCTAACTAGTGTACCGGTGAGGGGGGAATGGCGCTGCACGTGATCAGAAGCTAACTCTCCGTTCCGTTTCACAATACAGTTATCGCTGCTGCCAATGCTACTACTGCTGCAATATCTCGTTCTGTACCCCCTCCCCCAAACTACGTAAAAACACGCACATTTATACACACGTCACACACATATGTAGCAATGTTGCTTGTTCTTGTTGTAGTCCGCTCACCCAACAAACTATATCGAGTTACAGCGGCGAACCAAAATCGAGATTGGCGGCAAAACGAAATCAGTCCATGTCAGCAGGAATGGGAATAAGCCAATAACAGCGTATTATTTGTCGCAGCTTCTACATTAGCTTAGCTTACATGAATAAATCTCCTAGTGAAATTATTACAATAACGAGATGAAAATGAAGAAAAGATCCACCCGTCAGTGGTCAAGTCGACTTCTGATCGTCAGCCGCCAACCACAATCATTATCAGTGAGACATTGCATTGAGAAAAGATAAGAAGACTGCTACCGTTTTCTCGCTTAACCTAGTCCCTACAGAATTGGTCGGATAGCAACAAAAGATCGATAGATTTTTTGTGGCTGGTAATCGAACAAACCGGTCCTGCAACGATAGAAATACGGTCAACAACAGATGCCGCTGAGCTAGGCAGCCGCAACAACACGCTGAGTCTGCATAAAAACATACGTAAAAGACAAAGATAAGAATCAATCATGATCAACACCAGCAGCAGCACACTTATAACTTTAATGACAACTATATGTAATCGCCCTATGGGATAATCGGCATTTTTTTCATTCGGTCGGAGGTTGATTTCTGTCAATATGAATTTAGCCTTTATTTGGCTTGCTCACCATTTTTGGTCGGCCAGTCTTAATTTGGTGGTCGAATAATCAGCACACTGGTGCCTGATTGCAGGCATTGAAAGGATTACTGGACCGTTCACAGGCGGCGAGTTCGAGAAGCACACCCATAAGAGCCATCACGACGATGGCATTGCTCATGATTCGCCAGCCCCCCTCAACGAGTTAAAGCGTACCGCCCATCTTCTCTGCTACACGCACACATGTCGCTCGAGCACGTTCTGGGACAGCGATCCCTGTTGAACGTTATGTTGTAGCTACAGATACTAATTATCATGGCCATGCTGATGGTGTCAACGACATCTATTTGAAACTCGTATTTGTCTTGAGTGAGGCACTCATGGCGGTGGTAACAGCTTTCGTTGCTGCGGGAACAGTCAAAAAGCTCGGAGTCGCTCATTGTCTTCTAGATTATTTCTGTCTGATTTGAACGGAGTGATAGATGATACTGTCCGGGAGAGAAAGGTATATTTGATGAAAGGCTTGCCCAAAAAATGTATATGAGAGGGAGATGAAGTGAAATAGAACATATCAAACTTTAACAGTAGCGGAAAACTGATCCTTCTGCAAATACATTTCGAATGTTGAATTCTGTTGCAGTCGTCTCCTACATATGCAAGGGACCATGAATATAAACGGCACGCGTGACCATATAGATGTGCCTTTGCCTTTCTGCCTGCTAGCGCATTAGACTGTATTCGTTGTACTTTTTTTTTTGTTTCTTATACTCATAGAATATAACATATTACCGGTCATGTACAAGTTCATCACAGGGAGCTGTTACCGCTGTGGTTGATCCTGATCTGTTTGTGTTGTGGCTTGCCGCGCTTGTCTAAGCTCAATACATTTTTCTACTGGCTACTATGAAATGCTCTGCGACCGGCAGAATGGTGCTGCTTTTGCTGGGGACCGCATATCCAATGATGCGTGTGTGTTAATGGGCCTGCCGTTGACTGGAATGCAGGACGCATGCACCAAGAATGCTCCATCTTCTAGTGGAATAAGTATATTTTTGGGGGGAAGACTGCGCCTTAACTTCTGAGTTACCGTCTGTTTCAAAGACAAGCCCGCGCGTTCTTGATTTAATCTGGCCTGTTGGTTTTGATAAAACGTATTCCTTCTGTGGACGTCCTGCGACCGCTGTTATTGCCTGCTGCCTCGGGATCGCCAATCGCAATGACGGGCCATTAAGCTAGACCCATTAACACGTATACGGTGTTACCACCAAGTACGTGAAATCTCGGAAAAATGTGTGGGAGCCGACGATAACACAGTTGATAAGAACTGCGAGAAATTTCTGCTTAGTAAACTTTTTTAGAGCATAACTAAAAACAGAAGTGAAAGAGATTTTCGGAAGTACAAGAAAAGATCAAAAACTGATACATCTATGAGCGTGCGGGATCATCTCGACTTAAAGCATTCGTATTTAGTAAGTAGATGGCACGCGTCTTCATAACAACGGTGAAAATTTTTGCTCTGTTGAAATTATACAGAAGTCTGTCTCAATGCATCCTTTTATCATTTACCTAGAAACAAAATTGCAGCAAAACCATGCACAGTAACCTGTAGCTTATATAGGATATAATTAAAACGATGATATGAAAATTATGCTTAAAAACATCTGGACTATATGTATTTTACAGTGCTGAAACGATGTATTCGTGCCTATTCTATTAGCGGACATTACTATCGGAATAATTATTTTTGACGGCGACAGCGTCCTAAAAGGTTTGTATAACGGAGAAAAAGAATCAAAATATCTTGATTAAATTAAGTGACTCGATGCTAAATACTATATAGAGATACATTAAGAAGTGCTATGAAAACAAGAAGCCGTTTGATGTGGCATGGTCGATTTCCTGGTGAAGATTGGCGAAATAAATATGCGCAAGTAATATGTCTGCGCTGCATTACTAGCTGCTGTTCGCACGCCCCGATACCGGTGTCCGTCGTTGCCTCTATGGCGGGAAGTTGCTTCTAATAATTATAATTTAGGAAATAAATAAATAAATAATGGTGATTGTATGAGAAATATGCAACGGACTCATAGAAAATGCGTATGCCAACGATGCGGAATTTTATCGTAAGTAAAGCTCTGTTGCGCGATGGAAACGGCCATATTTGACATATTTATTAAACTTAATCAGATCACAACACTCGTCGTTTCTATAGGCTGATGTGCTTAATCGTTTTCGAGTGACAGAACGTAACGGCAAAAAGAAACGCACACATTGTTCCAAGCAGAATGCATAATTTTATAGTCGAGCAAGGCTCAGCTTTACAATGTTCAGCAGAAGGATCAAGAGGCTTTCTTTTTTAATGACCGATTTTCCCAGCATAAAATACTATAGCAACTTAATTAAGCAATACGGGGCAATGTAAGCTTTAACGGCGATAAGAGACGTGTACTTCATTTTGGAATTGATGGTTTAGTCTGAAATTCCCCTTACCTCATCATTAATAGCGGTATCGAGTCCAACATGTCGAACGTGCACGAAGTCCGTCGGCATTCCAATGTCTTTTTTGGTTATTTTTCTTTTCTTGTCACTGCTCTTGTGCGATTTCGGGCCTTTTACGCCAATTGTTGCAAAATGATTGTTATTATTGTTGATGTGACCTAAATGGTTATTATTGTTATTGCTGTGGTTGTTGTTGAGTACCGATGGATCGCCCCGGCTACCCCGAGCACCCTGGGCCGCTTGCCGTTTGCGTTCTGCAAAGGACGCAGTCGCAAATAAATGAATTAGCCGTACAATTAGTGACGGAGTAGAAGATCATCAACACAATAATGCCCGTCCTCTGAATAGGAAAAATCGACAGGGTGACATGTAACCAGTTTCTGTCGCACGTTCATTATAATAGGAGACGTGATGGTATCCGTATCTTAAACAAGAAGTACATTTTGTTATATAACCAATAAAAAAAACTGAATCGTGATTATTTTAGCAATAATGATAATAGTACTAATCCATGTAGTACATCATAAATTGATGTATAAAAGATTCTCTTCTAGTCGACTGTGTTAACAGACTCGAAATAATGCTCACGTACATTCTATTGCACAAATTTGGAGGGATGTCTATAATTATCGCAGGTGAAAAGAAAAATATCTACGGTGTACACGAACACCTACCCTCCAATTTAACTCGCCGCATCGTAATCTTGTGATCCACGGCCTGTTTGAATAATCGGGCTTCATCTTCGTTTGAGAAATTCAACCCTGCCATGCAAAACTGTAATTGTAACATTAGAAGAATAGTTGTTGATTGGTTATTAGTCGGATCGAAGTAATGCTTATTCCTGCATAAGTGGCGAAAACTAAACGGGACTGTTGCAAAAAAGCAGGATCTAAAGTATGTCTGAGCCATGCTTTTGGCTCAGATCTAGCAATTACTACCGAACAGCATTTACAATTCGCGTTTGCTTCTGCCATTTAGTGCAACTAGTGCAATCTACAACCAGCTGAAACCCAGCTTCAGCAGTGAATTTCTTTAGTGGATCACTCATTTTCAGGGACGAGGGAAAGCACCCTTGTTCTATCCCCCTGACGATGATAACAAGTTAGGCAGTCTACAGGCTCTTCCAACATATTTTCCCCTTTTTTTCGAATGATCGAAGACGATGATGATGATGTGTGTGGTTACTCCACATTTGCCCCCGTACTTACATCAGCCTCAAACTCGTGAAAATACGGCATCCGCGCCTCGTACTTGAATTGTGTAAAAAGTTCCTGCTCCCAACAAAATTGGCGCTCTTTGATATCGAAGAGCCGAATAAAAAAACCGCATGCCGAGTTGTCCTTGATGAAGCAAGCAACTCCCACCTGTAGACGGAGAAGAACCGAACGAATAGCGGTTAGATACCAGTGTAAACACAGGATACTTAAACTCACGTTATCGCAAGCATCTTAAGGTGAGCCAGCTAACTGACGGAATTCGGAGCAGTTGAAGAGCAAACGTTTACCAATGATCGATTATAGCACACTAACATTTTGTTATTTTTAACAATGTATTATGGCATATTTGAAACATTTTTTTGCGAAATCCATCTTCCAAAACGGGAACTACGTTCAGCAAACTCTTTCAGGAGTGAGTCAGCAGGCCCGTATGAGGCGCGTAGGAGAATTGCAGGATTTCTAACCAGTTCAGGCAAATACGTACGGAAGAAACCTTTGAACTCGTTCATAGGGTTAAGTTTAATTGATAGAACAATTTTAGCAGATAGTATAAATACACAGCAAAAATTGTGTTGTGTTTGAAATTCAGCTGGACGAGTACAACGAACCTTTAATAGTCTCCAATGATCGTGGCGGCCACCTTGCACAGATGGTGAGCTGCAGTACAGTTGAACAACGCCTGCAGCTTTGATCTGAAAGATGGAAAATGAGCAATTTCACATATATTCCTCATTCATTTGTATATATAGTTTATCATAGCACAACAGATGATCGAAATTGTAATATACAAGCACTTCGAAGACAAAACACGCGTCGTGCCCTAAGGGCAGAAACGGTCTAATTACGCATAACTACTCGTTTTGTGTGTCGTCTTGCTGAAGGCATACTCGTGCAAAGTATGCGCTTGTTTTTTTTTTTGAATTTTGATGTTTTTACCTCATATAAAAACATGAGCAAACATAATTTACATTTCATACGTGTTGCGCTGGTAGGCACATACTATCCTATTGCTTTTTATAACTTTTTATTACTTGTAGATTAGGAACAACCGAGGGACACGTATCGAAAGTTCCCTATTGAATTATATCTGTTGAATGCATGCCGAACAAAATCGAACAGGAATCGCAAAGATGATTGCTTGTTGGCCACAGATACGTGAGCATTGATACCTATATAGGTATTAATTGTTCTATTCTGCAATATAATATCCATAAATGTTCCGGCGTGTCACGAAGAGTATTTTTCAACGCAACTCAAAGCAAGGTATAAACATCACTTAGAACGTGTAACGAATGCCAAGATGTTGAAAGTGATATCAATTGTGTCTCCTTCTACCACCGGGCCGGCTGATTAGTTAGGCTTGTAGGGATAGTGTTGGCTTGATCTTAGACAGCCAATCCTACCGTCTAGATATCGTTCATATATCAAGCCAACACATTGCAGTTTCAACAGTCTTGATCAGATCAGAATAAAATCTAATAATTTAAATAAACTCTTCTACTATATGCTGATCAGGGGGAACAAACAAAAAAAAAATTGGACACATCAGTACTCTGAAACAATTTCATCAGCTCTATGTATATATGTAAGTAAAATCAAGCTGCCCGATATGTCAGAACGATTCCGTCAACGGCTGTATGACGGCGCGTAACAGTAAGTTAAGTTATCGCACGTTTGAACCAATTGTGGGACGTGTTTCGAACAAGCGAAATTCTAAGCACAAGTGCTAGTAATGAAAGCAGCAAGGCTCACCCTCATCCTAGACCGCCGCTGTAACAGAGTGTATGAAAAAACACACGAATACTAGTTATGTGGCAAGCAGATTGGCAGCACCAGGAGTTGCCGGTTGTATTTCTTTCGTTCCGAAAAAGGTGCGAAAACGAAATTGCTACCTACTAATTATAGGCCTATTTTGAAAGAACACGTTCGACAAATCTTTGGTTCAATGTCTCCATTTTGAGACCCCGGGAGCGTTAATGCAAGCTAGCAGCGTTCGGTGCGTGCAAAAACGGATGCACTGCAAAGGGGTGGTGTACGAATTCCGAAAGTATTGCATTTTCTCTATGTACCGTCATGGCGAAGCTAGCTCAGAAATGCTTGCTATTATATTCCTTATACCAGCAACGATTATAGCATACCCTCAATAATAATAATAATAATGTATTTTAATATCCAATTATCATCGTCTGTCATCGAGATCGCTGCTCAAAGGTAACAACATCACCTCATAAAAGCCGAACCCATAACTTCCTTAAGATTTTACCTTAAACTGATTATGCTCTATTGCATTCTCCTTAATGACAGTTGTACAACAGTGCTCCAAATAAATGAGCCTTTGCCGAACGCCTACCAAAAGCATCTACCCCTTAAATATCTCTACTATATACGTGAATAATTAAATATATTCGGTCTTTCCAAAATGTTCTTCTCGCAAATCATAACTCATCGTTACTGAAATGGTGACTATTGAAAGCCGCCGCCGCCGCTGATGACGACGACGAACCAACTTACGATAATGTATGTCCAAACCGAGCTGAATAACAAAAGTAAACAGCGTAAGTTTTACGGCGCGACTCTCTGACGCATCAAGTAATTAGTCGTTATTGGTACCTCAATGGCCATTTGCTCGTTAAACTCGCCAACGGTGTCGTACACGCCTGACAACATATTGAGGTCCTTCTAAACGGCGCATTGATGTCTACCGTCATTATCGGAGGGAAAAGCGCCTCCATGGAAAGTTCGATGAAAAAACCGGCAGTAGTAGTAGTAGTAGTAGTAGTAGTAGTAGTAGTAGTAGTTCTAACATAAGTATCAATGCTGCGCTGACAATAACTTCTCACTCCCATGTTGCCATTCGTTACACTGACGTCGGTCGTTTCTTTGTAGAGGCTAGGCAAAACAAGCGAACAGCAGAGCAGTGTAATGAAATAGATTTTACAATGGCAACAATAACTACAGCCTTACGCATTTACTTTTATTCAGAACTAACAACAGCCCCTCGAACAGCAATCGTGAAATCGCTATGATCGTTGTATCAACGACTTCTCCTTATGTTATAGTCTCTCTACTGTCATTTTCCCTAATTCTGTTTCCGGTATGCATGTATATGTATGTTAAAACCACAAACTGCTATTATCGTAGAGTAGTTGTGTGGTCACCCAGCGATGTGGCCTCGTTTTTGGCAACGGTAATAACACAAACAATGAAAACTGAGGTGGAACACGCCCGTAGGGCGCCCCATTTCATCACCAAAAACGATGACAGCAGCGGCAGCAGATCCATCTATGACAACTCGGAAGCGGAGCCAGTACCTGGTGCTTGAATTGGGCTTAAACTGCACCCATAGCACGGTCAACAACTTGAGCTGCCGCTGTTGCTGTCAGATTTGCCGTAGTCCGACTCCCCTCGCTACGGTAACTTATGGTTTGCTCCTAAGTATGAGGTGCGAGGTCTTTCCGTGCGGTCCTGTCACCGCCACCAACAACGATAGCTAAGCAGCAAAGGAGTACTACACTTAGTGTTCTTGATCTTGTCTGTCTGTCTGATGACTTCACTTTTTCGGCAGCATTTTTTTCTCGATAATTTTTTCCGCTTTTACCTCTTTCCCCCCATCCCTCATTCGGCTGCTCATCTACTCGCGCATCGGATGCCTACTCAACAAAACGGTGTTGGCTCGTCTGCTCCTTCGACGTCAACTTCAAGTAATAACGCCACCTGGCGTAAGCGTTGCTACAAGCATCACCATAAGCACCGCTCCTAGAACCAACCGTTCTGCTAACACTAAGACGCAGCTCTCCCAGCAGCCTCATTCAGTTCATTGCCTTTTTTCGTCTGCTGATCTTATCTTCCACTAGTTTCCTCTGTAGCAGAGCTCTGTTGATCCACTGAACAGCGTGGCGAATGCCGTGTATCGTGAGGTGAATGGGTTCGCTACTTCACAGGGAAACAAGTTACTTGGTAGAAGCTGCTATTAGCATTTGCAATGGGGGAAGAAACGCAATAATGGATGCAGCATAGTTGCAGCCACTGAAGTGGCATAAGTCATGTAGAGCTGCGATGGTGGACCCTTGTCTATGGGGGAACTGCTGAGGATGAGCTGGATTTATCTACGCTTACCTTCACTTTCCGTCTCTCCTGCTTTCGCTGCTGTTGCGGCAACTGCTTATTTCCTGGCAGATATGAGCTTCGCTCAAGCAGATCGGGATAGATTACTTATATTCAGCTAAAACACTAATATATGGTAGTAATACTATCAACATTAATGGCGACAACAACGGTGTTTTATCTCTAGTGTCAACGGAGCGCACAAAAAGTAGCGATGGAAACACGAGTTCTAAGAACCTTAAACAGGTAGCAAATGATGGAAAAGAAACAACTTCCTGAGCATCAAGGTACGACGCTGATCTTGATGAAGAGAGTATTGATGATGAAAACAATAATAATTACATTCGTAATAATTACCACTATTATCGTAAGGGTGACTGACGATTACGCACCGTCGAAGAACCGGTGGAACTAACAAAAACTATGAAAGGGAACAAGAAGAGGAAAATGGGTGAAAGCAACTGCAGCAAAAAGCTCAAGTTGACTCAATGCTACGACAGTTATATCTATTCTCATCTCAACTATCGATATTCATTTGCTATTACTATATTTACAGTATTACTATATTTTTCCGACGAGTAAGTGGACTAATGGAAAACGTTCTTCAGCAATTCTAGTTGTTAATTTTTCGTAAACAAGTTTTAGGAATCAGCTATTTTTAGGTATAGCATCGTGGACCTGTTAGGACATTAGGAATCTTAGCAAAGTGGGTTATCTGGATTTCTTCGATAGATCTATGAAATGGTATGGCAACCGTGAAGACAGTTACCAAAAGCCTAGTAATAATACCATATCGTCCGTAATTCCTCCATTCGTTGATATTCTAATCATTTATATCTGGTAATAATTTTGCCGATGTTGCGATTTTGCAACATGGAAAGATGCTTTTTAGTTACCATTACCATAGCAACGGAATGCGCATTAGCTTCTTAGACCATGTTGCCCCCATAGTAATAATAGTAAACATGCTAAACAGGACCACTCTGAAATGGTAACTAGTTTGAAGCATCATACCAACTATAATAATATACTACAGCTGCTACGAATCAAGACCAGATAGAACGACATGTGGTTGCATCCTTTTGACTTCTCATTTACACGCCTTCATCCCGTAACAACGTTTGCGATTATCTCTGTCCCGTTTGAATATAAATAGCAGTAAATGACTAGGAATCAATGAATGGGCTCTAGAAGAAACAGCGTTTAGAAATGAGTCGATATTCCGACAACGTAGAGCGCCGTAGACAATGTAGGCATAATTTCCAATTGTAATTCTTTATTTTATAACAGGTGCACAACAAGAAACAGGGGTTCAAATACCTTACATATATAAATAAGCTAGCTTGATCTATTACATGGCATAAGTTTGAATTAGATCTAAATAATCTTTCCTGTCGCGTATATATTTTTCATCATGCAGTCACTGGGATAGGGGATATCTATAATAACCTAATCGCAAATAGGATATATATTATTTACCTTTAAAGGATGTGCCCTTAAAGTCATTCTGACATCTGGCACTGAGTCTGCCAACAAAAATCATCACGGATGCGTCAGTAACAAGAAAACAAAGTGAAATTGGATTATA